GTCATGCTATTATTTATATTTGTTATATTTTGAGCATGCAAAAAAATGTATTTAAATTTGGCGTGCGAGCTACATTAAATGTGAAATTTTGGATTCCTGGATCAAATAACAAAAGCAAAATATATTTTCAACTAAACCATTAAAGCACATATACTACAACGCGTCACAAAAAATTGTAATTATAATTGTTATGCAGCCCGAGGATATGTGTGACATCGCAATTGTGAAATTGCGATTGTTTGAAATTGTGATTGTTTACAATCGCGATTTCTATTTTCACTGTTGACAGTTTTGAATAGATAAGCGGAGCTCTTTAAGCTCTCTTATAGTGGATTTTTAATTGTAAATATATTTCATATAAACTATTCATATTACAATATGGAGGTAGACGCTGAGGGAAAAAAATCATGAGACAGATTCCTGCCAACCTGCTGATATATTTGATACAGACCAAATTACAGGGGACTAAATCAGACGCCACTGTTGACATCCAGATACACTGTCTGTCTCAAAATAGACGCACTGGGCGCACGAATACAGAGACGCCAATAATGCCATATCAGAGACTCGGGTTACGTTCATAAGGACCAGTTCTCGCAAACGGGGCACACAACTGCCAGTGTGTGCCACAAAGACATTGAGACACATATATAAGATGAGGTCGGCGATAACAACATTTTAGAAACACTTTGTAATTTAATACCTATCCCTTTAACACTATTGTAATAGTGCTCCCCACACTCCCCTTTTACATAATAAAAATAAACATGATTTTTTAAGTGATCAACATTGTGTCTACATGTATTTATATCAAATATTTTAACATAATAGAAAAATACAGTTTCTAAAAATCAGGGATTCAAAAGTAACGTCAGCTACAGGATTTGAACCTGTGCGGGCAACGCCCAACAGATTTCGAGTCTGTCGCCTTAACCACTCGGCCAAACTGACTATAATGTTAAACTAACAACCACTAGCTAAAGTGTAATTATTGTAAGGATAATATAGCATTGAGCATTGGTCATTTTTGGATGTTAATTGTAAAACTTTATGCATAGCAAACAATAAAGATAACTATTTATTTATGTTGTTTTATACAGGTGTATACAGAGTGCTTGTTTTCTAATAACTTTATTATTTAAAAAGTTAATGTATACATGCAAATAATATTCAATGTTGTTGGCCAGCTATTCATTGTCGGCATAGCTGGGTACCATAGATATAAGTTTTGATTTAATTACCCATGTTTGAAAATTTTAGAAGCAACTTCAAATTTTGTGCAAATCATCTATCACTCATGGATATTCCAGTAAACACATTTTATTGCATACTTTGTAATAATAAACAGTGTGACTGCTGGCAGATATATAATTTAGATATATCGCGCATGGTGTTATATCTTTGTCAGCTATCGGCTGGCTAATACGCATTTGACAGGAACACTCGGATGCCTTGCCTTTCAAATGTTTCATAGTTGTGCAAGCTCACCGCCCCCTTTTTTGTATAAAGCAAACAATAATTTCCTCAGAAAAAGCCAAACACAAACATTACAATTACAATTGTATTTACTACAGCCCATTTCAACAAGCACTGTCGTTTTTATCTATTTATATACACGCATACAAAACAATGTTCAACTACTTTGCCACCGTTGCTGTCTTTGTCCTGAGTGCTGTTTCGACCGTCACTGCCCACGATGCCACTGCTGCAAATGGAAACACTGTCCAGAAGCCGCATAACTTTGCCAGGAGCAACATCGAGCATGGCCATGGTAATCACCACATAGCCAAGCGCTGCGGTGGCTGGGGTGTAGGCGGCGGCTGTGGCGGCTGGGGTGGTTTCCCCTTTGCGGCCAACACTGTCAACGCATTTGACCGCAACGCATATGCTGCCAACTGCTGCGACAACACTGTCTTTACCAACAACAAAAACGCAAATGTAGTCTGCGACAACGTGAATGTTCTCAATGCGGCCAACGTTATTGCTTGATTCATTGTTGAGCAACTGGTAAAAACTCCAAGATATAAAACAGCAGCAGCAGCAGCACTATTTGAGCCGCTATAAATGGCCAGAATTACTATATATTTTATGATTTAGCAACTTTAAACTTTTATTTACAAAAACCAATAAATTTTATTCTTGGCTGCATCAAAATTAGTAGAATAAAATTTTACATTTAATGTGTCGGTTTATGCTAATAAGTTACAATGGCTCAAATCCAAACTGTTTAAAATTGTAACGTCTATTGTGACTGTTTGATTCGCAATAACATTCCTAAAAATAACAAACAAAACGCAAACAAATGATGTTCTTTGTTTAAAAAGCTATCACAAATCTATGCACAGATTTAATTGACCATTTTCAGCTGTAGCTAGTATAATTTGAAAGACATAAATGTTGCCAAAATATAACTAACACACGCGTTTTGGTACTAGTCTAAATATATATACATTGGTTGTGCAAAGTACGCATAAAATGGCGCTGCTGTTTGTTTCTTATACGCTTTTCATACACATGCGTTTGCAGTTTTACAATACCTAGTCACTTTAATATTAATCAGTTCACCAAGCTATTTTATTTTTTGGTGCACTGGCCCGAGAACACATATTCAAGTATTTAAATAGATTACGTACTTTTCAAACCATTGATTGTGCAAATACTATTAAATGTCTAATCTCAGGAATCAGTTTTTAAAAATGCAATAATAAAAATTTACAGTCAAATGTTTATATTCTTACACAATGTGCGTTGTGTTATTGTTTTTGCCTAATTTGATTTATAAAACAAAATTAGTTGAATAGATGCAAATATGTTATATCTAGTTTTTAATTAGCACCAGCTAAATAGCACAACACAACTCAAATAATAAATACATGCTTGTTGTATTCACACTCACTCAGTTATTTCATTTTAAAAATTAATATTAGCCCAAATAAATGACTTGTTTAATATCAAACCAATATTTCAAAAGTAAAGTAAATTCATCAAATTCTAGGATGTATCAAAATATGTAAAGTAGCATGTACGATGCAACATGTATTTATAGTTATATATATTTTATACAGTATCAAGTACAAATAATAATATTAAATGCAATACAAATGAGTATAAATAAGACAACCAGGACTATTAGTTCAACAATTTAAACATTACACCCAGTGTTTTACACCCTCTTGCCTCATACACTTACAAACACACACACACAAACACACACAAACACACACACACACAAACACACACATACAATTATCACTTTTAAACATGCCTAACTTTGCTGTCACTTTTATTGCTGCTCTTGTTGCCGCTGTTGTTATTGCTCCTGGCGCCACTGCCAGCCCGATTCTGCCATTTGTTGGTGCTCCCGGATTTTTTGGAACTGGCTTTATCGGCCATTGACCACTGGCTTTGCCACTGGTGCTGCCATTGCCGGGACTGCTGACTTTCCGTTTGTGAACAGCGCAGCAATTGCCACCGGCGCTGCTGTTGCCGGCACCGCTGGTTTCCCGTTTATCAGACGCGATCATTCCACTGGCGAGCATCTGGCCAAGCGCTGTGGCGGCGGCTGGGGCGGTTGCGGCGGAATTGGGTGTGGCCGGGGTGGCTTCCCATTTGCAGCCAACACCGTGAATGCATTTGACCGCGACTTTTACGCTGCCAATTTCAACGACAACACGCTCTTTGTCAATAACCAAAACGCAAATGTAGTCAGCGACAACGTGCATGCACTCAATACCGCCAACGTAATTGCTTGATTTGGCCAAATCCAGGGTGCCAAGAACAAACACTGCAAAACAAGAATAACATTGGCAACAGCAACAGCGACAGAAAACCTTAAAGACATTTGACTGAATCGGGCATTATTATTTTATTGGTTGAGTTGAAATATAAGTAATATTTTTCACACTGTTTTGTACGTGGTCAAGTGTTGCTTACAAATAAAAATTGAATTTAAATATTCAGCTCATGGTTTACGTGTCGATACGGCAAAAGAAAAAACGTAAACGTAGCTTTAATTGCTCAACAAATTAATTTGTTGCTATTATATTTCGTAATTTTACGTGGTACCAATAATAAAAAGAGATAGAAAACGGGCAGATGAATCAAAAAGAATGTGGATGAAACACACGTACAAGCAAATTTTGCATTGCATTCAACTATTTATTATTTAAAAAAGGGTTACAAGAATGATTTGTTAGACTGCAAGAAAGAAAGAAATAAATAAAAATTTGAATATATAAAAGCGACAATGGGCGTCCCGTATTCCAAGAAACCATTATCCTCACATCACTGCTCATTCAGTCTACACTTGCCACTTTAGATTAAATACCAACCACATCAACAAAAAACACAAAAAACATGCCTTGCTTTGTCGCTACTATCACCGTTCTTGCTGCTATTGCTGCCTTTATCGCGCCCGCTGCCAATGCCAGCCCTGTTTCTGCCGGCTATCAGCCCACCAAAAACATTTGCGACAATGGCAAATATTACAACAATGCTCGTCCTTACGGCGCAGAATACAACACCCACGCCTATCCCTACGGCGGAGCAAACAATGCGTACAGCAACTACGGTGGTGCCAATAGCTATGGAAATGTTGGCAACTACGGTGGCAAGCTATGGAAATGTGGCAACTACGGTGGTGCCAATAGCTATGGAATGTGGATACGGGGTGCAAGCTATGGAATGTGGCAACTACGGTGGCGTTGGCACCTATGGGGGTGTTGGCAGCTACGGAAGCTACGGATCGGGCCTTCCATTTGCGCTCAGCACAGTCAACAAGCTTGACAGCGACTCGTTTGCTGCCAATTACAAGGACAACACAGTTTACGCCAACAACAAGGACGCCAGCGTAAGCAAGGACCAGGTCAGCAAGTTTGACAGCGTCAATGTCATTGCTTGATTGATTAATTGATTGATTGGTATTTTTTGATTATCATCCATATCTCATATTCATCTTTATAGACATATACTTAGACAATTATAGATAGACGCAGAACAAATTGAATTGATAAAAAAATTTTATTTTTGAAAAACCAAATGAAAAAATAAGAATGGCAATAAGAAAATATGTTGATTTGCACTATTTATTATTATTATCATTACTATTATTATTTTTTATTTAAGCAGACGCCTGAACAGGGGCGGCCTGATGCTGTTTCTGTGTGACAACCGAGTCATCAACAACCGCCTGGACGCCCGCAGCCTTTGCTTCCCTAACCTGATCAACAAACTCCTTAAACAAATAAGCGGTATCCAGGGGCCTCCCTTCGCCTCGGGGTGGAACTGAACCGACCTAAAAGGCATATCCACATGTCTAATACCCTCATTCGAGCCATCATTGGCATTGACATAGTATCTGTCCCAACCCTGGGGCATACGGGAGTCATCCAGGGCATATCCGTGGTTCTGCGAGGTAATCACGCATTTGCCATTGGTGAGGTCGACAGCGGGCTGGTTATGGCCACGGTTACCGAAACGCAGCTTGTATACGTCCATGCCGGCGGCCAAACCCATCAGCTGGTTACCCATGCAGATGCCGAAAATGGGGCGCTGGTAGACAGAGTACGCGTGGCGGATCTGGTCGATGGTCTCTGTGCAGTGGGCTGGGGAGCCAGGGCCGTTGGAATAAAGATGCCGTCGTAGGAGGAAAGCTCTGACGCCACAGGGTGGTTCCAGGGAACAAGCGAGACGCGCGCACCCTGTTGGCACAACGACCGGATGATGTTGTACTTGACACCGCAGTCGATCAGCGCAATGTGGACGTCGCCAGTGGGGTTGAACACGCGCACGGAGTCGGTGGATGCCTGGGCAACGAGGTTGTCGACGTTGGGGTCAGCCCAGTCGATGGTCTGGGCGGGCTCCGCACCAACATTCAGCGAGCCCAGGGTGGACCCTTGGCCGCGCAGAATGTGCACTAGGGCGCGGGTGTCCACGCCGTGATGGCAGGGACGCCCTCGCGCGCGCACCATTCGGAGAGGCTCTCGATGGCGTTCCAGTGGGAGTACTTGGCGGCGTAGTCGCTGACAATGATGCCGCGGCACTGGATCTTTTCGCTCTCAAAGTGGTTCAGGAGCCCAAACTCGTCGCGAGTGCGCTTGGGGACGCCGTAGTTGCCGATCAGCGGCTGGGTGAACACCAGCAGCTGGCCGAGGTACGAGGGGTCGGTCATGGACTCGGGGTAGCCAACGAGGGATGTGGTGAAGACCGTTTCGCCGACGGTCGATACTGAGGCGCCAAAGGAGCCGCCGGTGAAGGTCTCGCCGGTGCGCAGCTGCAGGTGAGCGGTCTGCGATCCGGCCGCCACGGGTAGTGCGCGTGCAGGGGGGACGACGCAACGGCGGAGGCAAAGGAGCGGCGCACCAAAGAGCGGCCGGGCTGACAAGGAGCTTCTTAGCGATGGTAGAGAGAGACATTGTAAGATAAAGAGAGAGAGTGTGTAATAGAAATAAAGAGGCAAGAAGGGTTTATAGCTGTTGTTTTTAGAGTGATTAGAAGAGATTCAGTATCCTAGTGCCCTCCAAACCTGATCGGCAATGTAGTCTGATGAATTTTTCTCAAAGGAGTGCGAGTACATGTAAAAACTAGCACCGAGGTGAAGAGAGAAAAAGAGCTTTATTATTCGCTGCAGCAAAAAGAAAAATGTCTTTTCCAAAAAAAATGAGTAAAGAAGAAGTGGGAAAAGAAAAGTTGTTGTTCAGTGTAGGCGGAGCTGTGCCTTAAATCCGATACTATTCAGCGCGTTCATTTTCTTTAGTGAATCAATATTTTTGTTCCCAAAATTTTCTATTGCTATTGGTGGTAATCCGTATCGGGCCAATGGCCGCGGGGCCAGCGATAATAAGGTTGGGGCAAGAGTTCATGAGTCACACAGTCAGGATTACACTTGCATGGCCCAATTCATCCTGTGGAGCCGGGAATCAAGAAATCAGCGGTGCTTTGATCGGATCACACGCAATTAACATGGCGCCTGTGAAGCGGATCAAGCTCAAGCGTACGTCTGGCTTTGGCCGTCAGCAGCGGCAGGGACGTGTTTTTTCTTGGCGCTGGCGCAAAACAGGTCGAGCAGCAGCGGGCGCAGGCGCAGCGACACCTCGTCGTCCCACATCTGGCGCACATCCGGGTGCCAGTGCGAGCGCATCGATATAAGCAGCTTTTCCAGCGCCGTCGTGGCCTCCGAGCGGCGAAACCGCTTGGCCAGGTCGGCGCGGCGCTCCATCAAGCGGGCCGCCTGGCCTCGCACCAGCGCGGCCATCTCGTCCAATAGCGCAGTGTCCAGGCGGTCTGCCTGGGCAACGCGGTATGGCAGGTTGAAGGGTTGGTGGGGGGAGTCGCGCGGGACGCAGAAGACCGTGATGTCGCTGACGCCGTAGGCGCCGCAGCCGCCGGGCGGCGACACGATGGCGCCGACGAACGGCTCGGAGCCGTCCGGCAAGCGGCAGAGCGCCTGGTAGGTGCGCTGCGTGGCCACGTCGCGCACCGAGGGCGTGGGCTCGAAGGCCGGGTGCGAGTGGAACCAGCCGACGGCGCACCGCCCGGCGCGCGCAAACACCTGGCGCGCAGCCACCTCTGCGGCAGCATCCATTTCGCACTCGGTCGCCGATCCGGCGCCGGCGCAGGCGAAGGCCACGTCGACGTGGATTGCGCCCGCGGCCTGTGTGCCGCCCAGAAGCCCGATGACCTCGGAGTATGTCAGGTGCGCGTGCAGATCCATCAGCGCCAGGGCGCCGGCGGTGATGGTCAATGCGAACGGCGGCGGCTGCTGCTGCTGCGCGAATTCCAAGCAGGGGATTAGGCGGAACTCGCCGCCGTTGGGCGGCTGCCACGGGTGGCCGTGCTTCCGCCGCTTGCGCTGCTGCTGCTCGGTGTCGCTGGAGCTTGGGCACCGGTAGTCGCCGTCGCCGTCGCCGTCGCCGTCGCCGCGCCGCTCAACCACGTGCGCGATGACGTGGCCGCCCTGCTGCTGCTGGCTGCGGCGCCGTGGCCGTGGGGTCGGCCACGGCTCCTCTTCGGCGCTGTCGTCCGTCAGCAGCCCCTGCCCGCCCCCGTCGCCACCGTCGCTGTGCAGCGCAGCATGCCTGGGGGTCCTCGGCGGCTGCGGTTTTCTCGCGCCGCGCAGCGGCTGTGCGCCCTGGTTGATGGCGCCGGCGGCCTCGAGAAACGCGTGGACGCGTCCAATGGCGTTGACGTCGCCGCAGTTGCGCAGCCCGTTGCGTGCGCGGATCTTGGTCAGGTACGCGGGCCGTGTGCGCTGCCATTGGTCGAGGATGTGGTTGCGGATCAGCGTGTAGCGCTCGGGTGTTTTGCTGCCGCGGCCCTGGAAAAACTCGCTGCAGCGGGAGCGCTCGAGGCTGCTGATTTCGTCCGTTGAGGGAAGCACGGCGGAGTCTTCTTTGGGCATGAGGTGCTGCACCTGCGTGGCTATGGAGGATTCGCTGCCGCTCATTCTAAAAGGCTTTATTTCTCTAATTAGCAGAAGGCTGCAGTCCGGAATAAAAATACAGAATAGGTACAGAATAATAAGAATAAGGCTTTGTGAATGTAACGCAACGAGAAAGCAGAGAAAGGAGAGGAGAGCCCGCCGTCGTCGCTTAATGCTGATGGGTGTTGATTTTAATTTTCTAGCAGTTGCTGATGCTTCTGATGGCGCTTCCGATGCTGTCGATTTGCGGATCTGTGGATCGCTGGATCTGGGGATCTGGGGATCGCCGGATCAAAGGAGGACATTGGTTTAAATAAAGAGCATATGCCGTCATCGCCTCCCCTGGCTGCGTATGACTTGCGTAGTACTAATCCCAACCGCAGTCATGCATGTATTTTCTAAATTGATGTTTACTTTTATATTCATTAGGCTGTTGGCTTTCCCAACACCTCTTTTTCTCTTCTTTGCTTAATGAGCAACTAAGAAGGAATAAAGGGGGGAGGGGGCGTGGGAGTCATTTCTGATTTGATCTTGAAGGAGAATAAGCAAAGCGCGTGTAGTGGTGTAAAAGGAAAGAAAGATGATGCAACACAAGTTGGTATAAATTGAACCAAAGCTAGCCCTTTCCCCTCCCTTCTGCTTCAACCTCCTTTCTATCGCTTCCTTTATTTTCTCTGCTTTTTTGCAAACAAAAACCAAAATAAGCCCAGAATAAGCCCAGAATAAGCCCAGAATAAGCCCAGAATAAGCCCAGAATAAGCCCAGAATAGGCCCTAAATAAACCCTAAATAAACCCAGTTCACTTACAATGACTTCGCAGTACAGGGTAAACTACCACTTGCGCGCGCACAAGCGCGACACGCTGATCGAGTTCATCAAGGGCATGCTCCTGACACCATTCGTGCTGCACGCACAGCCGCAGCCGCTCAGCGAATCCGAGCAACAGGCCAAGCACGTGCACCTGAACCTACACCGGCACTACACGGAAGAGGCCCAAGAGGCGAACACCCAGCGCTACGCCGAGATCTTCAGCAACATCGAAGATCTGATCTCGGAGCACCGCGAGTTCCAGCACCAAGGCATCGGCGGCTACTCGCGGCTGGCCAGGTTGGTGCCATCCATCGGCACGTTTTTCACCCACTTGCCGCTGCAGCAGGCGTTCCGCCGCGTGGACCAACGCGACCGCATTTCAAGACGCAAGCACGTGCCGCCGTCGTTTAATGATGTGCGGCGCATCCTTAATATTGCGCAGGTTATGGCGATTGCGCCGGATCTGCAGCTGGTGACTTTCGACGGGGACATGACGCTGTACGCCGATGGGCAGAACTTCGAGCAGGACAATGAGCTGACCCACCTGCTTATTTCGCTGCTGCGTCGTCGTATTTGCGTTGCCATTGTTACTGCTGCGGGTTATGGCAGCGACGCGCCACGCTACGAGCATCGGCTGTCGGGGCTTCTCAAGGGCTTTGCGCAGGAGCGGTTGACGCCAGAAGAGGTGGGGCAGTTTTACGTGCTTGGCGGCGAGTGCAACTTCCTCTTCCGCTGCAACCCCGCGTACCGTCTGGACTACGTGGAGGACTCGCAGTACCCGTCGTCTTTGCGCTCGTGGACGGACCCGCAGGTGCAGCAGCTGCTGGACGTTGCTGAGCGCGAGCTCGCTGACTGCGTTCGCCGCATGTCGCTGAATGCCGAGATTTTGCGTAAGCCGCGCGCTGTTGGGCTGGTTCCGCAGGCGCAGCAGCAGTTGACCAGGGAGCAGCTGGACGAGTGCGCGCTGTCGTCGCAGTTCGCCCTGCTTAAATTCCAAGGGTCGCCTAAGGCCCAGCCGGGCGACGTGCCGATCCCGTTTTGCGCATTCAATGGCGGAAACGATTGCTGGGTGGATATTGGAAATAAGCTGATTGGCGTTCGCATTTTGCAGAATATGCTGGGCGCTGGCCCGCAGAGCACCCTGCACGTGGGCGACCAGTTTCTGTCCACTGGAAACGACATTTCCACGCGCACTGCCTGCTGCACGTGCTGGATCATTAACCCGCAGGAGACCCAGAGCATGCTGAACGAGCTGGAGCTGGTGCTATCGGCCAGAGAAGACTAGAATAAATAACTTAGAGGTGAGAATATGCAATTAATGTAATTTAAATATATATGAGAAGACTTTTGTCAACAAATCAATCAATCAATCAACCAATCCAAAAAATATCACTTTAGCGACTTGCGGCTGAACGCTGAGCTCCGGCGCGTGTGTCTGTCGCCCGCCTGGCGGCCACGCGTCGACCCAGCCACGCTCATGTTATCCACAGACTCGTCCGACAAGCCGTTGCTCGTAAACACAACGGTCATCAGCACAGCGGCAGTGTCCGTGCCCAACCGCTTCGAGACCGATGCCGCCTTTGCGCCATTCGTCTCGAGCAGCTGGCCTCTCAGCTCCGCCAGCACATTGTACTCCATCTCAACCAGTGTCTTATCGCCGCGGAAGCTCGAATGGTCCTTGATTGCCACCGTGAGGATGGGCGCGCCGCCCTGGATAACAGGCAGGAAGAAGCACTCATGCGGGAACGTTACTGTTGCTGGCGATCCCGAGACATCCTTCTCGACGCGCGTCCTGTGCACTGTCTTGCGGTTCAGATCGATGGTCACCATGACATTGTGCTTGCGCCCGCCAAGGATGTGGCTGTGTAATGCGGATTCGCAGAGCTCGGCGGACTCGATCGTTACTTGAAGCATGCCGGAGACTGGGAAGCTGTCGAGGGACTCGCTGAGCCGCGGCATCGGAATCGTATTGGCCGCCAGCGCGGCATCTGAGTCAGCCACTGGGGCACCAATAGCGTTGTCCAGGGGGGAGTTGTTGTTGGACGCCAGCGATACTGCATCAATGTCGGCCGCCCAAGCTTGTTGGCCCCGGTTTGACTCATCGAAGTGATCAGCGGGCATGTTAGCTGCCGTCGCAATGCTCTGGATGGCAGCAGCCGACAGCTTGCGTTCGTGCAGTGCTGTCGGAGACGACTCGTGCTTGTCATCGTTGCCACTGCGCTTGCTGTTGCTGCTGCCGCTGCCGCCGCCCAGCAGCTGCGTCTTCCTGCTGCCCAACTTTCCAAAAAGGCCACCGACAACATTGCCGACGACGCTCGCGCCGCCCTTAATGACAGTCACGGGAGCCTTGACAACAGTCTGGGCAACACCCAGGAGCACCGGCCCCGACGCATCATGCTGCTCAACGTAGCAGGGCTTGAACTGGAACTTGAGCTGCAACGCCGAGCCGTGGTTGCCCAGCTTGGATGATGCCAGCGGGTAGTCCTTCTCGACCGGCGTGTTAATCGGCAGGTCCTTGAGCGGAATGGTCGTGGTGCCGAGCAGCGTGTGTGATTGGATCTGGTTCCAGTCGTACACTTCGAGGGTCAGCACGGTCTTGGACCGCTGGCGGATGCCAACTTCGGTTTGCTGGTTCCAGTGCGGGTTGAGCGTCTTCTTGATCGTCTGGCTCTCCCATACCTTGACACCATCAACCAGTGCGACGACGTATGGGTCGGAGGTTCCCGACTTGTCGGCGGCCGGCAGGTTGGTGGCCGACGCAATGCGCAGGCGGACCAGGCCCTGGTCGGCAATGCTCTCCGAGGGCAAAAGCTGCGGGTCCTCCACCGGATCGTAGCGCATCAGCACCAGCACCTCGCCGGTGCCGGCATTCAGCGGCAGCCAGAATGGCTCCGGCGTATTGACCAGCTTCTTCTCAAGAAGCTCGACCATCGAGAACTCCGCGCGACCAATAGAAATCACATCCTCATCGCGGTCGTTGTTGCTACTACTCTCGCGGTCAATAGCGCTGCTGCCAGCCGGCTGGCATCTGAGATCAAACACCAGCGAGTCATGCTTGGCTTCGGCAATAGCGACTTGTGCAAACTCGTCCGCCCACATGTGCTCGTAGCCGCGGCGCCGCGACGGCAGAGTCTCAATCACCGGCGCTTGGCTGTTTCCATTGAGGAACACGTCGACGAAGACGCCGGCGAAGGGCCGGGTGAGCCCACGGCACCCGATTGTTGCTACTGAGAGGACGCCGGCCTTGAACTGCTTGTAGTCGATGTTGGGCAGCCGCGGGTATCTTGCCAGAGCCTGTGACAGGCTGTCGCCGCCACCGTTTGTCATGCCGGAGAAGATCGATTCAGGTAGACGGTGCTGCTGCTGCTGCTGCCGGCCGCCGGGTGTTGTCGGACCCTGCTCCTCCAGCGGCGTGTTGACTGCGGTCGCGCCGGGGAGATTGCTCGTGAGCTCGCGCTTGTCGCCGACCTTGACTGGCATGCCAGGGCGCAAGTGAGGGGCAGTCGCCCTTTTCTTCTTTTCATCCTCCTCGTCAGAAGACGAGGCCGAGGACGAGTCCGAGCCGGCTGTCAGTGGCACCTCGTCGCCCAGAACCAGGCCACCGTTGTTGATGCGCATATCCAGCAGACCGCGCTCGCGCTCGGCTTCGCTCAGCATGTCGTCAAAGTTGATCGCGGGTATGAACGTCGCACGGAAGCGCACCTCGCCCTTGACCTTGCCGTTACGCTGGCGCAGGCCAGCCCACATCTCAACGGGCGCGGCCTTCTCAAACACAGTATCGCCCTTTTCATCGACAGCCTTCCTGCCGAGCAGGCGGCTGACCTTGAGCATTGACTCGCCAAGCGGCTTGTGTTTCTCGGAGCGGTTCCAGTCCATACACTCGAGCGCCAGAGACTCACCGAGGCTGTGCACAGGGATGAACAGGGTCTCGTGCCATATGGGGTCGAGCGAGTTGGCGATGTAGCGCGTCTTGGCGACAATCCGGTTCTGCACCATTACGCGCATGTACGGGTCGGACTTGCTGCCGCTCGCGGCCTCGACGTTCTTCAGCCCGCGGCCCTCGTGGAACGTCAGCTTGACCATGCCGATGGGCGGGCCCGGCAGCCGCTTGCCCTGGCCCAGGCCCATGGCGACATCGGGGTCCATGAGGATCGGCCGCCACTTGACGTTGAGGCGCACTTTGCCCTGCACGTGGCCGTCCAGGCTGTACCAGTCGCTGCCGCTCTCGCCGGTCTGGTGCAGCAGGGCGTCGTCGACCTTGACCTTGAGCGTGCCGACCGTGCGGTCCGACGCCGTGTCCACCAGCACCAGCCGGATGACGGCCGTGTCGCGGTCCAGCACAAACAGCTCCTTGCCGACCTCCCACGCGGGCGCATCCGTGGCCTTGATCTCGGGGCATTCAATCACAAGCTCCTTGTCGAGGTACGCCTCGGCGCGCACGCTGAGCTTGCGCGCCAGCGCCGGCGTCATTGCCAGGTTGCTGGCCGAGCGCACAAACAGCCGCAGAAGGCCGGTGTTGGAGTCGATGAGCGTGTCCAGGTCGCTGTTGCCTTCGCCGGCCTCGCCACTCTCCATGGCGGCGGCCTCGGCAGACGGGTCGAGCTGGTTGCCCTCGGCGTCGACAGTGGCGGCCTGCGGCGTCCGCGTCGACACCGGGTAGTACGACATGTCGAAGGACAGCTGGCCACGCTCGCTCTCGCCCATCTTGATCGGCAGCGTGATGCCCTCAGTCTCAGCCTGGTCGAGCAGCGTCTGCATCGGGTAGCTGACAAAACCAATCTTCTCGTCCTTGCCGACAGAGTTCCAGTCGAAGACCTCGAGGTTGATCGTGTCGGTCTTGCTGTAGATCAGCAGCTTAAGCGTCTCGTTCCACGACGGCGCCAGTGTCTTCTCGATCGTCTTGGTGCGCCTTGCGATCTCCGGGTGCTTGACGGTCGACACGCGGACGTACGGGTCGGCCTTGCCGAAGGTGTCCATCTTGGGCAGCCCGCGCGCGCTGTTGACATGGATGATCAGCACGCCCTTGGCCGTCGGGATGTTGGCAACAGCACCGCTGATCAGCTGCTCGACGTCAACGGTAAAGTGGTTGGGCGCGTAGAACATTGGGCCGATGGTCGCGTGGATCATGTCGAGGATGAAGGTGCGCAGCCCTGGGATGTGCGCAATGTCGATGCCGAACGTGTCGCCGCCGACGGGCTTGAGCGTAAAGTCAATTGTGGGGCGCTCGAGGAAGCAGACGTCGGCGGTGCGCACGTGCGGGAAGACCGGACCCAGCTGCAGCTTGACCTGCATTTTGCCTTTGAAGACCATGTTCTCGACCAGGATCGGCATGCCGGCGCCGAGAAAGCCCTTGCCGACGCGCACAGTCAGCACAACCTTGGGGTTGACGCGGTTCTCGCGCAGCACCGCTGGCACGTCCGCCAGGTCGTTGGGCGTGAACGACGCGTGCCAGTCCATGACGATCTGGTTGCGGTCCTCCAGCTCGCTATATGTGCGCACACCGTTGATGCGCGGCGCCTTGGTGCCCAGTGTGAACGTTGTCAGCCGCAGCGAGTCCAGGAACCCAGGCGCGTTCTGCGCCAGGATCGGGTCGACGGTGTCAATAACCATGCGGCTCAGCGACGGCTCAAACATGAGCCAGAACCGAGTGACAAACTCGTTCATCCACCCGACGCTCTCGAGCGAACGCGTGATCGTCGCCCTCTCGTACGCGCGCTCCAGGTCGTCCTTGACCGCGCGGCGGTACCGGATGATTGAGTTGCGGTACCACTGCGCGCCGTACGTCGCCGCCAGGACAAGCCCGAACAGGCCAAAGTTCAGCGCCGTCAGCACGTACGTCAGCAGCATCAGCCCGAAAACGCCAGCGCAGTTGCGCCACATGCCTGAGCGGTCGACGAGCTCGATGTACGTGTTGAGCGTGTCGAACACTGACGGCTGCGAGGTCGCCGGCGCTGGCTTCTTCCCGCTGTCAATGGCGCCCTGCTCCTTCCAGCCGGCCACTGATCGGACCGAGCCGTCGCCGCCGTCCTTGGCCTGCGCCGCCGTCGCACTGCCTGACTCGGCTGCCCCTGCTGCGGCGGGAGAGCCTGACTTGCCCGATGCCGCTGCAGCCTGCCGGGCGCGTAGCTTGATGAATCCAGTCTCTGTGCTCAGGCGGAACAGCGTGCGCTTCGTCAAAATCTTTGTCCGCGCGATGTCGTATATGGCCTTGGACTTCATCTCGCGCAGGGGCACGGTCTGTTCTGCCACGCTGCTGCTCTGCTCGGCCGACAGGGGCCCCGATTGTTGTTGCGCTGCGGCAGCCGGTGGTGGCGGAAGAGGCCCAGTTGGCGGCAGCTGCTCCTGCTCTTGGTCTTGGTCTTGGTCTTGGCTGTTGACCGCCGCTGCATTAGCGGTGGTACCGACACTAATTGGGGCTGCTTCATTCGTCGCTTCCTTGGCTGCGTTGACTGCGTTGACGAGAGGGGATGGTGAAGGCGACTGCGACTTCGACGCCTTGAGCGCACCCATGGCCGCTGCGCGGAAGCGCGACGAGGTCACAGATGAGGGCACAGGCGAGGGCTCTGCTGCTTGGGCTGGCACGGCCACTTGCTCTAGCTGCTGCTGCTGCTTCTGTTGTTCTTGTTGTGGCAAAGTGCCTTCCATTTCTGGCATTGAAAAAATGTCTTGTTCTGGATAGCTCCTATGCCTTTGTAGGTTGTAAAGAAAAATATTTGTTTAAAAAAGTTTGAACTTTTAAAACAGCGTTTTTGGAACTCAGTGTGTCAAATAATAAAAAATAGTACTGTTTTTGGAGTGAAGAAAAAGTATTAGAAAAAAACCTAGAGAAGAAAAAGAAAAAATTGATAAAAAACTCAAGACTCTATTTTGCGTCACTGTTTGCTTTGTTTTGCTCAGTTTTTTGGGTTTGTTTGGTTTTGTATGCTTTGTTTTGTTTTGATAGCGCAAGTCGAAGCAAAAAATAACAACACGCTGACTGGGATAACAAAAACAAGACTGGGGAGTTTTTTAATAATAGAGCGACGATAAGCTCCGATACGGTGGCATTAAATGAAAATCGCACGCCGCAACCCAACTAAATTATTGGCAATTTATTTTGTCGTTCCTCCCATCGCTCTGCCGTCAGGCACACCGTCATTTTCTTATGCTGCTTTTTTTCTTGTTATCCACATCAACTGAGGGGATTCCTTTCTTTTTTTATCATCTGTGATGACTCGCATGCATGCATGGCATTTTTATTTTTAGATCGCAGTGACGAGGGGATACAGGTTTTATTACAGCGGCCAATCCACGTCCATCCTGTGTGTTGGTTTTTCTTTTTTTGATTGTGCGAATCACGGAATCATCACCACTAACGTAATCCGCCTGATTTGATCTGCTCAACTGATAGGGCGCGGAAATAAGCCTTGCTTTCCTTGAGTTGGATTGGTTTTGCAAACAGAGGAGAGATAGCAAGCATTGAAATGCGCATACACTCCAAGCACTGTGCACTAAAAGAGCAATTTAAAAAGTCAATCCCTCAAGGTTCAATACCAATTCAACTAAAAAACACCAACCCTTCTTGCTTCTTTTTTGTTTAATTTCTTATTTTATCTTTACTCTTGTGAAATTTGAAATATATTCTATTTTTTGTAATTTACAATGCGTTCCTGGCCTTTTCCGTACATGAAGCTGATGCACCCCTTCATCCTGGGTGGTGTTGCCACGCTCTTCGCATTCTCCAAGATCCAGGACACCATGTGCGAGGGTGAGTTATCAATTTAATATTTCGAACGAAAGGCGGCCTAAAAATACAGACCCCCCGATTTAACGAAGAATGCATTCGTGTTTTCCCTCGCATTTTATCGCATTTTTTGGAACCGACCATACTCAGCCTGCCGTCGTGTTGCAATAACATGCCACGCAGTTTATCGACGAAAGAAAAGAGAAGCAAATTGATACTAACTTTTGATATCATTTTGACCCTTGAAAAAACAAAGCGCTTGCTTTATTCCCCTCTTTTTGTACTTTTTATTCATGTAGCTGAGATTTACGCCAACAACCCCGAGAACCCCAAGTACGCTCAGATCCAGGCGAGAAAGCACAAGGCCGAGGGCCACTAAACCCGTAGATGTGAAGAAGAAAAAACGAAGAGTATCGTCTACTTTTTTCCAGTTCGACACGCTTGTTTCTTTGGTACATGAAGACAGACCATATGGAAATATGGAGAGAGAGAATGAGAGGGGATAGATACTATGGACAGATCTTCTTTTTCCTATTACTTTTTTGTTTTTTGGCTCCTTGAACAATATGACGGACATGTATGTGTTTTTATCATCATTCGCAACTTTAGGAATACATGAAATGAGGCTTTGCTCTGCAGAAGCGATAACTATACACTGTGTCGCGAGTCAAAGTAAAAAAGCAAGCCATCATTGTAGATTTTATTGCCAATGTACACGGGAATTTTGCCCATACAACTCTACACGCCTGCTGTGTACTCACAAATCTGCGCATGCGTTTCGAAAGCCAAGTCACAGAAAAACCTAAGAGAGAGCAAAAACAGCTTACATTTAACAGTAGCCGCATATCATTTTAATTCCCTTTTTCACAATGCACACGCTCATGCAACGCGAGGACGAGCAGCAGCTAGAAATAGCCGAGCGGCAGAGCCAGCTGATCGTACCACCGCTAAACTTTGCAATGATTGCACCTGGGATCTACCGGTCAGGCTTCCCAAACCCCAAATCGCACCCGTTTCTTCTACAGCTCAGGCTGCGCACGATTATCTACGTCTACGACGGCGACTGCCAGGACTACCATATGCAGTTCATCGAGCGAAACGGCATCAACCATAAGCACTTCCGCATTGCTGCCAATAAGGAACCGTTTGAGGAAATGGACCATGCGCTGGTCGCTGAGATCCTGGCTGAGGTCTTGGATACCCGCAATCACCCGCTGCTGATCCACTGCAATCGAGGTATCCGCCGTGTCGGTTGTCTTGTCGGATGCATTAGGAAGCTACAGGCATGGGCGATGACAGCTATTTTTGACGAGTATCAGCGCTTTTCGGGAACCAAAATCCGCATATCTGACCAGGAGTTCATCGAGGTATTCAAGACTCCCGTGCACCTGGATGCCCAGCATAAGCCGCAGTGGCTGGCGGACTAGGGAGTAAGGCGGAGATAGCCCCTCCCATATATATATATATTTACAATAGTTTAATAATTCACACGTAGAAATTGCTCAAGATGACTTCAATGCAGTTCAGGTGTTTGAAATATGCCTTGAAAGTGTGGATGAAATCAACCATTATGTCGTGCAGCTCCGTAGGGAGTAAGGCGGAGATAGCCCCTCCCATATATATATATATTTACAATAGTTTAATAATTCACACGTAGAAATTGCTCAAGATGACTTCAATGCAGTTCAGGTGTTTGAAATATGCCTTGAAAGTGTGGATGAAATCAACCATTATGTCGTGCAGCTCCGGGTTATGAATAACCAGAGACTCCAGCGACTGCGTTTGCAGTACCAGCAGCTGCAGCGCTGCAGCATCCAGCCGCGCGCCCCACGTCAGATATGTGTTGTTGTAGATGCACAGGTGGGCCAGCTGCGAGTCCAGAGGAGCCAAGTCCAAGCCCAGCGCCTGCTCTGGCGTAGTGACCCCCCGGTACTCTGCAGGAAGGTCGCCGGACTTGAGCATGAAGGTGTTCAGCTGCTCGAGCTGCGGCAGCTTGGATACCAGTGCACGGACAGTGCTGTAGTCGACGGATAACATGGTCGATAGTGTTGAGATATTAGTCCAGCACACTCTGTCGAGATCCAGGGGGAAATCCAGTGCAAACAGTGTCATTTCAGCGCATTCTACCATGTCGCCGTCACTGAAAAAGTGGTTGGTCGACTGGTAGAACACATCTTCCTCCTTGTTGCTGGCTGAAAACACTGACATATAAAGGCCGGACATCGACCTTATCGATGAGTCCTTCCACACTGCCAAGTTTCCAGGATCGCCGTACACCCGCAGCTCTTCCAAGTAGTCCGGGTACATATCAGTGGTCATAAAGTCCGTCTGTGCCGGGTCGCCGTGAAGCTTCAGGACTCGGAGCTTTGGGAAGTGCACGCGGTAGTTCTTCCCAGTACCATGTCTGCTTCGGTCCGACATTGCATCCGACATCATGTCCAAGAACGGCATGGCCGAAAAATTCATTTTCAAATACACCAGATTCTTAAACACAATAGTATTGGAGCTCCCACATGAATCTCCCGAAAACGCATCCCACGAAAACGACTGTGTGACGTTGCTCAGTTCCAAATACCCTAGTGTCTCTGGATTAACCTTTGGAAGCAGAGATTTGCAGTCAATGCTGAGTGTGGTTTTTAAGTACTCAAGATGCCCAAATGTGCGCGTGTTTTGGAACTCGAGATTGGATATACTTTTTATGAATTTGAGCTGCCCTGCGTACTCGTTCACCAGTGTGTTGCCAATGATTTTGGCCATGCTGTCGGTGGTGTAGGCGTCCAGGTTGAGCCGAGTGACATGCGGCATGCACTGTGCCATGGTCTGGGCAAACTGAGCCAAGTCATTTTCCATCTCCAATTCCATCTCCGACTCCAGCTCCAGCTGAGGCAAATTGCCAAGCGGTATTTGGCGCTCATCCTCGGATACAGCACCATTAACAAGATACAATTTTAGATCCAAAAAGTTAACCCGGTTCCAATTAAGCCGGCCAAAGCCAAACAGGCTTTTTAAGGCATTGAGCGCATCAACGGTCATTTCAAACTCGCTTAGTTCGATTTGAACGGTTTTAACTTTGCGTGTGTTGTTCGTCATGGCTGCGAGGTTGACGTTGGTTTTCCAGATGGGCTTGCCTGTGTGGTCACTGTGGTTGGTGGTGTATTCGAGGTATATATGGCGGTAGAGCATGCGACTAGCGAGCCGACGCCAGGTGGAGCACACGGTGAGTAAGTGAAGCTGATCTTTCCATGAATTGTTTCCCTGTCTGTGCGAGTCTGCGGCGAACCGCAGTATGTTAGTTACTATAACCAGCGGCAGTTGGTTAATGTATAGCATGTTTTAATATATAAAATTATTTTTAAAAAAAGAAAAAGTGTTTAACAAATGGTGAAATATACAAAAGTAATTGAAGAAAAGAACAGACCAGACAGTCGCTCTATTTTTGACCTCTACAAATACATTTACATTTGCTGGTTTGTTTACAATTCTTTTAAATAACTTGGCTGCTTTTATTTTAAAAGACAGCAAAAGGCAAAAAATAGATATTTTATTTACCTTTTCATAAAAGAAAAGAAAGTAAACTGAAAAATGCACACTATATTGTATAATTTATTTTGCACCTGTCTTTTTCAAAAACAAAAAAGTGAGTATAAAGTGCCAAAGGCCTGGTTAAAGGCGAGATCAAACATTTGCATACCCTTAATAATTATTAAATTAATCCAAGGAGGATACCCTCCTAATGATAATTTTCTGTTTTTTAGAAACAATTTAAAATGAATGTGAAGAGTAAAATAAAAATAAAAATTACTTGTGACAAACATCTGCAGTCTCATCATTATCAGTGGCATCAGCCTCATCATAGCCAGCGTCAGCAGTCGTACTTCCAAATCTTCACCGACTTGTCCTGCTTTAGCGACCCCGAAGCAATAATGTTTTTCAGCGGATGGCAGTCCACGCACAAGACCACGTCCGTATGCCCCTCAAGCTTCTGGACGATTTCTCTGTTTTGCAGATTCCACAAGTAAACGCAATTATCCTCGCTGCCCGAGACAATCCACTTGCCGCCAGTCACCGAAAATGTGCCGAAGCAGCAGTACCCCGAGTTCTTATGGCCCTTGTACATCTTCAAGCACTTGCCCGTATGGTAGTTCCACAGCCGCAGTGTGCTGTCCTGGGTGGCCGCCAGAATGTACTTGCTGTTGGGCGAGAACTTTGCGAATGCGACTTGTGGGTTGTTATCGTTCACGATGGTTTTCAGGCACTGGCCTGTGGTGATGTCCCAGATGCGGATAAGCCCGTCGTAGCTGCACGTGACAATCATTGTTCCGTCGCGATTGAAGTGCACCGCCGTGACCGGATCCGAGTGCGCTGGCAGCGTGCGAATGCATTTGCCGCTGTGCACGTCCCAGATCCGCACGGTCTCGTCGAATGATCCGGAGGCCAGCAGCGTTGACTTGGGGTTGTAGCAGACGCAGAAGACGTAGTTTGTGTGGCCGCGCAGTACCTTCAGTGTGCGCCCGGATTCGCGATCCCAGATGCGCACGGTCTTGTCGTCGGACGCTGTTGCCAGGTACCGCGAGTCCGAGGACCAGGCCACATCCGAGAGGCCGCCCGAGTGGCCCTCCAGCGTCTTATCGTATTTGCCGTTGTAGGCGTTCCACAGCTTTGCTGTTTTGTCTGCGGACGATGACGCCAGCCAGTCGCCGTCGGGCGAGAACTTCACCGAAGACACGCCTTCGCGGTGGCCGACGAGCGAGTATTTGAGCACGTACTCTGGCTTTTCAGCAGATGCCGCTGTTGCCGGTGTCACGGTCCCAGTCGCCGCGGGAGTGGGTGTCTCCAAGACTGGCGCGACGGCCTGCTGCTGCTGCTGCTGCTGTGGTGGTGGCTGCGTTGATGGTGGCGGCTGGGGAGCCCTCTGCTGCAGCGCCTCGTTCCTCACGGGCGTGCTCTGCGTCTGAGGCCTGCTGCCTGCATCAGCCGCCGCTGCCCTCTGCTTCTTCTTCGATTCCCTGCTCGCCGCGGCAGCAGCAGCCGCCTCTCTCTGCCTATCATCATCGTCACTGGCGCTCTCGCCGCCAGACTCCTCTGAGTCGGTGTTGTGCCGGCTGGTAGACAGGGCTTTGCGCGCGAGCATCTTTGATGAAAACATCTTTCCGCCGCCCTTGCCTCCGCCCCGCGGGAAAGGCACCGGAGCGGTGGATTTCCTCGCCCCGCTGCCTCTGTTGTTATTACCGTCGGACAAGCCTTCCGAGTCTGACTCGCTGTTGCTAGGCCCCGACTCCTCGTCGGACGAGTTTGCTGGCGAGTTGCGCGATGGTGGCGCGCTATACCGTTTTCCTGCGCCGACTGTTTTGCCGGCGGATGTGCGATGCAGAGCGTGGGACTTCCCTGCTCCGCCGCCGCCCATTTTGCCAGCGCCGATTCGCGGGGGCTCAAAGTTATTTTCCGACTCGCTGTCCTCGCTGTCTTCGCCCGAAGAGGCTGAGGCTGAGGCCGAGGCTGAGTTGTGGCCGCTGACGATCCCTGCATGATGTCGTGGCCGCTTGCTCGCCGTGGATTCATCTGTGGTGGGCGGCATTCGCGGCTCGGCTGGTTCTGAAAGCAGTGTGGTGTGTTCGCGTTTTGACCCTGCTGTTGGGACATTTGTGGTCGGCGATTGTGACCCTGTACCGTTGACGGTCGCAGACAAAGCCTCTCCCGTGTTTTCAGACATTATTTTTTGGCAACTAGTATATGTAATACAACTTAATTTGAAAATAAAATAAAATAAAAGAAGGCGTTTTTTGATTTTCAAATTGGTATTAACAAATAAACATAAAAAGAACGCGATGATTTCAGTTTTTTTTGGACGTTTTCAGTACGCGTTTCTCAAATAAAAATAATGAAAGCCAAAATCGCTTTTATTGCCATCACAACACAACGCATGGCTGGAAAGTCTGTTAATTCGCTGATTGGATAATCTGACTCTCGGTCGCTTCTGCCTCTTCTGCCTCTGCTTCTGTCTCTGCTTCTGGTGTAGATGTCGTGCGGCCCATGCATTATGCCCTTTAAAAAACCAAACAAACAAACAGAAAGGCCAGGCGAATTTCCGAATTTGCGATAATGCAACCATATAATTTTCTATTAGTGCTGGTATATTTTGTTGCAGCAAATTTGCAGATTTTCACCTTATATGGTGCTTCTTTTTTCTGTCTGTCAGAAGAGGTAGCACAAAGAGCAAAAAAATACACTTGTCACTAAATCGCGTTTTATTATATCTCCCACCCGACCACTTACCATATCTTTTCTGCTTTATTTGTTTCATGATACTTTCTTTCTATTTTTTCTTCAAAAAAAAACATAACGTGGTGTATTTTGCATCACTTATTATATCCACCCATGCCAAACTCATACCTATCTATAGACTCTATTTTAAACCACAACACGGACGAAAATGCCAAAGCTCAGTACGGGCAGAGTCGCAATGTCCATTTTGACTCGGCTACACCGCCAGTCACTGAGGACGCCCGGGCATGGAAGCAACCGCCGCCTTCACCGCAACAGCAACACCAACACCAACACCAGCAGCAGCAACAGCAACAATACCAACACCAACACCAGCAGCAGCAACAGCAACAATACCAACAGCAACACCAGCATCAATACCAGCAGCAGCAAACCCAGAACCAGAACCAGAACCAGAACCAGAACCACTACCACTACCACTACCACTACCAATATTGCCGCCAGCAGAATCATCAACAGCACATACCTAGAGAAATGGATGCTGGCACAAACGTACCGCCTTTTCTGGAATCCTGGGATGACATAATTCCTGAGGAAGTGATGCGTCGGTTCTACTCAGACCAGTTCCCAGCAGAGATACGCGAGATAGTTATCTACTATTTTGACTACTACTACAGTATCTGTCCGATATTTCACCCAGCATCGTTTATGTGCCGCCTGGTCAACGGCAACATTGACCCTTTTATCATAGAGGTGATGAGGGCTCGCGCAGCCAGGGTGATATCCAAACACACTGGAAGGGTTATTGACCTTGAGTCGACCATCGAAACGATCAACAGCCGGCTTTTGCTTGACATGGAGAACCCGACTTTTGACAGCGTGCGGGCAACAGTGCTGATGACAACCTTGTCCGGCGGCGAGGCCCGCTTTATGTCATACAACATGCTGGCAGCACTGGCCAGCAGCTCGGTTGCCAAAATGGGATGGCACCGGCTGGACATGGACGCAGGTACACAAAAAACCCATTCGTGGCGCGAATGGGCCCAGTTAGAGACGCAGCGGCGGTCATTCTGGCTGACATACCTCTTGGATACGTACCAGGCCGTGCTGAATGATCGGCCGGTGAGCATCAACGATGCCCGCATATACACGGCGCTGCCGGGGTCCGACTGCACATGGGACGACATAACAATTTCGCAGCTGCTCAATTGGCCAACAAGGCACAAGAAGAACATTGACAAACAAACGGTTATAGCCACAGGCTCGCTGTCATACGCGCTGGTCGACATGTCAATTCTCGCGACGCTGTACCGGCGGATGAGCGAGTTGATGTGGAGTATCAAGCGCGGTGCGCAGTTTAATCCTGCGACGTCGCCGGCCAGAGTTGATATTGTCGGGTTTCGACGCGGGGGCGGACCGGCAGTGACCATTAAAGAGAGCCTGTTTGAGTGTCCTGAGTTTGTCTCTCTGCATACGGCCCTTTCAAAGTGGAAGAACGGGCTGATCGTGGCAGATGAAATGAAGGGTCTTGGCAAGCCCCTTGAGCACCTTTCTCAGTTTGGCAACCTGGAGCACAGGCGGTATATGATCCGCATCCGGTACTTTTGCCTGTACGCATACTACGTCCCCACTATTCTGATTCTGCACTTGATGAACCGGCCTTCTTACTTCCACAGTCCCCAGCAGCAGCAGGAGAACGCACCTGCTGCTGCTGGTGTTTCTGCCCGGTTTAATGTTGACTCATTTTTGGGTCCTGACTTCGTCGACAATACGTCTTTGATCCGCGCAATGATGTCCACATCGTTTTCCTCAACGATGAACGACAGTCTTTTGGCGTACGACGTAGTACCCGAGTCATGGGAGATTTGCCTGGATGCAATCGACGACATGTGTTGTTTCCTTGACCGCAACGATGACATTCCAACAGAGAGGTACGACCATGTGCTGATGTTCAGTATATTTTCAGCGATCACAGTGCTTGTCCGGCACATTTGCAAGAGCCAGGATAGTAGCAGCAGGGGAGGCGCTTCGGGAGTAAACATTGCAAAGTTTGGAATGCCTTGGAGCGTGCGGACATTGCGCAGTCTCTGGGAAAGACTGAAGAGCCTCGGGTTTGTCAGTGGGGCTGGCGGCATGGAGGTTTTGCTGCGCAAGATGCATGTCGAGGAAGTGGCCAACGCTGCCGAGCTGTTTGCCAGTATGTGCTTGTAAGAACCCATTGTTCTTCAAATTAATGGATATTTAAATTTATTAAAAATAAGAAATGTTTGTGTTAAATAATTTAATTTAATTTAATTGAGAAAACGAGCAAACTAGTTTAGTTGAGCGTCGTCCATGGGCAGATTATAAAATGCATTGTTGATTGCAATATATATGCCGATTCCGCCACCACTACCATTATTATTTCCATTGTTATTTATTCTTTGCATGTGAGGACCAGCAGGTCGTGTCCCCGATGAGCTCGGATCCGTAGTGCATAGATATAGCCGCGGCCAGTCCAAACTCCAAGGATAGGTATTCAACCCATGATAGATTCGACAGAGCCATGTGCAATTCGTGCTAGCCAAATAGTGGATAGGTTAGCTGAGGCCGACTATTGAGATAGTGGGTATAGCCCGATTTCGGCTACAAATCTTATTTTTCTTACCCAAAAACCTAAAAAAAAATACTATCAATCAGATGTCTCCTCTTTAACCCTTGGCTAAACAACTCAACATCTCATTGCATCTTACTACAGTGTGGGCGTGTGGGCACCCACTATATCGATAATTGTTAGCCTCTGCTAACCTATCAATTATATTTCCCAATTCGATCGTTAATATAACTCCAATTAGCAATCAGCCACTAAAGAGAGAAAATAAATACATTGAGAAATAAAACAAATAAAAAAGCATGAACTAAAGTTGATGATTAAGACTGCTTGTCTACCATGCCACCTTGCCCATCATGCGGCTCTGTTGCAGACCTGGATACATGTCCCTATAACAAAAATTATTCTAGGAGTGGTGGGGTTGGGAAATATCTAGACTTGGATCTAATTGCCCGGCAGTGGAAGTATCCGCCAGGGAGTTAGTACAATTAAACCCAAGCACTCGATCTTCCAGCCAGAGCGTCAATCGTGTCCAGGTAGTAGCCGCTGTGCATATCTGCCGTCCTCGTTGCCATTTGTCTGTGGCCACTTTGGAGGGCCGGCGCCTTTGTCTTGTCATAGATTTAGTATTTGGGATGTTTGTTGATACAGTTCTCATCAACAATTGGCGTTCCTCAGGAGCCAAATATCCCTTCATTTCCAGTTCAATCTGCAGATCATACCGTCCCTTGTACTAGTCGTGCTATTTATCTATGGTCTCGTTTACAAACGCCGTTGCTTGTTTTTCGCGCTCTCCTTGGAGTTTCTTTACCAGCGTTGTATACCTGTCCTCTGCCGGCTCCTGCCAGCCACACCTCATACCCAGCTCCACCTTTTAACCTTACAAGAATACTTTTAAACAAATAAAAATGCTTACAACTGGGATATTCTGTTGTTAGAAAACCTTATTGAAACCCCCCTTCGAAAGCTCAAAAGTTTTAAATAAAAGTTTTAAAAAGAGTGGGATAATTGGCAGTCAATGATTCAATGTGTATGTGCGTGTGTGCAACCAAATGGGAATGAATTTTATTTTGCACTTCAATGCTCGCAATTCTAATGGAAGCTTGATTTCTTCTTTAAATAAAGTGGAAAGACGCACAGTGCGGCTTTGTATTATAAAGTTTGGCGAGACTAAACTTATTTTTATTTTTAATTAATAGTCATATTAAAAAGCAAAATATTTTTTCTTATTGAATTTCACTTTCTCTTCCTTAAACTCGCTTTTTTGAATTAAATAATACTTTTAGTAGTGAAAAATCGCCAAAACGTTAACTATACTAAATCGCTACAATGGGACTAACGTATGAATTTACGAAACTTAAGATTATATGTATTGATGTTTATTTTAAAAAAAATATTAGGGACTCGAAAGAAATATCTTATAACTATACGGTTGGTAGCACCATTAAACAGGTAATAGAAGGAATTATACGGGAAAATAAACTGCTTGGCCCACAAGATGGTTATAAATATGCGTTGTACAAAGCCCCTAATTTAATAAATGCTTTAGATGATATGACCAGGCTTGAATATTTTAAGGAAAATTTAGCAAATTTTTTTTTAAAAGAGGTAAAGGTATAGAAGTAGAACACACTCATCAACTAACTTTATTTTGCGGCTTTTCTGGTTGTGTTGCTTGCTACATCAGTCGTGCGAACAGGTAAATCTGTTGATATCTGTCCTTATATATCAACAAATTATAACCGTTCTATTCAAGCAGCATATAAAAGTTTTTTAAATCTTTTTTATTTTATAGTGCTAGTTTTGGAATATATACAATAATTAAGTATTCTAAGCAAATGTCCAAAGGAGCACGGAACATTATTAGTTGATTGAAATTAAGTGATTAGCCAGTATTGGCCTTTTAACCAAAACGCACAATCACTTATAAGTTGCGCAGCGAAGTGGCACAACACAGTTGTATGTTTTTTGGACTCTTTTAGTACATTGTTCTATATTCAATACACCTGTATACATAGTATACACCCTACACGTTCACAGAACTTTTCCCTTAGAATTCAACAAACGTAAATTATTTGTAACAGAAACAAACTCGAAATATTTGGAGAAAAAAATTAGTCAAGTGTTTGTTTTGAAAAACATAATGTAATTGTGAGAAAAGCATATTTGTAGCTATTTGTTTAACTTTTATACCCGCAAAATGTGTTTTTTTATAATAATAAAAAAAGAATCAGTGTTTCTATAAAACTAAAGCTGTTTTGAATCGAGTTATAAAAGCGTGATATCACCCCCACAAGATGGCGATATTTAAGATTTCTGCAGAGATGGAGTATATATTAGAAAAAAATTAGTCTCCCCAAAAACTTTTTTGTTTTAAATTTTACAAAAGGTATATTTGCACCAAAACAAGAAAAAAAACCAATACTTTATTCATTTATTCAATGGAAGAATTAACAGAAAAACTAAATCACACAACACTAGATCCCCCGTATCAGCAGCAGGAGGATGATATCTTTTTTTCACTTCCAGGACTAGAGGCAGCATTCCAGAGTCTTCTCGAAGTAGTGCAGTACCCAATCGAGCACCGGGATAAATTTGTGCACTTGGGTATTGAACCACCCAAGGGAGTATTACTCTACGGGCCACCAGGAGTAGGCAAGACGCACTTGATCCGGGAGCTCTGCAAAGCCACGGGAGCGCAGCTTACGCTGATTCAAGGACCTGAAATCCTAGGCCCCTATTTGGGCGACAGCGAGCGTCAGCTACGCGAAAAATTCACACAGGCGCAAAAGCTTTGCGAGAGTGATCCCCAAAAAGCATCGATTCTGTTTATAGACGAAATTGATAGTATTGCGGCTAGCCGGCAGGACGGCGGCAGCAGCAGCAGTGGGGGGGAGGGGCAGCAGGGGGCGCGGATTGTCGCGCAGCTGCTGACGCTGATGGATGGATTGGAGAGTCGTGGGAGGCTGGTTGTTGTCGGTGCGACGAACCGGCCGAATGCATTGGATGCGGCGCTGAGGCGGCCGGGGCGGTTTGATCGGGAGATTAGCGTGGATGTGCCGGATGTGCAGGCGCGAGAGCGGATTTTGGCGTACTACACGCGGCTGATGCCACTGCACAGAAGCGTCGATCTGCGGGTGCTGGCGGAGTCGACCAATGGGTACGTCGGCGCAGATATCTCCTCGTTGTGTGTTGAGGCGGCGACCCACGCGATGAGCAAGAACGCACAAGGCGGCATTGAAATGGCGGATTTTGTCTGGGCGCTTGGCCACGTAGTGGCGTCGACGCGCCGCGGATTGACGGTGGATGTGGTGGAGACGCGGTGGGAGGATATTGGCGGATTAGCGCAGATCAAGGAGACATTGCGGCGCGCAGTGCAGTGGCCGCTGGAGCGCGCTCACACGATGCAGCGGCTGGGCATCCGGCCCTCGCGCGGGGTGCTCCTGCATGGCCCACCGGGATGCAGCAAAACGACGCTTGCGCGCGTCATTGCGACGCAAACTCGGGCGTCGTTTTTCTCCGTAAATGGCGCCGCTTTGTATTCGGCGTTTGTCGGCGACAGCGAAAAGACCCTGCGTGCGGTGTTTCGCCAGGCGCGGGCGAGTGCGCCGGCGGTGGTGTTTTTGGACGAAATCGAGTCGATGGTGGGCAAGCGGCTGAAGGAATCGGTCGGGGATAGTGTGCAGGAAAGGATTCTGTCGACGATCCTCAACGAGATGGACGGCGTTGATGGCGCGATGGATGGCGTTCTTGTGGTGGGGGCGACAAACCGCATTGATATGGTGGATGATGCGCTGCTGAGGCCGGGGCGGTTTGACCGGATTGTTTATGTGCCGCCGCCGGATCTGCCGGCGAGGAGGGAGATTTTGGGCATTCAGGTGAAGAAGATGGCGCTATGCAGCGACGTGGATCTGGATCTGCTGGCGCAGAGGACTGAGCGGTTTTCGGGCGCGGATCTGGCCAATCTGGCGCGTGAAGCGGCGATGCTGGCGCTGAGGCAGGACATTTGTGCGGAAGAAGTGGTAAGTGATAAACTTGCTGGCTGCTGGCTGCTGGCTGCTGGCTGCTGGCTGTTGGCTGTTGATTTGCTGATTTGCCGATTATGTGATTATGTGATTAGGATGGTTGATTGACCGATCGATCGCTGATGACACTGGCACACACACAAAGAGAGAGAGAAAGCAAGACCAGAATCTAAATTTGTTTTTTTGTTTTTTGCTTTTTGCTTTTGTGTAGAGCATGGCTGATTTCGACAAGGCACTGCTGGTGGTGCAAGCGTCGCTTAAGGAAGACGTGATGCAGTTTTACGAGGCAGTACAGCGTGAGTACGGCTGATAGGAAAAAATGGGTTTTTTATGTGATTCATAAACAGGCTTTATTTCTTCTTTTTTCTTGTTATTTTAAATGGGGGAAGAGGCGTTTCTGGAATGTCGTGATTGATGATAGAAATGTCGATTATATAATTGAGAGTGTAAAAAGTTTGTGTGCGAGTCGAGTGAAGCTGTGCTTTTTTTGCCTTACTGCTCGGCGATTATTGGTATTGTATAAAAACGGGGTTTCTTTCCCCCCTTTTTTGATTGCTTAGTTTGTTTTTTTTAATAAAAAATAAAAAAGAAGCAGAAAGAAACCATTCCCTAGCATCATCATTCTTTAGCTCCGCTCCGCTTGATTCTAATTATCTATTTCTCTTTCTAAATACCACATCCCACATATCACATATCACATATTACATATCATATCATATCATATCACATCATATATACCATCGCCATGGAGTTTCTTTCTCGGTCAAACACCTCGGCAGAGTCGTCACCAGCATCAACGCCGCTCCAGGCAGCGCAGAAGAAGGCCAGCGGCATCGGCATATCGGGGCTCTGCGGCCACCTCCACCACCACCACGTAGTGCGCAGCGACTCCCACGCAAGCATCAGCACCATGGCGGGCACCCTCCAGAGCCAGCTCCAGAGCCAGCTCCAGAGCCAGCTCCAGAGCCACCACCCCCACCACAGCCCGACCGAATCCACCTCTCCGGACACGCTCAACAACGGCGTGCGCAGTATCCAGACGCTCAGCGCGCCGCTGGACTCGTCCATCCTGGCGCTGGCCCAAACCGACGAGTTCCTCTTCGGCGGCACCCAAAGCGGCAGCATCCACGCGTGGCGCCGCAGCACGTTCCGGCTCGTGCACACGATCCAGGCGCACGCGGCCGGCTGCCTGGCACTGGCAGTGGACCTGCAAAGGCGCGTGCTGTTTTCGGCCGGCGGCGGCGATGGGCGCGTGCGCGCGTGGGACGCCGACTCGCTGGAGCCGCTGTACGACGTGTACGCGGCCGAGCACTCCGGCGCCGTGCTGGCGCTGGCGCACTTTGCGGAGGAGGACAGGCTGGCGCTGGGCTGCCAGAACACCAGCGTGCAGTGGTTTGACGTGGGCAGGCGCGGCGAGGCGGACAGCGCGCTGGCCGCGCGCGAAATGGCTGCGCGTAGGTCGCGGTTCTTCGACGCCGACTCGGCGGCGGCGGCGGCGCCTGCCGTTGCCGTGTGCACGGCGAGCCCGGCTGTTGTGCCGGCGGCGCGGGGGTCGCCGCCGCCCAGCGCGGTGGTGGCCGGTGGCCGCCCGGCGTACGTCGTCGGCAGCGGCGGCGTGCACGCGTTTGCGCACAGCGGCTTCGTCTACAGCGTCATTGCCGGGCGGCTGCCGTCGGGCGAGCCGGCGCTGTTCTCCGGCGGCGGCGACGGCGCCATCCACGTGTGGACGGGCGTCGGCGGGCCGTCGAAGCTGCACAAGGCGGCGACGCTGCGGCGCGGCAGCGAATCCGACGGCGACGGCGGCGGCGACGACGACGTGTGCGTGCATGCGCTGGCGCTGGGCGCCGACGGGCTGCTGTTCGCCGGGCTGCAGAGCGGCGCCGTCGAGGTGTGGGACCTCGAGACCATGCAGCTGATCCGCGAGCTGGCGGGCGGCAGCGGCAGCGGCAGCGGCAGTGGCGCCGAGGCCAGTGTGTTTGCGCTGCACGTGGGCCGCGGCTGCCTGTACGCCGGCGACGCAGCGGGCCGCATCCGCGTGTGGAACGGCGACCTGCAGCCGCTGGGGGCGTTCGACGGCGGCGCCGGCGCGGTGCTGGCGCTGGCCGGCACCCACGACGAGGTGGCGGCCGGCGGCAGCGGCATCGGCGTCTGGGACACCTCGGCGGTGGTGGCCGAGGGCGGCGGCCTCGGCGGCATCGGCACCGGCGGCATCGGCACCGGCATCGGCACCGGCATCGGCACCGGCGGCATCGGCACCGGCACCGGCGGCATCGGCATCGGCTGCGACCCCGCGACCTGCACCGACCCCGCGACCTGCACCGACCCCGCGCCGCCGCCAAACACGTCGGACGCGCGCCTGCTGCATGCCCTTGCCCAGTGGGTGCGGCTGCGCTCGGTGGCCGGCGTGCCCGAGCTGCAGCCCGAGTGCCGGCGCGCGGCGCGCTTCCTGCGCGACCTGGCGCACCAGCTGGGCGCGGCCGACTCGCGGCTGCTGGCGGGCGCGCCGGGCGCGAACCCGCTGGTGTACGCGCGCTTCGACGCGTCGGACGCGAGGTTCGCGCCGGACGCGCCGACGGTGTTCGTCTACGGCCACTACGACGTCATGCCGGCCGGCGACGAGGCGCAGTGGGCGACGCGGCCGTTCGAGCTGACGGGCCGCGACGGCTTCCTCTACGCGCGCGGCGTCACCGACGACAAGGGCCCGGTGCTGGCGACGCTGTTTGCCGTGGCCGCGCTGGCGGCCGCGCAGGCGCTGCGCGTCGCCGTGGTGTTCTGCATCGAGGGCGAGGAGGAGCGCGGCAGCACCGGGCTGCACGCGGCCGTGGCGCAGCACCGGGCGCTGTTCGGCGTGCCGCGGCTCGTGCTGCTGTCGTCGGCGTACTGGCTCGGCGAGGCCACGCCGTGCCTGACGTACGGCATGCGCGGCGCGATCCGCGCGACCGTCCGCATCGAGAGCTCGCGCGCCGCCGACGTGCACGCCGGCGTGTGGGGCGGCGCCGTCAGCGAGCCGCTGGCGTGCCTGGCGCACGTGCTGGCGCGGCTGGCCGACGGCGCCGGCCGCGTGCTGGTGCCCGGCTTCCACGACGCCGTGCGCGCGGTGGCGCCCGCCGAGGCGCAGGCCATGCGCGCGCTGGTGCGGTGGATCACGGCCAACGAGGCGAGCGCGCCGCTGGTTGCGCGCTGCGCGGTGGCCGGCCGCGCGCCGGAGGACGCGCAGGCGCGGCTGTACGCCCAGCTGATGCAGCGGTGGCGCTTCCCGACGCTGACCATCCACCACGTCGACGTGTCCACCGTGGCTGCGCGCAGCAACGCCACGCTGGTGCCGGCCGCCGCCCAGGCGACGCTCAGCGTGCGCGTGGTGCCCGACCAGACGCTGGACGACATTGCCGCCAAGCTGACCGCCCACATCCGCGCGGTGTTTGCCGAGACCGTTGCTGCCGAGCCGGCGCTGCTGGACGCGCTGGCGCTGCATCTGGACGTGCAGCCGGTGGCCAACTGGTGGCTGGCGGACCCGCAGACGCCTGTGTTCAAGGCTGCGGCCAAGGCCATCCGCGACGAGTGGGGCGCGGCCGACGCCAGCGGCGCGCCCAGCGAGGACGTGCCGCTGCTGATCCGCGAGGGCGGGTCGATTCCGGCTGTGCCGTGGCTGGAGGCCTTTTTTGCGCCGCACGCGGTTGCTGTCAACCTGCCCATGGGCCAGTCGTCGGACAACGCCCACCTGGACAACGAGCGCATTTCGCTGGAGAACCTGATGCGCGGCAGGCAGGTCGTGTGGCGGCTGCTGAAGGATATTGGGGAGGTGATTTAGAAGGGCGACTTGGCATGATCTGATATGGTTTGATTTGATTTGGTTGGGTTGGGTTGCTTTTTTATATTCGATTAGATTAGATTAACTGTGCCTTTCCTTTTCTTGGCACACACCCCTCCTCCTTTTTGTGTGCGCAACCTCCAACTCCGCCATCCATCTCGCCACGCACAAAGCGGACAGCACTTTGCTTCGGCTGCTCCGCTTTCATCTTTTATTTTGTTTCTTTTTTACCATTATTTTCCCAGCCGTGCTAATTCAATTCAATTCAAATCAATTTAATACTATTTAATACTATTTAATACTATCCAATCCTACCCAATCCAATTCAATCCAATCCAATCCATTCCCTCCCATCCCATCCCATCCCAATCCATTCCCTCTTTCTTTGCCTTTATTACCTTCTCTTTCCCTCAATTTAAATTCCACACCCGCTTTGCTTTGCGAAATGCCCATCAAATACTTCTTCCTTGTCAGCCGCCAGGGCAAGCTGCGCATGGCCAAGTGGTACACGACAACAAGCAGCAAACAGAAGCAGTCCACAATCAAGCAAATCACCAACCTCGTTCTCACACGCAAACCGACCAAACAGTGCAATTTCATCGAACACAACGATACCAAAGTTGTCTACCGCAAATACGCCTCGCTTTATTTCATCTCTGGCATTGGTTTGGATGATAACGAGCTCATCATGCTCGAAGTCATCCACCGGTATGTTGAAGTGTTGGATCGCTTTTTTGGGAATGTTTGTGAACTGGATCTTATATTTAACTTTCAAAAGGCCTATTTTGCTTTGGATGAGATGGTTATGGCGGGAGAGGTGCAGGAGAGTAGCAAGAAGGTGGTTTTGAGGTGCTTGACCCAGCAGGATGAAAGGGAGGCTGTGGAGAATGCGGAGAGAGGATGGGGCGATGTTAATTTGGAGGGGGTTGCGAGAACCGCCCTGTTGAGTGTGCAGGAGCTCAAGCAGGCCTTTACAAGATAATGAAATTAGAATTCTCATTTTTTAAATGTACTCTTTAAAAAAAAACGTCAATAAATAGGAAATATATAAAAATAAAAGCTGTTATTATTGATGATGAAAATGAATGTCGCATGCGACCGCTTTTCCATTCCCATACCCCCTCAATGCAAATTACAAATGGGGTTGTCATTTCAAATTATGCGCTAGCAATTAAATTTTTTTGATCTTGATATTATACAACACAACACAACAGCTTCCGGCCTGTTTTTTTTACTTTAATCCCATTAATCTCACACCATGGAACTGATGCGCTCGCTCGGCTCGCCGTCCGAAGACGACCACCTCATTCAGCCCAGCACTTACCTGCACGCGCTCGCCAAAGTCATGGCCACTCCACTCAAGGACATCCAGCACTCCACCGCTATAACCGTGCTTGCCGTGATAACATCCAGCACATTCACTGCCTCCTCACAGCCGCAGTACACTCTCCAGCTAACCGACCCCACCATCATCCACCACGAATCAACAGCGGTGGTAGAACTCTGCCTGACCACCACTGTAAATAATGACATTAACCCGGGTGATATCGTATACTTCCACAACGCCCTGGCTACCACTACCACAGCGAATAATACCAGAAAAGTTTGCTTGGAAAACAAGTCGCTGTCATTGTGGAATATTTTGGCCATTTCAGACTCTGTTCAAGATATGCCGCCGCTCGTTCAGTATTTGCGCAAATGGTGGATACTCACAAATAAGTCACTGTCACATCCTGCAAGTCCCAGCGTGACCTCACCATCGACAGCAGCAGCAACACCAACAGCAACAACAACACCAGCGGCGGTCTCGTCTTCAAAGTACCTGCGTCAGATATCCCAACTCACTGGCTGTACCTTTGCCGACCTCTACCTCGAGCTGCTCGCCCTATCGCCGCCCGAAACCGACCCTCATGGAATGGTCCTCAGACAACGCTGCCTAATGACCGACTACTCTGCCAACCCATTGATCCCCCAACAACACCTTTTCTCCTACCCACTGTGCCCTGCTAATTGCCAGATTGTCTGCGATATCATTTGTCCTGGTATGATCAACCGGATGCCGCAGCTTTTGGTTGGTGGAGTTTATAAACTGAGAAACGCAAAGGTTGACACTTTTGCGAATGGTGGAACTGTGGTGGTGCTGGCTAGGGATGTAAAGTATCCGAATACGGTACTGGTCAAGGCTGTTCCTGAGGGTGCTGTTGAGCTGGAGATGTTTATGGAAAGAAAAAGGGAAATGTTAGAAATCGCAAAGAACACCAAAAACATTTCTGCTTCTGAAACTGTCTCTGCGTCGGATGCTGCTGCCAATGAGAACATTATTGGCATCACACCTATAGCTGAAATATTAACATCAACAAAGGCAAGTTCAACATTTCGCAACAACAACAAAAAACTATAAAAATGAACAGCTTTCACTTCTCTACTAATACTTTCTCCCCATAGATCAAAAAATTTTAATTTATATATCTCATATAGACCAATACAAAGTTTCGCATATCCGCAAACATAACCGCCACCTGGCCACCGACTCCAAACCAAACGTACGCGACAATTTGCGACACTCACCGGCGAAAACTCCCTTGCACGCCATCATGCCAATCTACACACATGGAGTGTCGCTTTATATTGGAGCTCCGAGACTCCTCCTCGGCTACTTGTCTGGTTATGTTTTGCGCAAAGACATCGAGAGAGATTGCCCGACTTTTGAATATCCCGACTCATTCTGTGATACCGTCGTTTGTTAGACAGCAGGTGGCCGCGGTCTTTGCCTTGCAGAGGGTGGAACTGACAGTGGCTTCTGTTTTGTTTTCAGATGATGAGCGATTAAAGAGATGTCTTTTGATTGCTGATATACATAAATAATTTATTATGCGCCTATCTATAGTTGTCTAAGTATATGTCTATAAAGATGAATATGGGATATGGATGATAATCAAAAAATATCAATCAAGCAATGACATTGACGCTGTCAAACTTGCTGACCTGGTCCTTGCTTACGCTGGCGTCCTTGTTGTTGGCGTAAACTGTGTTGTCCTTGTAATTGGCAGCAAACGAGTCGCTGTCAAGCTTGTTGACTGTGCTGAGCGCAAATGGAAAGCCCGATCCGTAGCTTCCGTAGCTGCCAACACCCCCATAGGTGCCAACGCCACCGTAGTTGCCAACATTTCCATAGTTATTGGCACCACCGTAGTTGCTGTACGCATTGTTTGCTCCGCCGTAGGGATAGGCGTGGGTGTTGTATTCTGCGCCGTAAGGACGAGCATTGTTGTAATATTTGCCATTGTCGCAAATGTTTTTGGTGGGCTGATAGCCGGCAGAAACAGGGCTGGCATTGGCAGCGGGCGCGATAAAGGCAGCAATAGCAGCAAGAACGGTGATAGTAGCGACAAAGCAAGGCATGTTTATTGTGTTTTTTGTTGATGTGGTTGGTATTTAATCTAAAGTGGCAAGTGTAAACTGAATGAGCAGCGATGTGAGGATAATGGTTTCTTGGAATACGAGACGCCCATTGTCGCTTTTATATATTCAAATTTTTATTCCTTTCTTTCTTTCTTGCAGTCTAACAAATAATTTTTGTAACCCTTTTTTAAATAATACATAGTTGAATGCAATGCAAAATTTGCTTGTACGTGTGTTTCATCCACATTCTTTTTGATTCATCTGCCCGTCTTCTATCTCTTTTTATTATTGGCACCACGTAAAATTACGAAATATAATAGCAACAAATTAATTTGTTGAGCAATTAAAGCTACGTTTACGTTTTTTCTTTTGCCGTATCGACACGTAAACCATGAGCTGAATATTTAAATTCAGTTTTTATTTGTAAGCAACACTTGACCACGTACAAAACAGTGTGAAAAAGATTACTTATATTTCAAATCAACCAATAAAATAATAATGCCTGATTCAGTCAAATGTCTTTAAAGTTTTCTGTCGCTGCTGCTGTTGCCAATGTTATTCTTGTTTTGCAGTGTTTGTTCTTGGCACCCTGAATTTGGCCAAATCAAGCAATTACGTTGGCGCTATTGAGTGCATGCACGTTGTCGCTGACTACATTTGCGTTTTGGTTATTGACAAAGAGCGTGTTGTCGTTGAAATTGGCAGCGTAAAAGTCGCGGTCAAATGCATTCACGGTGTTGGCTGCAAATGGGAAGCCACCCCGGCCACACCCAATTCCGCCGCAACCGCCCCAGCCGCCGCCACAGCGCTTGGCCAGATGCTCGCCAGTGGAATGATCGCGTCTGATAAACGGGAAACCAGCGGTGCCGGCAACAGCAGCGCCGGTGGCAATTGCTGCGCTGTTCACAAACGGAAAGCCAGCAGTCCCGGCAATGGCAGCACCAGTGGCAAAGCCAGTGGCCAATGGTCCGACAAAGCCAGCTCCATAAAATCCGGGAGCACCAACAAACGGCAGAATCGGGCTGGCAGTGGCGCCAGGAGCAATAACAACAACAGCGCCAGCAAGAGCAGCAATAAAAGTGACAGCAAAGTTAGGCATGTTTAAAAGTGATAATTGTATGTGTGTGTGTGTGTGTGTGTGTGTGTGTGTGTGTGTTTGTAAGTGTATGAGGCAAGAGGGTGTAGAACACTGGGTGTAATGTTTAAATTGTTGAACTAATAGTCCTGGTTGTCTTATTTATACTCATTTGTATTGCATTTAATATTATTATTTGTAGTTGATACTGTATAAAAAAGGTATATATGACTATGAATATATGTTGCATCGTACATGTTACTTTACATATTTTGATACATCCTAGAATTTGATGAATTTACTTTACTTTTGAAATATTGGCTTGATATTAAACAAATCATTTACCTGGGCTAATATTAATTTTTAAAATAAAATAACTGGGTGTGAATACAACAAGCATGTGTTTATTATTTGAGTTGTGTTGTGCTATTTAGCTGGTGCTAATTAAAAACTAGATATAGCATATTTGCATGTGTTCAACTAATTTTGCTTTATAAATCAAATTAGGCAAAAGACAATAACACGACGCACATTGTGTAAGAATATAAACATTTGACTGTAAATTTTTATTATTACGTTTTTAAAAACTGATTCCTGAGATTAGACATTTCATAGTATTTGCACAATCAATGGTTTGAAAAGTACGTAATCTATTTAAATACTTGAATATGCGTTCTCGGGCCAGTGCACCAAAAAATAAAATAGCTTGGTGAACTGATTAATATTAAAGTGACTAGGTATTGTTGCGCAGACTGAAGATATGGAAGTGGATGTTGAGGCCGAGAATCGCGAAACAGGTTTCCACCTGCGCGCTGATCGATAGGACGCCAATTGGATAACGCAGGCGTAAATCAGGGAGGCATTACATTGATGCCCAAACATGCTCCCCATTCTGTAATGCACACGCATAAGCGTACACGCACGAAAACCACAACATTGACTTGCCAAGATACCGGTCTACTCGCAGAAGATCCAGTTCTCACCAACGGAGCGCACAATGGACAATGTGCACAACAAAGGCGACTGGGAACATATATAAGATGAGGCTGGCCCCTAGTAGTACTTTAGAAACATCAGTAATAAAACCTTTTATAAAATCACCCCTAACTTTTAACACTAGACAACTAGTGCTCCTCACACCCCCCTCTTACTATAACAGTATTGTAAAACTGCAAACGCATGTGTATGAAAAGCGTATAAGAAACAAACAGCAGCGCCATTTTATGCGTACTTTGCACAACCAATGTATATATATTTAGACTAGTACCAAAGTGCGTGTGTGAGTTATATTTTGGCAACATTTATGTCTTTCAAATTATACTAGCCACAGCTGAAAATGGCCAATTGAATCTGTGCTTAGATTTGTGATAGCTTTTTAAACAAAGAACATCATTTGTTTGCGTTTTGTTTGTTATTTTTAGGAATGTTATTGCGAATAAAACAGTCACAATAGACGTTATGATTTTAAACAGTTTGGATTTGAGCCATTGCAACTTATTAGCATAAACCGACACATTAAATGTAACATTTTATTTTGCTAATTTTGATGCAGCCAAGAATAAAATTTATTGGTTTTTGTAAATAAAAGTTTAAAGTTGCTAAATCATAAAATATATAGTAATTCTGGCCGTTCATAGCGGCTCAAATAGTGCTGCTGCTGCTGTTTTATATCTTGGAGTTTTTACCAGTTGCTCAACAATGAATCAAGCGATAACGTTGGCCGCATTGAGAACATTCACGTTGTCGCAGACTACATTTGCGTTTTTGTTGTTGGTAAAGACAGTGTTGTCGCAGCAGTTGGCAGCATATGCGTTGCGGTCAAATGCGTTGACAGTGTTGGCCGCAAAGGGGAAACCACCCCAGCCGCCACAGCCGCCGCCTACACCCCAGCCACCGCAGCGCTTGGCTATGTGGTGATCACCATGGCCATGCTCGATGTTGCTCCTGGCAAAGTTATGCGGCTTCTGGACAGTGTTTCCATTTGCAGCAGTGGCATCGTGGGCAGTGACGGTCGAAACAGCACTCAGGACAAAGACAGCGACGGTGGCAAAGTAGTTGAACATTGTTTTGTATGCGTGTATATAAATAGATAAAAACGATAGTGCTTGTTGAAATGGGCTGTAGTAAATACAATTGTAATTGTAATGTTTGTGTTTGGCTTTTTCTGAGGAAATTATTGTTTGCTTTATACAAAAAAGGGGGCGGTGAGCTTGCACAACTATGAAACATTTGAAAGGCAAGGCATCCGAGTGTTTCTGTCAAATGCGTATTAGCCAGCTGATAGCTGACAAAGATATAACACCATGCGCGATATATCTAAATTATATATCTGCCAGCAGTCACCCTGTTTATTATTACAAAGTATGCAATAAAATGTGTTTACTGGAATATCCATGAGTGATAGATGATTTGCACAAAATTTGAAGTTGTTTCTAAAATTTCCAAACATGGGTAATTAAATCAAAACTTATATCTATGGTACCCAGCTATGCCGACAATGAATAGCTGGCCAACAACATTGAAGATTATTTGCATGTATACATTAACCTTTTTAAATAATAAAGTTATTAGCAAACAAGCTCTCTGTATACACCTGTATAAAACAACATAAATAAATAGTTATCTTTTTTGTTTGCTATGCATAAAGTTTTACAATTAACATCCAAAAATGCCCAATGCTCAATGCTATTTTGTTCTTACAATAATTACATTTTAACTAGCGCTTGCTAGTTTAGCCTTATAGTTAGTTTGGCCGAGTGGTAAAGGCGACAGACTCGGAATCTGTTGGGTGTTCCCCGCGCAGATTTATATAATATTGTTACGCAGCCCGAGGATATGGAGGTAGACGCTGAGGGTGAAAATCATGAGACAGAACTCTCGTCAGCTCACAGATGGATCTGATACGGGCCAAATTGCAGTGTATCAAATTAGGCGCCACAATTGACATCCGGACATACTGCCTGTCCTGAAATGGATGTGCTGGGCGCAAGAATGCAGACATGCCAATTATGCCATATCAGAGACCCGGGTTATTTTCATAAGGATCAGTTCTCAAAAACGGAGCACACAACTGCCAGTTAGTGCCACAAAGACAAGAAAATATATATAAGGCAAGGCCGGCGATAATAGTACTTTAGAAACACTAGTAATTGTGGTGCCCAACACACATTTCAAGCCACTATCTTCCCTTTTCAAGAATCAAGATTGCCCTCATGGCCACTATACACATTTCTGTTATTGCTGGCTAACATCAAGGAACACCATTCTGTTTACAGCGCTGCCCACACAGCGCTGCCCCCTTTTTCAGTTCCTTAAGTAATTTTTTAAGACTTGAATATATCAATTTAGACCCACATTTTTATGGATCACGACAGTAATAAAAACCTTTATAATTTCACACCCATTATTTTAACATTATTACAATAGTGCTCCCCACCCCCTCTTACATAACACTATAGTTAGCAATAACTCTTGCATTTTAGATCTATCAAATAATGCTTAGTATTTAAATATAAAATACATATTTAATATAAACACAATCATACAAGATGTCGACCGCTCAAAGAACCATATTTTAATTTTAATTGCAATATTTTTATGACGCGCGTTATAACGTATGTGCTTTAATAATTTAGTTGAAAACATATTTTACTTTTGTTATTTGATCCAGAAATCTAAAATCCCACATTTAATGTAGCCCGCATGCCAAATTTGAATATATTTTGTATTGCGTGTTTAAAATATAACAAATATAAATAATGGCATAACTGTATGATATTGATTGTTGAGCGCTTGCATACATCTCACAATCTGATGCAAATAATGGAACGTAAAAAAACATTTGCACAAAATCGAACGGAGTAGGTGCAGTAAAAAAATAAGAAATATAATGATAGTTACTATACTCTTAAAAATACATACAAGGCAAAAATATATTTGAGACAAATCATGATATAATGTGCGGGAAGTAACAAAAGCTTGTGTTAATTGAGTATATTTAAAATACAGACTATGTAATGATGTTATAAGAGTAAAGGTTAGCCCAATGCTTATTTTAACATGTATTTTACAAATTAATGTGTTATTATTAAGTAAAAATATAAAAGTGAGGAGTTTTGCATCTACAGCTATAAAAAATTGGCAATAAAATCATTATTCTATAATAATAAACTATTAATATACACACTTTATTTATTTGGCTATCAAAGAAAGGTTAGAAAGTCACTTGTTAGCTCGTTAAAAAGCCTATATTGAGACAAGAGGGTTCAGTGGTCTAGCGGTATGATTCTCGCTTAGGGTGCGAGAGGTCCCGGGTTCAAGTCCCGGCTGAGCCCATTTTTGCAAAAATTTTACTATGCAACAACTAAACTTTTGGCAAAAGATATGCCTTCTACCAGAATCGAACTGGTGACCTTCTGCTTACTAGGCAGACGCTCTGCCATCTGAGCCAAGAAGGCTTGTTTTCAAGCCAAGTGCTTATTGCTAAGCCACTAATTAATAGTATGTATTATATACAGACAGATATGATTGTTGGGTTTTGTGCAAGTGCAAATGGGGGTTTTGTATGATTTGTTGTTGATAACATTATATATATGGCCGTATTTTTAATGGCTAGCGCTATTCTTAAATTGGTCAATCATTCAGATTTATATATAATGTTTTTGTTACAGCCGCGAGCTGGTTTATCCAAGTATTTTTTATTTGCAAGAGCACATTGATTTCTCATGTTTACACATGTTGGTGGCAAGGATTGGTAGTCAGCAAAAATAAATATTAAGAAATAAACTTTTTTTGCATCGGGCAGACATGTAGGTGTTATTGTTAGACTATAATTGTCATTATATACCAATTTATTGAAATCCCTGCTGTATCTGGTTCATATTGTTTAGACATTCATTCATCTGGTACCAACTTGTAAGCCAGCTTGTGAGCCAAATTGCATTGCCTGTAATCTAAGCTATTTATGAAAAATAGTTCTGTCATTTGATTCATTGGTAAAACCCTTTTTGTCGTTACTTTATATTTTGCACCTTTTCTATTTCGATTATTTTTGGCTTCTTTGATGCGTCTTTCACTATTCTTTTGTATGGGGATTTTGGCAGATAAATGCAGACTTTGCCTTTCAAAGAAAATGGCTTGGCCAGCAAATTGCGAGTGTGAGTATTGATAAAAAAGGCCGCTATTAAATTTTTTTGGCTTTCCACATAATTTACTCTTTCTATTTTCCACTCTCTCATCTCACCTTTTCACCTTTTCACCATCTAATTATTTTTTATATTTTATATTCTATACTTTCAGCGTTCATTAATCATGAGGTGTGAGCACACTTGTAAAAAGATAAAAACGGACATGGATACCGTGTTCATCCACGTCATTACAGATCCTATAACAGGCTCCAAAAAACACGAGTGGGTCTCGTTTGGGCGATCCAAAAGTATTGAAGCTTTCATTAAAAAGTTGTGAGAAATACACATACAATATTCCCGCATTTACAATAAGAAGAAGCGACGGTATATCATTATGCGATTATACAATAGTTGTTGGATATTATGTTGGCCAATATCACCTTGATGTTTATGTAAAACACACTATGTTAAAAGCAACAGTCATGATGGGTAAATCTATTGTCGAAAAAATATATACAAAAGACGATATAAAGAAAAAGATGAAAAAAAGTTGACGCAGCAAAATAAATAACATGCATATATTAGAGGGCCATTGCTTGTTTGCTTCTGCTTTAGGAGGAAGGCATGCGGATGAATATTTTTTGTTTAAAGTTTTCTATTCAATAATAACATAAAATAAAATAAAATAAAAGCCACAAGACTTACTATCATTTCTAAGCATGTTTAACGAAGCAGTAGGCGTGGACAAGGGTGAGTGGGAAAGGGAAGTAGGGTGGAAAAATAACAAACACGATTGAAAACGGTAAAGAAAGCGCAGCAGGTGGGAGAGGGTGAGATGGTCGGGATAGGGTAAGAAATCGGGATATTTCCGGCCATTCCAGTGTCGCTGAGTAAAAAGATTATCCAAAAAGCGATTATATCCGCCGGAGCGCTCAATAAAAGGCTTTTTTTGTTTTTGGCTTGAGCACGCTGGGATAAAAAACAAGGCACTGCCAGAATTTTTCTTTGCCTCTGGTTCGTTGCACAATAGAAAAAAGTGTTTTTGAGCGTGTCTCGCAGTGAACGAAAAAAACACCTAGAAAAATACCAAAGCTTTGGGTTTTATGCTCGACAATTGCGTTTCTCAATTCAACAAACATATCCCTTTTTTCTTCTTTCTTCTTTTTTCTTGTCCACCTTCTGTCAATTTCCCTTTATATACACAAATTCGAAACATTCAGTCTTTATTTCCTCCTCTTCCTCTTTTTCTTTCTTCCCTAACCCATCCCTGTTTCATATTTGCAGCAATGTACAGTCCAGCGGCCAGTGCCGGTCAGAGCAGCGAGTCCTTCGAGTCCAGCATGACAAGCAGCGAGTCGCTGAATTCGCGACTAATGCCGCGTGCGACGGACATTGGAGATGAGGAGCTGGTTTTCCGAAGCAATTCAAGCCGGTCAAAGACATCGCAGAACCAAAGCTACATGGCATCGATATCTACGGGACAGAAAGCAAGGAACACACTGTCTGCGAGCATGTCGCGGATGGGCCAGCAGCCGACGGGGTCGCGGTCAGCCAGCAGCTCGAGCGTCAGCGTCAACCAGCAGCCCAGCAGCAGCGGCCGGTCAGCGTCGAACAGCGCGGGCCAGAGCGGCAGCATGGGAAGGGCCTCAGGCAGCCGGGTGCCGGGCCGGGCATCCAACGGCTTGTCGCCCAAAGGCGGGGCGGCTAATGGTTCGTCAGCAGAGTATGCCGATAAAGTTTCACCAGGCGACGGCGGCAAGCGGAGGCCAAGTGGAGCCGGCGGGGGCCATTTGAGGAAGCCTAGCATAGATGCGCGCGGGTTTCTGCGTGCCTTGAACGATCTGTTTTTCGCCAAATTCTGCGTCGAGGAGCTGTTCTACCGCGAGTACCGCGAGCAACTGGTCAAGCGGATCCAAGAGAGCACGTACCGGTACGACCCAAAGGACCTGCACGACATTCTAGACGATGTCTCCGAGGCATGCAAAAGCACGAGGTACGTAAAAAAGGCTGGTTGCTTTTCCTTCACAAGGCTGCGATTTGATGTGTGTCCCGAGAGAGACAGTATTTTTGTGTTGCCATTGTTCCGATTGTTGCGCAATTTTCTGTCTTTTGTGCGGACCAAAATGGGCCGTGGTTCTTGTGCTGCGGGATATTGATTCTTCTCAGCAATGCTAACGCGGCCTGATTGTCGGATATCATCGTGACACTACTGCTGCGTTTTATTTTATTCCTCATCTTTTGTTCCCCTCTCTGGGTTTCCGGGTTGAAGCGCCATTATTTTCTGCCTTGGCATGCCAAAGCACTCTCCTCGACCGTATCGCGATGACGATTGCAGAACACAGCTCAGCTCAGCCAAGCCCAAGTTAGCAGCTGCGAGGACATCGATTTTGTAATATTTTCCAGCAGCACCGACTATGCTTTGCCGCATAATCTATGCTCTCCTTTTGTCTCTCTCTCCCTCACTCGCTCTTCTCTCGAGTCTGATGGTCTCTGTGTTTTCGGCCCCTTATTTGGCCGAACTGGTTTGGCCCGACCCAACCATTTTTTGGAGCGCTATACAACGTTGCTTCTCAGTATGCTGCTGCTGCTGCTAGCAAAAAGGGAGTGCAAAAAGACAATAAAAAGAGAGTGCATTGAGGATGCTAGATTGCCATGCTGCGTGAAAGCGACAGGCTAGCAGAAAGTGAAATTTTTTTCCGCACTTGATCGAGTTTTGCTAATCCTTTGCGTTGCGCTGATTGTAGGCTGAATCTGGATGCAGTTTCGCAGTGGCGGCTGAATTATTTTACGCGCGACCAATCGGCATCAGTCATCGACCACGTGTTTCTGATGAACGCCAACGTCATGACATACGACGCAAAGTACTCAAATGCATGCCTGGACGTGTTCTGTGCTGACCCGCTGTGCTGCGAGATCCACGCAGGACGTGTGACTGAGGAGGACAAGGCTAAAGCGTTCCGCCGCGTGCTCAACATGGTGCTCAACGAGGCCCTGCGAGTGAGGCTGATCGGCAAGGAGCAGAAGGTTGGCATCCGGCAGCGGCTCGTAAAGGGCGTGTTTGCCGCTGATGACCGAGTCAACGCAATTCGCGAGATCTCGGTGCTGGTCATGCTGGCACAGGACGAGCGGCATCGCGAGCTCATAACCTACGGGCTCAACGCATTTGGACAGGCATGGGTGCAGCCGGACACTTCTGTGGCCGACGCCGACGAGGACTGCAACCTGGACCCCGACATGGTATACCGCAAGGCATTGGGCGCCATAAACAACGCGTACTTGGAGTCTATTCTGGACGTGCGGCGGCTGGGCATGAGCATCAGCGTTGATGAGGTTGGCAAGCTGAGAGACCTCTGGGCGCGAAACAGTACAAAGGTGCCCGGCGGCCGCGTGGTGACGCTGCCGATGCTGCTGCACCTGCTTGTGCACTGCTCCGAGGGCGAGCTGCAGGAGGCACTGCCGCAGGCCGGCGTGTCGGTGGCAGCGATGGCCAAGGCCAATGCCACGCCAGGAAGCGACGCTTCCGGGCTGGGCGGCCGCATCGAGCAGGTTGAAGACGCCGCACTGCAGATTGTGCAGAACCTGGGCCTGGCCTGGGAGCTGGGAGACAATCCCCCTCGCGACCTGCGCCAGTTTTGCATGGTGCTGCTGCTGGATCTCGGCAGCGTCCTGTCAAAGTTTCTCGTGCCTGAGGCCCCACAGTCCTCACCCGGCGCCTCGTCGTCAGACACCGCAGTTGCTGCCGACTCGGACGCGTTTGAGATTGGCACGGTCGAAGACGGCCTTTTTGCGCGCTGGTGGGAGGTTTGCGAGGCTATTGTGCGGTTCGAGCGCACTCACCGCCGCTTTTACACCGCCTTGCTGATGACATACATCAAGACGTCCAGCGAAAAGCTGCTGGCCCAAAAGGCCGATTTTGATCCCGAGTTGTTCCTCACGATGATCGCCGAGCTGCTGACCGAGTACCGCAAGCGGCGGCCTGACTACGATGCTGTCGTGCTCACTCCTGACGGCCGGCTTTCCTCTATGACCGCGCAGGCGGCTACGCCCGGGAGCAACGATGCGCTGCCTGGGATCCGTGTGCTTGACCGGCGCACGCGTGAGGATATCGGCAGCGAGTTTGATCGATTGTTCGCTTGGGTCGACCAGCAGCTGCCGGCCAGTAACCGCGTGCGCTCGTTGTGCCGGGCCACTTCGCCCAAGAGCAGCCGCACGCCGTCCTGGCAGCAGATGTCTGGAAATGGGAGCCTGAATAGTATGGACAAGCTGCGCTCGTCGTCATCAGCCAGCATCGGCTATAGTTCGTCGTCTAACGGCAACCGCGTACCGTCGCAGCTGCCGCCTTTGCCCGTGAATCCGCAACCAACATCAACAAGATAACGATTTATTTTATCCTCTTCTTTTCATTTCACTTCATTTTTTTGGTACAAGTAACAACAGCAACAATGGTAGCAATTCAATTCAATTCATTTATTATCATAAATTGTTTACTTTAGAAATCCATGGCGAGCGACGGCTCGGAAATAATCTTCTTAATATCAGCGAGCACAGCCTGGTGCGCCGCATGGTCGTTATATGCTTGGAGCTGATCGCCGGACTCAAGTTCAACCAAGAGGGCGTGGGTGTATTGCTGGCCACGCTGAGTGACGGTGGCTCCGCAGCGAGATTTCAGAACATAGGGGATATGCTTTGAAAGCGCATTGAGTTCCATGACTACCTTGGCGACAAGCTCCTTGGGAGCAGTGGTTTTGACTGGAAGAAGGACGATATGGATGAACGTCATTTTTATTGTGATAAAATTTATTCAAGTTTGAAAATTATAATTGTAAAATTGAGTAAAGAAAAAATTCACTTTTTTATTTTTATTTTTGTACGCCGTGAGTGGAAGTACTTTGAGTATGGGCGGGGCTTGTTTCGTTATCCTAACACTGGCTGATTGCACCAGTACAGAACAGGTCGCTTTATTTTAATGATTAGCTTATTTAACTGGGTTGAAGAAAAGTTGGTTTTATTTTATTTTAATATAAAATAAATACTAAATAATAGAAAAGACACTCACATCGTTCCATTTCGTTTTGCACTCTTCTTCAAGTTGGCCAATTTGTTTAATTTGGTCAGACTCCGGGACAGGCCCTGCGTACACGCGTTTACAGTTTTTTGCTTTCGAGTAGAAGCTGACACATCATCAATAAAGGCAAAGACAGCAATGTAATTTTTGCCCCTATAGTCTGACAGATTTAGCTTTTTGTTAACTTTCTCGCCCTGAGCACTTAGTAATTCAATTTCATACTTCTTAATACCGACATTCTTAACCAGCCGTTGTACCGCCGCTTCAACAGTTAAATTGCTTTGGTAAAAATACCATTGCCCATCAAAAATGGAATTTAAGTCCATGTCGACTAGATAAATACCTACATTGTTGGGCTGGATATATAACTCGTGGTATTTTGGGAGATGAGGGAAGAAAGTTTGAACTAAACTTATAATGTCTTTATTATTGCTCACAAGTGGAAAGTTCATGATGAAAGTAAATCTTGTTATAATAGAAATGATTAATGGTAGAATAATATGAGAAAATAAAAGGATAGAATAGAGAGCAAGCACAACTTACTCCGTCTATACTCATGCTACATCTATTCCTAATTATTCCTAATGAGCTAGAAAAGCAGCGTACTTATAGGCTAAAGCATTATGTGAACATAGAAGCAAAGTGGAGTACATTAAAAAATATTTCTTGTAGAATGCATTGTGACTTGAAAATTGACTTTGTGAACAAAATGATACAATACTATAAAAAACTATTTATAGAAAAGAGATATTTGCATTCTTTTTCTATTAAAAAATGGACAATTGATGGACAGACAGTTATTTATTTTTAAATTTACAAGTACAGACGTTGTACTGTTCCAATAAGGGTTTATTTTTTGTTTGTTAAAATTACAAAAAATAACAAATATTGAAGTTGCGACCTACAAAACTAAAAGCTTGCACGTAAGGTTGTAAGTAGAATAAAGTGATCATAATTGGCTATGTCTGGAGAGTGTAGCATAGAAGCGGGGAATATAACGAATAAGCAGCAGTTGGGTCAGAGGAAGCCAGATTCAGCAGTATTGTCGACCGAAAGGGACAAGCAACCAATGTCTTGTTGCTATATATCTAAAATGTCTCATCAGTAACACGGACGCCGCCAATTATACGCACTCGGCTGCGAGATGACTGCACTAATATACCATGCGCAAAAGGGTTCACTGAAGGTTGAAGCTCAGTGGGTGTGGCAGGCCAGAGCGGAGGGGGCAGAATAGCTTTGCGTATAGTTATTATTGACTCACCAAATAAAACCAATTTCATTGTCGGGAGCCACCTCGCAGATGTCCAATGTGGGGTAATGATGACTGGGCGCAACAGGCGCTCCTGTTTTCTCTCTGCAGCAGCTGCGGGACCAACTTACATGGCTGCAACACAGTGATTGGGAAGATTTGCACCTACGAGTAGTTAAGGCAAAAGAGTTGCAAGTTTGGGCAGGGTCCTTGCCAAGTCCAGCGTAAGAATGTGTACTCCGAGCAATGCGCCAATATCGCTCAATACATTCAGGTTAAATTTCTATTGGCGCAGCAAGACAATGTTGCGTGATGGACCACCCGCTGGATTCACCTTAGTGGGCACACGAGTGTGTCGCGCGCGTGTCCAAGCATAAGCATTCGTGTCATATCTTCTTGGCGAGGCGCAAAAGAGATAGAAAAAAGGTTTACCTTGACAGCAAAAGTATGAGATCGCAGTGGAGCTGTTGCAAAAAAATATTGCCCACCTCCCTTACTCATTGTGTATTGGTTGATGGCGATCAACCGATTAGCCAGTCTTGGCTATTCCAGCCAAACACACAGTCATCAATAAGTTACACAGTGACCAAACAAAGCAATATGTTCTTCACCTTTTCTAGTGCATAGCATTTATATAAACCCTTTTGTACATAGTATTTTATCTCTACATGTTCCCAGAACGTCTCTCCCAGAATTCAATATATATAGTCAAATTAAATTAAACAAAAACCGCAATAATATTCTAAATATAAATTAATAAAATACCATAGTCAACAATCAATACATAAACCAACAGTACATAAAACGTTTCAATACACAATATACACAACATTGTATTTTAATAATACATATAATTAACATATCACACATATTTGTTGCGCAGACTGAAGATATGGAAGTGGATGTTGAGGTTGAGAATCGCGAAACAAGTTTCCACCTGCATGCCGATTGATAGGGCACTAATTGGATTATGCAGGCGTAAATTAGGGAGGCATTACATTGATGCCCAGACATGGTCCCCATTTTGCAATGCACATGCGTGAGTGCACACACACAAAAACCACAGCATTGGCTTGCCAAGATACCAGTCTGCTCGCAGAAGAACCAGTTCTCGCCAACAGAGTGCACAATTGGAAATATGCACAACAAAGGCGACAAAGCACATATATAAGACGAGGCTGGCCCCAGTTCTACTTTTATTCCCTTGATAATAAAAACTATAACAAACCCCAAATATAACTTTAACACTAGACAACTAGTGCTCCCCTCAAATCACAATATAGCAAACAAAAAAGATAACTATTTATTTATGTTGTTTTATACAGGTGTATACAGAGAGCTTGTTTGCTAATAACTTTATTATTTAAAAAGGTTAATGTATACATGCAAATAATCTTCAATGTTGTTGGCCAGCTATTCATTGTCGGCATAGCTGGGTACCATAGATATAAGTTTTGATTTAATTACCCATGTTTGGAAATTTTAGAAACAACTTCAAATTTTGTGCAAATCATCTATCACTCATGGATATTCCAGTAAACACATTTTATTGCATACTTTGTAATAATAAACAGGGTGACTGCTGGCAGATATATAATTTAGATATATCGCGCATGGTGTTATATCTTTGTCAGCTATCAGCTGGCTAATACGCATTTGACAGAAACACTCGGATGCCTTGCCTTTCAAATGTTTCATAGTTGTGCAAGCTCACCGCCCCCTTTTTTGTATAAAGCAAACAATAATTTCCTCAGAAAAAGCCAAACACAAACATTACAATTACAATTGTATTTACTACAGCCCATTTCAACAAGCACTATCGTTTTTATCTATTTATATACACGCATACAAAACAATGTTCAACTACTTTGCCACCGTCGCTGTCTTTGTCCTGAGTGCTGTTTCGACCGTCACTGCCCACGATGCCACTGCTGCAAATGGAAACACTGTCCAGAAGCCGCATAACTTTGCCAGGAGCAACATCGAGCATGGCCATGGTGATCACCACATAGCCAAGCGCTGCGGTGGCTGGGGTGTAGGCGGCGGCTGTGGCGGCTGGGGTGGTTTCCCCTTTGCGGCCAACACTGTCAACGCATTTGACCGCAACGCATATGCTGCCAACTGCTGCGACAACACTGTCTTTACCAACAACAAAAACGCAAATGTAGTCTGCGACAACGTGAATGTTCTCAATGCGGCCAACGTTATCGCTTGATTCATTGTTGAGCAACTGGTAAAAACTCCAAGATATAAAACAGCAGCAGCAGCACTATTTGAGCCGCTATGAACGGCCAGAATTACTATATATTTTATGATTTAGCAACTTTAAACTTTTATTTACAAAAACCAATAAATTTTATTCTTGGCTGCATCAAAATTAGCAAAATAAAATGTTACATTTAATGTGTCGGTTTATGCTAATAAGTTGCAATGGCTCAAATCCAAACTGTTTAAAATCATAACGTCTATTGTGACTGTTTTATTCGCAATAACATTCCTAAAAATAACAAACAAAACGCAAACAAATGATGTTCTTTGTTTAAAAAGCTATCACAAATCTAAGCACAGATTCAATTGGCCATTTTCAGCTGTGGCTAGTATAATTTGAAAGACATAAATGTTGCCAAAATATAACTCACACACGCACTTTGGTACTAGTCTAAATATATATACATTGGTTGTGCAAAGTACGCATAAAATGGCGCTGCTGTTTGTTTCTTATACGCTTTTCATACACATGCGTTTGCAGTTTTACAATACTGTTATAGTAAGAGGGGGGTGTGAGGAGCACTAGTTGTCTAGTGTTAAAAGTTAGGGGTGATTTTATAAAAGGTTTTATTACTGATGTTTCTAAAGTACTACTAGGGGCCAGCCTCATCTTATATATGTTCCCAGTCGCCTTTGTTGTGCACATTGTCCATTGTGCGCTCCGTTGGTGAGAACTGGATCTTCTGCGAGTAGACCGGTATCTTGGCAAGTCAATGTTGTGGTTTTCGTGCGTGTACGCTTATGCGTGTGCATTACAGAATGGGGAGCATGTTTGGGCATCAATGTAATGCCTCCCTGATTTACGCCTGCGTTATCCAATTGGCGTCCTATCGATCAGCGCGCAGGTGGAAACCTGTTTCGCGATTCTCGGCCTCAACATCCACTTCCATATCTTCAGTCTGCGCAACAATACCTAGTCACTTTAATATTAATCAGTTCACCAAGCTATTTTATTTTTTGGTGCACTGGCCCGAGAACGCATATTCAAGTATTTAAATAGATTACGTACTTTTCAAACCATTGATTGTGCAAATACTATGAAATGTCTAATCTCAGGAATCAGTTTTTAAAAACGTAATAATAAAAATTTACAGTCAAATGTTTATATTCTTACACAATGTGCGTCGTGTTATTGTCTTTTGCCTAATTTGATTTATAAAGCAAAATTAGTTGAACACATGCAAATATGCTATATCTAGTTTTTAATTAGCACCAGCTAAATAGCACAACACAACTCAAATAATAAACACATGCTTGTTGTATTCACACCCAGTTATTTTATTTTAAAAATTAATATTAGCCCAGGTAAATGATTTGTTTAATATCAAGCCAATATTTCAAAAGTAAAGTAAATTCATCAAATTCTAGGATGTATCAAAATATGTAAAGTAACATGTACGATGCAACATATATTCATAGTCATATATACCTTTTTTATACAGTATCAACTACAAATAATAATATTAAATGCAATACAAATGAGTATAAATAAGACAACCAGGACTATTAGTTCAACAATTTAAACATTACACCCAGTGTTCTACACCCTCTTGCCTCATACACTTACAAACACACACACACACACACACACACACACACACACACACACACACACACACACACACACATACAATTATCACTTTTAAACATGCCTAACTTTGCTGTCACTTTTATTGCTGCTCTTGCTGGCGCTGTTGTTGTTATTGCTCCTGGCGCCACTGCCAGCCCGATTCTGCCGTTTGTTGGTGCTCCCGGATTTTATGGAGCTGGCTTTGTCGGACCATTGGCCACTGGCTTTGCCACTGGTGCTGCCATTGCCGGGACTGCTGGCTTTCCGTTTGTGAACAGCGCAGCAATTGCCACCGGCGCTGCTGTTGCCGGCACCGCTGGTTTCCCGTTTATCAGACGCGATCATTCCACTGGCGAGCATCTGGCCAAGCGCTGTGGCGGCGGCTGGGGCGGTTGCGGCGGAATTGGGTGTGGCCGGGGTGGCTTCCCATTTGCAGCCAACACCGTGAATGCATTTGACCGCGACTTTTACGCTGCCAATTTCAACGACAACACGCTCTTTGTCAATAACCAAAACGCAAATGTAGTCAGCGACAACGTGCATGCACTCAATAGCGCCAACGTAATTGCTTGATTTGGCCAAATTCAGGGTGCCAAGAACAAACACTGCAAAACAAGAATAACATTGGCAACAGCAGCAGCGACAGAAAACTTTAAAGACATTTGACTGAATCAGGCATTATTATTTTATTGGTTGATTTGAAATATAAGTAATCTTTTTCACACTGTTTTGTACGTGGTCAAGTGTTGCTTACAAATAAAAACTGAATTTAAATATTCAGCTCATGGTTTACGTGTCGATACGGCAAAAGAAAAAACGTAAACGTAGCTTTAATTGCTCAACAAATTAATTTGTTGCTATTATATTTCGTAATTTTACGTGGTGCCAATAATAAAAAGAGATAGAAGACGGGCAGATGAATCAAAAAGAATGTGGATGAAACACACGTACAAGCAAATTTTGCATTGCATTCAACTATGTATTATTTAAAAAAGGGTTACAAAAATTATTTGTTAGACTGCAAGAAAGAAAGAAAGGAATAAAAATTTGAATATATAAAAGCGACAATGGGCGTCTCGTATTCCAAGAAACCATTATCCTCACATCGCTGCTCATTCAGTTTACACTTGCCACTTTAGATTAAATACCAACCACATCAACAAAAAACACAATAAACATGCCTTGCTTTGTCGCTACTATCACCGTTCTTGCTGCTATTGCTGCCTTTATCGCGCCCGCTGCCAATGCCAGCCCTGTTTCTGCCGGCTATCAGCCCACCAAAAACATTTGCGACAATGGCAAATATGACAACAATGCTCGTCCTTATGGCGCAGAATACAACACCCACGCCTATCCCTACGGCGGAGCAAACAATGCGTACAGCAACTACGGTGGTGCCAATAACTATGGAAATGTTGGCAACTACGGTGGCGTTGGCACCTATGGGGGTGTTGGCAGCTACGGAAGCTACGGATCGGGCTTTCCATTTGCGCTCAGCACAGTCAACAAGCTTGACAGCGACTCGTTTGCTGCCAATTACAAGGACAACACAGTTTACGCCAACAACAAGGACGCCAGCGTAAGCAAGGACCAGGTCAGCAAGTTTGACAGCGTCAATGTCATTGCTTGATTGATATTTTTTGATTATCATCCATATCCCATATTCATCTTTATAGACATATACTTAGACAACTATAGATAGACGCAGAATAAATTGAATCAACAGACATTAAATTTTCTTAAAAAAAACAAGATAAAAATACAATGCAACCACAACGACGCATTAATTTTCAATATATTTTACCGCATAAAATTATCTTTTTTGACGATCATCGATATAAAATAAAAATATTAAAGGTCATCGACAATCACCCTGCTTAATATTTTTTACAGATTGTTCAAATTTGGCTAGACATCTTTTTATCCTGTGGAGGACAGTGTGATTTTGTTCGGAAGGATTTGAGCTGAGAGAATTTAAGATTAAACATTTTATGTGCTGAGCGGCATTTTTAAAGCCAAAATTTTGATGTGCGCAATAGCGCATACCTGGAATATTAGACAAAATTGTATTATTATTTTTGGCCGCAAGACAGCTTCAACAAATGTTTTGCTCGCAATTTAACAAAAAATATACAAAATGTTGCGCTCTATCTGTTAATCATATATTGCAAATATTTAATTTACAGCAGGTAAAGCTGCTGCACTTTTAAAAATCAATTCAATCAAAATTATTTTGAATTGCAAATCCAAGCTAGTTTTCCAAAAATGCGACCATGGTATTCCTTTGTGTTTTCGATAAACCGAAATTTATTTATTCCATTCAGTTGCTCGACCACTCCAACAGGCTTTATTTGCACACACCGCATAGCGACAATGTAAACAAACTTTTTCTTTGCATTGACCATTTGGAGGTAGCATCCTTCCACATTTTTGATGTTTCCAGTTTGTACAAGTATTAAATGTAATGAAATTTAACGTAAAAGGTATTTTGTCACTATCGCCAAAATCTGACTTAAAACTATCTTGCTCAAAAATGTGAACGTTGCAAAACAATGGCCACATCAAACTCAACAAGTTCAGCAGTTTCTGGGGGGCGGAAATAATTATAAGCTGCAGCATAAAGGTAAATTTACATTGAAGCTTTGACATTTGAAACAGTAGCTGGCAATGTCACCTGACGGTGATGGGGAGCATGTCAGTGCAGTGGTCATGAGAGTGGGCGGTGATGGTAGCCGACAGGAGTGCTTGTTTTAATATTTTAAAGCTGTTACCATCGCCCACAAAAATGATGGAATTGATAACCAAACCGAGTAATTTTAAAACAATATATTTGTCAGTTTAGGCACATGGCGTTGCATGTTGTTATACTGAGATTAACTGATTACGCCCGTGACAATTGATAAATGATAAGATTATAGTTTATTTATGTGCCAAGGAGAGCATATAAGGAATGGCTGCCGGGCAGCCAGCAATTGTCCTCCTCGGAAGAAATAAATATTCTTTTTGATTTATACCACTTTGTAACATATTAAATAACTTAAAGAATAGACCCGTCTTTGATAGAAATACCAGAAAAACGATTAATTGAATTTTCCGAGAATAATTTAGCTGGCCAAAATATTTAAGGTTTACAATGTTTAATTTGCATAAATAATAGAACAATGTCACATCAATATTAAAGAAGCCGTATAATATTGTTTTAAAATCACTAAGACGCGCTGCGACCCAAATAAGCTAGGCACCTCATTGGGTACTCCTCAATTACAGTTACTGTTGAAAAAACCAAAAGCTTGTGCAACCCAGGATCCAAATCACCATGTATGACCAAAGTGCCCAAAGTCAGATCCTTCTTTTTACACCTTACAACCTCAGCTAACATTCGACCAATCAATCTCTCCACACAAACAAACTCCCTCCATGGCCGCCCCTCTGACACCTCGCCAACATCCTTCGCCTCCCGATTACATGCCCACCACAGCCGATCGGCTTGATCTTCAGGAAATGTAAAATCATAGGTGAACGGAATGGGGTTGGAGGGAATCAGATACATTTCTTCTAATCGATTGGGTTCGGTTTTTTCGTACGCTGGCGGCGGCGCCTCTTTGTTCCAATGGTCTCTGGTCTGCTGCTGCTCTGCTTCCTTGTTGTTCAATAGTACATTGGTGCCTATATCATCTTGAACCAAATCCGGCACCAAAGCATATGGTGCTGCTAGATATGGAGGTATCAACATAGGCTCTGGCGCTGACACTGGTCTAGACCGTAGTCGAGGGTCTGAAGTACACAGTCGACTAAACACAAGTTCAAACCCCTATCTCTCACTCCGACAACTCCACATTAAAGACCCTGTCGCTGTTATCGCACCACCGTCCATTTTGTAAAACTATGCTTTTGATATCGACAACCCCTTAGCCTTTTTCATATACACAGGCCTCCCTGTATCAGTATCTATCGCGTGTATTGTGCGGTACAAGAGCTGCGGATATTTCAATATGTATTGTTTGTGGGAAATTGTTTCTAGTGTTTCTTCGTAGCTTGGTAGGTCCTCGGTTTCATCTCGCAAGGGCAACAGCGATGCATTTTATGGAAAGACATTGTTAGATGAACTGCCCAAATTCATGTTTTTTATTTAAAAGAGTAAATATACAAAAATTTAAATTGGAGGTAAGAAAAACGTTGAATTTGTAAACACCAAGAGTACAGAGATGATTACAGCTGTTTTTTATGTGAGCGCTCCCTATCATCAAGCCTCGCATGCCATCAATCAAACAAAATAAAAGTCTAACCAGAAAGATTTAATTAAATCAAGCGGTAGAAAAGCAAAGCTGAATCCACAGCACCGCGCTGATATCTCCTGACATTATCGACGTTTCTCCACAGATGCACCACTCATATATAAACAAGCAGAGCACAATTGCCACATTGCCATTTTCGTTCTCAGTTGTGTTTGTCTTTGCAAATATTGAACCTAGTTTCCTATTTTGGTTATTGCGGGAAAATCTAAGGCATTATCTGCAACATTCGACTGAATTTATTGGCCGATTTGAGTACCAAGCGCCTCTCACGCCCCTTATTGTAATAGCAGGGGATAATCAGAAACAAATGCTTGCTGTTGTTTTCCACCCCCTTTTCAGCCCTGTTTTCTTCGTACTTGTTTTGTTGCAGTTGTGTTGCAGTGTTTTTCTTGGGCCTGATAATTTAAATCGACGAGATGCAAGGCAGATCGTTTGTCATATTGTCGGCTGAGAAGTTGTCGAAAAATATTACAATTTTATGTGACTTGTCCGTATTCCTTCTGTTTAGAACATTTGTGTTTGCATGCCGCACGCAATGGCAACAAGTGAGGCTCACAAGCGTATTAATGAATGTTTTCATTTTCATTTTCATTAGTGATAATTAAGTGGAAAACACTCGCACGCAAGCTGGTGGATATTTTGCAATTCTGCTTGTTTTGCTTATTTTTTCGTTGGTCTTTTTACACTTCTTTTGAAATATAAAACAGGTCTCCATAATTGCATTTCATATATTTACATTTCACAGATGCGCGCACTTCTTAGAAGGTCACTTGCCTTCTTTTCTGCAATACCAATGTCACACACTGGAAGCATAGTGCGATTTGTAGAGATCTATCCTGGCGGGCTTTCTACACCTGTGCGACCTTGATTTTAAAAGCTGTCATGCAGCCATAAAATCTATAGGGCACTAATTGCAGGCGGCAATGCGCTATTTACAGTATAGCTGCACCTAAATATTTCCACCACCGCTTGTCAGACGCGGCCGATTTAAAATATAAGCATGCAAATGCATAGTTTCATTACTTTATTTGTTATTGTGGGCTTGGATAGAATCAATTTTGGTGTCGTGCAATAAAATAGGGCAGCGTAATGTTTTCTTATAATAATACGGAAAATGGATTCCGACGTAAATCTCGTTCTTCTCATTTTCATGCATTGTGACAATCATCAAAATGGTGCGCTTTGGGGCTTCAATTAATTGCCATATAATAGATTCGCAACACACATACTTTGCCCAGTTGTTTTTCACTTCCCAAAAAACAGGGACATTTCTTTATTTGCCCAGGATTTCAATGCTGATCTTCAAATAGCGTACCAAACAGAATGTTTTCAATATTTTAATTCAGGTCGAAGGCTCATAGACAATAGATCATCGGTGTCATGTCACCTGCAACAGCAGACAAAGCATTGTAACTATTGCAAACTTGGTAACAAACCAGTGCGCTTTCTGTTCCGCACAAGTGGATAAAGGATTTCAAAAGTGCGCTGCTCAGGGCAATGCGATGACAATTAAGGATAGCAGTTTTCCATAAAGAAAACGATTAATTATGTTTACTCTTCTGTCAACAAACATTTACTCACTTCATGTTTGAAACAAGTTGTCATATATTGCGAGCAAATTATTGGCTTCCTGAAGCGTCCAATATTTCCTTTTTTACTTTTACAACTTCAAAGTATTAATCCCCGTTCCGCCCGTTTCATCCAGTCGGCCGGGCGTTGTCATTTTTGGATATAATGCCACTCACATGCCAGGAAATATACCCATCCAGAGTTTACCATCCACAATCAAATTTTTCTCCAACTTTTTTTTACTGTTGCCCATCTCGTTTATAAGTCATTTTTATTTTGATCCACTTCTTAATTATCCAGCTCTAATTTTTACATCCTTTTTTTCTACAATGTACAAATCATTCAAAGTGCCCAGCTCCGAAGTGCCTGGCTACTCTGCTACCCACCGCCATCCTGAGTATAAGGACGGCACACAAAATAACAATTATGCCAACATCACAACGGTGTACGAACTTTTCAAGACCGCTGAGACAAACTACCCCAAGGCCGAGTTCCTCGGCACTCGCGAGTTCACACCCAAAACTGGCAAATTTGGTCCTTTCGAGTGGATTTCCACCACTGACGCAGCCGAAATTACTGACGAGTTCGGCGCCGGTCTTGACAACGTTTACGCAAAGTATGCTCCTGAATTAGACGCTTTCACTGGCCAGCAGCCGCTTGGCATTTACTCCGTCAACCGTGCCGAGTGGCTGCTCACTGAGTTAGCTGGCTTCCGGTCACGGCGCTACTCTGTTGGTGTGTGCGACTCGGCCGGTGTTGACTGCGCCGAGTTTATTATCAACCACTCTGGGTTGCAGGTTATCGTTTGCTCGCTCGACAAGATCCCGCGCATGCTTGACCGGATGGCAAACACGCCCAAGGTCAAGGTTATCATCTCGATGGACAAGCTGGACTGTTCAAAGCCTAACCTGTCCACACAAGCCTTCACACCCGCAACTGTCGACAAATTGAAAAGCAAAGCCGCAGCCCTTGGTTTGGTTCTTTTTGATATGAACCAGGTCATCCAAATGGGCCAGTCTAAGCCGACTCAAGCCACTCTGCCCAAGCCCTCCGATTACTGCACACTCTGCTACTCCTCAGGCACGACAGGGGCACAGAAAGGCGTTCTTACCACACACGGCGGTCTTATTCACGCTGCGCGCTCAGCGCAGCTGACTTTAAAAACTGAAAACACAACATACTTGTCTTTCGTCCCACTTGTGCACTGCCTCGACCGGTACGGCATCTACACCTTTATGTTTGGCTTTATCCAAATTGGGTTCTACTCTGGAGATATGAACAACCTCGTTGACGACATGCAGACTCTGCGTCCAACAATTATTGTTGCTGTCCCGCGGCTGCTCAATCGCATCTACGACCGCATTGCATCGTCAACTATTGGTGCCAAGGGCGCGGTCGGATTCCTATCACGTATGGGATTCAAATCTAAGGTCAAGCGGCTCCAGGCCGGCCGCAGCGCCAAGCACGCTCTGTGGGACAAGCTTATTTTCAATAAGGTCGCAAATATATTTGGCGGCCGCGTCAAGTTGATGATTTCTGGCGCCGCTACAATTGATCCTAACGTGTTGACGTTTTTCCGCACCAGTTTTTCATGTGATGTCCTTCAGGGCTATGGCCAGACAGAAAACATGGGTTCAACGACATTGTCGCCTCTTGGCGACCCAAGCACCAACCACGTCGGCTTGCCTAACCCCGGCGTTGATGTGCGCTTGAGAAGTATTCCCGAGATGGGTTACCAGGTCACCGACACCCCATGCCCGCGTGGCGAGGTAATGGTGCGCAGTGACAGCGTGTTTAAGGGCTACTACCTGGAACCTGATAAGACCGCCGAGGCCATGGACGGCGAGTGGCTTGCCACCGGCGATGTTGCCCGGATTAACCTTGATGGCACCTTCACAATTATCGACCGCATCAAAAATATTGTCAAGACTGCCCAGGGCATGTGGGTGGCGCCGAGCGTCTCGAGTCTATCTACAACACAAACCCGCTTGTCCAGACTACTTTTGTCCATGGCGACGAGCACGAGCGCAATCTCATTGCCATTGCTGTGCCCGACCCCGTCAGCTTTATTCCCTGGGCACGTGCCCTTGTTTCTCAGCCCAAAGCTGATCTGGCGACTTGTGCGCCAACGAGAAAGTTGCTGTTGCTTTGGCCGAGCAACTAAAGGTCATGGCGCATTGGCTGGCCTCTCGGCGCAGGAGCAGATTTGCGCGGTACACCTGGAACCTACTCCCTTCGAAAACGTTAACATTGGCTTCTACACTTCAACTTTCAAGCTTCGCCGGAGAATAATGATAGTGCACTACAAGAAGGAATTTGAGGCGACATTTGCCAAGCTTGGCACCAACGATGCTGCTGCTGTTGATACCGAGCTCTTTTTGTCCACATAATTATTTTATGGCGGCCACATGTGTAATCTATATTTTATTTGCTAAATGTAAAAATGTCACTTATAATAAAAAGGATATATTAATCTTAAAATTTTAACAATATATAATAAGAAACAATAAATAATTACTATAAACATGCAAAGTATTCAGCAATTATCAATAAGAGGGTTACCAAAGGCCTTTGACAAGCGCTCTGTTTAGTAATTTTTAAAGCCAAAATTTTATAAAGTGTGCAATGACACATGCCCGAAAAATTAGGCATTTATTTTTGGCTGCAACACAGGTTCAATAATTTTTTACTTGGAAATTAATAAAAATATACACAATGTTGCGCTCTATCTATTTTATTTCACAAATAATTAATTTACAGCAGGCAGAGTTGGTGTAATTCAAATGTAAGATTTTCGATGGCTATTAAATACTCAGCTATGTCTGGAGAGTGTAGCATAGAAGCGGGGAATATAACGAATAAGCAGCAGTTGGGTCAGAGGAAGCCAGGTTCAGCAGTATTGTCGACCGAAAGGGACAAGCAACCAATGTCTTGTTGCTGTATATCTAAAATGTCTCATCAGTAACACGGACGCCGCCAATTATACGCACTCGGCTGCGAGATGACTGCACTAATATACCATGCGCAAAAGGGTTCACTGAAGGTTGAAGCTCAGTGGGTGTGGCAGGCCAGAGCGGAGGGGGCAGAATAGCTTTGCGTATAGTTATTATTGACTCACCAAATAAAACCAATTTCATTGTCGGGAGCCACCTCGCAGATGTCCAATGTGGGGTAATGATGACTGGGCGCAACAGGCGCTCCTGTTTTCTCTCTGCAGCAGCTGCGGGACCAACTTACATGGCTGCAACACAGTGATTGGGAAGATTTGCACCTACGAGTAGTTAAGGCAAAAGAGCTGCAAGTTTGGGCAGGGTCCTTGCCAAGTCCAGCGTAAGAATGTGTACTCTGAGCAATGCGCCAATATCGCTCAATACATTCAGGTTAAATTTCTATTGGCGCAGCAAGACAATGTTGCGTGATGGACCACCCGCTGGATTCACCTTAGTGGGCACACGAGTGTGTCGCGCGCGTGTCCAAGCATAGGCATTCGTGTCATATCTTCTTGGCGAGGCGCAAAAGAGATAGAAAAAAGGTTTACCTTGACAGCAAAAGTATGAGATCGCAGTGGAGCTGTTGCAAAAAAATATTGCCCACCTCCCTTACTCATTGTGTATTGGTTGATGGGATCAACTGATTAGCCAGTCTTGGCTATTCCAGCCAAACACACAGTCATCAATAAGTTACACAGTGACCAAACAAAGCAATATGTTCTTCACCTTTTATAGTGCATAGCATTTATATAAACCCTTTTGTACATAGTATTTTATCTCTACATGTTCCCAGAACGTCTCTCCCAGAATTCAATATATATATAGTCAAATTAAATTAAACAAAAACCGCAATAATATTCTAAATATAAATTAATAAAATACCATAGTCAACAATCAATACATAAACCAACAGTACATAAAACGTTTCAATACACAATATACACAACATTGTATTTTAATAATACATATAATTAACATATCACACATATTTGTTGCGCAGACTGAAGATATGGAAGTGGATGTTGAGGTTGAGAATCGCGAAACAAGTTTCCACCTGCATGCCGATTGATAGGGCACTAATTGGATTATGCAGGCGTAAATTAGGGAGGCATTACATTGATGCCCAGACATGGTCCCCATTTTGCAATGCACATGCGTGAGTGCACACACACAAAAACCACAGCATTGGCTTGCCAAGATACCAGTCTGCTCACAGAAGAACCAGTTCTCGCCAACAGAGTGCACAATTGGCAATGTGCACAACAAAGGCGACAAAGCACATATATAAGACGAGGCTGGCCCCAGTTCTACTTTTATTCCCTTGATAATAAAAACTATAACAAACCCCAAATATAACTTTAACACTAGACAACTAGTGCTCTCCTTAAATCACAACAATGTCAGTCCCAGTTTCAGTTCTAGCATCTCAACCTACTTTCTGTAATTAAATAAATTAATATTTTTGGCCAATATGCTTTTGTATTTAACAATACACTTATTTACGCGCTTGGTTTGGTCTTTTTCATGCCTATAAAATTTTGTGTTGCACGCATTGTAGGACAGCAATTTTATTCTGCGGCGTCCTTATAATCTTTTGTAAGATAATTTTTTTGGTTCTATTTACGCTTAATCGAATCCTTTAACTTCAGGTGTGTTCACTGTAACGAAACACTTTGCTCCTGATGGTATAGCCGCTGCAAACAACCAGTATGCTTTTTCTTTGTATTAAATTTTGTGAAATTACAATCAACAATATTTGCTGTAGTAGAATGTAGTTTTATTAACTGAATTTATACTATATTAATAAATATAAATATTTTAGTTAAGCAAAAACTAGCATTAGGATTTGGAAAGTTTTAAGGCAAAATGCAGCGATCAATTGGCATATTGATTATGCTCCAGCGACGTATTGCTGAAGTGGTGACATACACGCTCAAGATCACACCAACCACCGCCAAAATAATATCGCGCACACGTTGCCACCTCTGATTACTTTTAGTGCCAAGCAAAAGTGTATTAAAGGCGGATACACAAACCCAAGGGGCACACATGCAACGCCTCCAATGACAGACACAAACAGATCCAGCCTATCCGCCCCCACGGCTGCGACAGTCAAAACAGAAACAATCAATGTTATACGGAACATATTCTTGCCAAATTTAACACACGAATTATGCTTCCCCGAAGCGATGGAAAAATAAAACGACTCGAGTGCCTTGTAGACCGGATACATTGTCATGGGGATAGCTCCGGCAACGGCCATGGCATATATCACTCGAATTACTTGCGTGGCAATGGCCTCTGGGGGCATATTGATGAGTATGATTTGCTGCGTAGTATCACCAAATGCCGCATATGATATGCCGCCAACAGTTAAAGATAAAAGGGCACATGTGGATATTGCCAGGACTAGCAAACAAGGCATTTTTTCCGGCTGTCGCATCGCCGCGACAACAGGCAATACAAACCCATGATTTGAGTACGTGTAAACGGCGGATCCAAGAAACAGAGGCACATTTGCGCTATTAAAGTGTTTAACATTTGGTCCATAACCGCGCTGCATGAGCATCCGCGAGCTAATGCTGAGCACATATGTGAGGCCGACAAATACAAAGACATTGGCAACGAGGGATACCCGGGAAAATCCCCGCATATGGCGTATCAGACACAGTGGAATCAAAACAATTCCCTGTATGGCTATCCAAAATCCAAGCGAGAGCGTGTGCCACCGGCACCCAGTCAAGTCGTTAAATGAGTCGCGCAGATTAGTGGCCACAAAAGCAGAACCGACACAGGAATACCCCAGATACAACATAATTATCGATGCATTGACCACACTCTCCATCCGAGTTCCATAGGCACGGCGCGCCAAGTCTCCATACCCAATATTAATTCTGCCATCGGATTTGTATATTTGAAGCTGGCAAGACACAGCTGGTTCAGAGTGAAGAGCGACGCAAAGCCCGAAAATACAATGATTATAGCGGAAAAGAAAAGTCCGGCATTTCTGAATGCTTGAGGAAGGAAGAGCATTCCGCTGCCAATGAGAGACGTAGCAGCAAAAAAAATGCCTTTGGTAGGGATGTCTGGTATTGGAGCGGCTTTCCATGTTGCGGCAGCAATGGTGCTCGTTCGTTTGTCTGCATGGGGTTGATGCCGACCTTGGTGTTGTATATTGATGTTGCCATTATAAAAAGCAATAGCAAAAATTAAATAATTGAAAAATTGAAAAATGTCCAAGCGATGTGAAAAAGAGATTTAAGATAGGAAATAAAATAAAAAAGAGGATTGAGTACTGGATGTAAGAGCCAGATCTCTCATATTTATATTTATTCATATTAAGCATTGGCAACAATACAAATTAATTTTTCTCTCTATTCCTAAAAACACTTAAGCACTTCATTGCGACTTGGGTGGGGGTGGCGATTGGTAAATCAAGTTTTTTTTTGGAAAATGCTCACCTGGTCTTATTTTTCATGTGTCCAGATACATTGTTCTTTATATTGGGTATGTGAAAATATTGACATGTATGTATTTTCCTAATAAAAAACCTCCCCAGAAAAGCCAATACTATGCCTGGAATATATTTGATATGCTTACCTGGAACAAGTAAAATTAACATTTTTTGGCTAAAGAACGCAATCTGACAAAATGGCTCTCACAGTATTAAAATATCAAAATACCAATCGCCGAATAAAAAGTTATGATTTTTGAGATACGTCTAGGCCAACAAAGATTGAAGACTAGTGTCGCCAGCAAACAACCATGTGGGGGGCCCACTCAGCTTGAAAAGAGGCTGCATTTACCGGAATTTGGAATTTTTATTCACACTTGTTTCCAAATGCTTTTACTGAGATTCTGAAGACGCTATTTTATCTTTAAAATCATTTATAATTGGCTTGATTAGAGATGTTCCACCAGGCAGAATGGCTGCCCCTCGCAACATATGATATTATATTTATTTCTGTGGATCAGTTAAAATTCCGCTTGTTTGTTTGTTTATTCGTCTCGATCATTTTTCTCACAATTCACGGGCGTACAAAATGCGCTCGCGTGTACATCATGCAAGGATAATAATGCACATACATGTGATCAAAATATTTCTGTGCATTGTCTGCTTCTGCAGGGTGATACATGCGAATCACAGAGTAGAACAAATCGGTGAGAATATATCATTTCACACGCGTTATTCCTCTCCCCCATTTGCACTTTAATTTTGTCTGTGGTTTTTTTGAAGAGTATATATTATTAGCCATGGATCATTCTTTGTCTCCAACACAGCAACAGCGACAACAATGGCAGCGACAACAATGGCAGCGACACTATCGAGCAGCCCCAGTACAGGCGGCACCTTGGACGTCGACGGAATAGGCAGATAGATTCTGACTTTGGCACGATCCAGATGAGCAGCAGCTCTAGTTTTGGAAATCGCAGTACGGACAATGTCTCGCTGCAGCAGCCGCCCCGCCGCATAGCGCCTGGCACCACGGCCGACACAACGACAAACATTCCCGAAACAAACGTCCTGGCGCCCGGTGGATGGGCGGTAAATGACGGCACAGAGATTCTGGCCGCACACAGACGGCCTTTGGCGCGGCGGCGGATCCTGAACTGGGTCCTGCACTTTATCAAGGTTGTTGTGCTGAGCATCATCGTCATACTCCTGCTGGTCGCCGTAGGGTCCCGGTCAGTGATAATGGAATGCCGGCCCATGCCGGCAAATATGACTCGATGGAGTTTGATTGGCAGCTCGACCCGCGGTCGTACTTAAAGCCGATGAACCCGAATTTCACACAGTACAATATTTTGCTCGACGCGCACTTGCACACGACGTACTCAGACGGCGTGCTGTCGCCCAAGCAGGCAGTCGAGTTTGCGCTGGCTAACGGGTACAACGCTGTCATAGTCACAGATCACCAGACGGTGGATGGCGCATTGGCAGCCAGGGCGTACGCCGAGGAGCACCTGCAGGGCCGCATGACGGTGATCCCTGGGATGGAGTATACGTGTTGCCGGATCCACATGAACCTCATTGGAATTAATGAATCGGTACCCGTGCACCCGCCATCACCCTCGGATGCCGAGCTGAAAGCGGTCATCGACAAGGTGCACGGCATGGGCGGGCTGGTTATTGTCAACCACATTCCGTGGTCTAACACCACGGTGCTGCCTTGGGATGCACCGCGGCTTCCAAATCATCCAACGCGCGAGCAGCTTCTCGACTGGGGTGTCGACGGCTTCGAGGTGGTTAACCAAAATACCGTTGACTTGCGCAGCTACCAATTTGTCCAGGAGCACAGCAGCCGGCTCGTGGGTCTGACTGGCAGCGACATGCACTACCCGGGTTCCTCCTACGCCTGGACGACCATTAATGCAAAATCGACATCAGCCAAAGACATTCTCGATGAAATTCGCGCCCGCCGCACATCCTTTCTTTTGGACGCCAGTGGGACGAGACCCGTCCAGGACCCGCCGTACAGCCAGTCGTACTTTAGGTATGCACCCTGGGGCCTCCTGGGTGACTACTTCCACGGGTATGCAGACCGCAGCCGCGGGATGTACTCGTTCCAAGGGACGTTCTGTCAGGAAGAGGTGCTGGATATCCACAATACGATGATCGGGTGGTTCTTCTTGTGGCTCATCGTCTCGATTGTCGTGCTCGAAATCCTGTATTGGTTCTTCCGCTGGCTCATACTGCTGCTTGTCCGCCTGGCGAGGCGCAGGCGGTAGAAATAATTTTGATCGGGATCAAGATATTGATTTTGGATCATGCACGTGATTGTGGAGATAATAAGCGCAAAAGGGCTGGGGGTTTTCCTTCAAGTCAGGCCATCGCGCGCTTATCACCAGGGGACGTTCTTTGTGCGTGTGTGAAACATGCGCAATGAAGGACTATTGGCTCGGGCAAACAGGAAACGAATTCGACATTTGAATTCCAACCTCTCTTTTTTCTTCTTCTTTTTTCGAATTGATTGAATTTTTGCTTTTTATTTCAATTTTCGGAATCACAACCTCATAATGCTTAGAATCACGCACCTCGCACGCACCGCAGCGTCGCGCGGCACCCGCTCGTACTCGTCGGGCATGTTTACCAAGGAGTCGTACAAGGCCTCCAAGGAGCACGCGCGCAGTAAGTAGCCAAGGAAGAGGGCGAATTGAGGCCAATTAGAATATGCTTTTTGGAATTGCGCTGAATCGGCCATACGGCTTTTTGTTTTTGTTTTTGTAGCTGCCGTCGAGACCTGGCGCAAGATCTCGCTGTTCGTCGCCATCCCGTCGGTCGCCATCATGTGCTACGTGTCCACCAAGGAGGAGCTGGACCATATCCACCACCTGCAGCACGACCCGCCGACCTTTGTCGGGTACCCGTACCTGCACGTGCGCAAGCGCAAGTTCCCATATGGTGACGGCGAGCACACGCCGTTCTGGAACCCCCTGACCAACCCCGACCCCGAGGAGTAAAAATAGGTGTTTATTATATTTGGCCAATGCCCAATGTGCGTTAATAAAATCACTTTTTAGGATTCCATTCATCTTTGTTGCTGCGCGAAAAACGCGCCAATATCAGCATCTGTGACGACTTTTCCGGACGCCGCGAACGGCCGCAGATAGTCCTTCAGGCGGCTGCTGAGCGTATGGTAGGCGGCCGCCGCGTTAACAGCCTGTGTGCGGTCCATGCGCGCCATCTGTGCCATTGCTGCCTCATACAACGATTCACCGCGTGTGTCGTCCTCCTCGGGCTCAACAATATCATCCTTGCCTAAAAGAAAACTCAGCCCGCTTGTTTCGATCGAGCGCATGCACTCCAGGCACGTGCAGATGTCGCCTTTCCAGCCGTCCGATAGGAACAGGTCGGATGGCTGTTGAGCGTCGATCGCGGCCTTGTCCTGGCGCAGGCGGCAGAGCGTCTGTCGCGGTCGTTTGTGCGCTGGTTCGGGGATGTCGTCCAGCTTGGTGTCATCCTGCTGGGCGCTGTCGGGTACAATAACCTTGGTGCTGCTGTTGCCATTCTCTTCACCGGACACATCATCCTCGCCGGCTAGTGCTGGTGCTGGTGCTGCTGGTGGTGCTGCTGCTGCTGGTGCTGCCACGCGCCTGACAGTTGCATGAGCCGAGTCGATATGGCGCAGAACAGCGTGGGTGGCCACCACTCTCTGCACATGTAGGCGTCGAAGTCGTTCTCGCTCGGCAGGCATCGCCGATGCATGTCTCGTGAAACCAGTCGCTGCACACGTAGCACTGCACCATGGCCGCAACTTCCTTCTCGGCATCGTAGTATTTGTCGCAGCGACAATAGTGGCCCCAGAAATTATGTCCGTATGCATTCTGCTCGTTCAAAATGCCCACCAGCGCATTGCGCCCGCTCTTTAAGCGACAACAAAGCCCCGTTGCTGCCGCTAGTCTCTTTGTGCCGCAGTCGCACCGAAAGTGCCGTTTTGTGAACAGCTCAATGACCTGGTGGCCTGCATGGCACTCGATACTGCACGAGTAGCACATTCCGGCAGGGTCAGTCTCTTCACGCTCACTGCTGCTGTGTGGTGTTGTGCCGACAGATGGCTGTTGGTATTGCTTGGGCGCATGGGTGCATGTGAGGCAGGCGTAAAGCGGCTGGTGGATGTAGCCTTGGTCGAAGGTGCACGTGTCGAACTTTCCGGGTAGGAGCTCGGCTGCTTCGCGCTCGAGGTCGGCTTGCGCGATGAGGAAACTGTGCGCTGTGATAATGCTGTCGCTTTCATCGGCCGGTGCTGGAGAAAGACTGTCTTGTTCTTTTTGTTGTATCTCTTCGTTTTTTGGCTCGACCATTGCAGGAGTATCAAAAGCAACTACTGGTTATGTATGAAAAGGATATGGATTTATGTTGGATTTAAAGTAAACAAAAGGACAAAAGGCGAAAAAGATATTCGCCAAACCTGCCTTCCCACCCAAATCATACTGCGCTTGATTGGCTGATTGGGAGCATGTTTTTTAAATCAATCAAATGTTGATAAGATTTTGAGATGAGAGCATGCGCTGAGCTGTTTAAAATGCTTTCACTTTTTCGTTCAATTGAAGTTGAATTTCTCAAGCTTTTCTTTTTTTTTCCTTCACTTTCTTTATTTTTCTTCACCTTTATTTTCTTTTACATTTTTATAATTCAAAATGAACTCTATCGGACTCTCGGCAGCGCGCATCTCGGGAAGAGGTACAAATTAGAAAAAGACAACGAAATCGCACGATTGCAGCCATTTTCAGCAATTCCGAATCCACTAATCATACACCCCCGCCCTCTTGCTTTGGTGATTTTTTTTGCATTCCAAACAAACATAGTGTTTGCCCGCTGGCTATTGCAACGTGCCACCACACAATCGCTCAAAAACAGCCTGCGCCTTGCGCCCGTGCGCGCCATGTCGAGCGCCGTCGTACCGCGCACGCACGACCAGATCATCAGCAAGCCCGACAGCGCTGGCGAATACGTGCTGAGCTCTCTCGATAAGCTTTACAACTGGGCATTCACAGCATCCACATGGCCAATGACCTTTGGTCTTGCATGCTGCGCCGTCGAGATGATGCACATGGCGGCAGCGCGGTACGACCAGGATCGTATTGGTATTGTGTTCCGTGCGACACCTGGCAGTCCGATGTTATGATTGTGGCTGGAACCTTGACCAACAAGATGGCTCCCGGCTTGCGCAAGGTTTACGATCAGATGCCGGAGCCCGTTGGGTTGTTTCTATGGGCTCGTGTGCTAATGGTGGCGGTTACTATCACTACAGTTACTCGGTTGTGAGAGGCTGTGACCGAATTGTTCCCGTCGATGTCTACGTGCCTGGATGCCCGCCTACCGCGAGGCCCTGATGTACGGCATGCTGCAGCTCCAGAAGAAGATCAAGCGCAACCGCGTCACCACTATGTGGTATCGGAAGTACTGATTTTTTCTTTCTTTTCCCTGATTTTTTGTGCCACCCACCCCTTTTCTCTCATTGTGTTCTTTGCCAATGGGAAAAGAACAACAAGCAAATATAAAAATTTACAAATGCTACTCATTTTTCATTCACGTGGCTGCACGCACAGCAGCCCATTCTGGTCCTGCAGAAGGCCGCTTATAAAATAAACAAAAGGTGAGCTTTTTTTTTTCCGCTTCGGCCCTTATCTTCAAGGACCACTAATTCATTTTTCGATCAATTTATAGTCTTTCTTTGCTTATTTCTGCAGCTCATACTTGAACAAAAAAATATGGCGATGATCAGCCACGCAATGCGGCTTAAAAGGAGTGCAGCCGCAATTTTCCTGCCGCTGCCGAACATGGGATCGCGCACGCAGCTACTCAACAAGCAGTGGTACGCTACAGCGCCAGTGCACAAATTTGAAAAGTACTGTCCGAAAATAGTCGAGTCCGACTGGTACGACTGGTGGCTTAACCGCGGTCTGTTCAAACCAACCACCACCAGCACGGCCACTAAAGGCGCAAGCACCAAGGCCTTTTCCATGCTCCTCCCGCCACCCAACGTCACTGGTGTCCTGCACATTGGACATGCGCTGACACTTTCGATCCAAGACGCATAGCGCGTTGGAACCGCATGCATGGTCTCAGCGTCAACTGGGTGCCTGGCACTGACCACGCGGGAATCTCAATGCAATCAGTGGTCGAGAAGAAGCTATTTCGCGAAAGCGGCTTGTCGAGACATGATCTGGGACGCCAAGCGTTTATTGAAAAGGTCTGGCAGTGGAAAAGGGAGCACGGGGAGACTATCAAGATGCAGACAAGGAGTATTGGTGCTTCGGTCGATTGGAGTCAGGAGTACTTTACTATGGATGAGGGCATTCCAAGGTCGTCAGGGATGCGTTTATTCGCTTGTTTAATGATGGTGTGGTTTATCGCGATACTAAAATGGTCAATTGGTCGTGTGCACTGCAGAGCGTTATTTCGGACATTGAGGTAAATTGAGAAAAACAGAAATGAAACAGATACAACACAAGAATGTCTGTTTTCTTCTTCTTTGTCATAGTGTACATGTTGATTGAGTGATATACAAAAAATGTACTATCCGATTTTTCTCTAATAGGTCGATAAGATTCCAACTGAGGTCGGCAAATGCTTGATGTCCCAGACAGCAAATCAAAGTGAGTAATAGAAAACCTATTCTTATACAGCTTTCGCATCTATTTTTCATGCATGTTTTCATTCATTCCATTCCATTTTTAAATTGCAATTGTACAATTATATATCTGAGATTCATTAATAGGGTGGAATTCGGCGTTCTTCATGCAATTGAATTCATTATTGTCGATCCGCCGGCTGCGGCCCACGCACGCTGCGTGTCGAGACAACCCGTCCGGAAACTATGCTTGGAGACGTTGCACTTGCAATCCACTCGGGTGATATAGATACAAGGTAAGTGCATGGTTTCATTTAAACACAAAATAAGTAAATGTAAGTGTAAATATGTTTTATTTTCATTTAATGTATTTATATATTTATATGTTTGTGTATATATGTGGAACATCATGCATTAGGCCCTGCAAGGGAAATTTGTCGTGCATCCGTTGCTTCGGCGGAATATTCCAATTATCTGCGACGATACGCTGGTTGATTCGAGTTTGGCACGGGCGTAGTAAAGGTAAACAAAAAAACATTTATGTTTAAATTTTTTTGAGACAAACTATTATAAATATATACCTGGTACTTCACAATCCATGTTATTCTAATTTAAAAATCAATTACAGCATGCACCTCATTTGTACATGAAACACGATTTACACACGCACAGGCACATATTTCTGGCATTTTTGTTCACATTCTTACTGCATTTGCATTTGCATCAACTAAAATTTGCACCCGTGCCAAAAAATATTATTAATTGAATTCAATTGTTCTTGTGCATAGATTACCCCTGCGCACGACGAGAACGACTACGCTTGTGCCCAGCGACACGCCCTCCAAATAGTGCCAGTGTTTCAACCTGACGGCACCGTGATCAACGACTCACTTTTCGGAGAATTTGTCGGCAAGAGCCGTTGGGATGCGCGCAGAATGATTATAGACACGCTGAGGGAATCCAAGGCATACGTGGGCAAGCGTGATGCCGAGGCCAGCGTCATTAGCCGGTGCTCGCGCTCGGGCGACATTATCGAGCCCATGCTCAAGCCGCAATGGTACGTGAGATGCAGCATTATGGCCCAGAGGGCCGATGAAATGGTCCAAACGGGCAACATTGACTTGATTCCTGAGCGCCAGCGCGTTATTTGGCACAACTGGCTTGCAGGGATTGAGGACTGGTGCGTGTCGCGCCAGCTGTGGTGGGGGCATCGCATACCGGTGTACCGCATCGAGTGGGTCGATGGAAACAGGCCTGGTGTGTGGGTGGCGGCAAAGAGCGAGCAGCACGCGCGCGAAGAGGCACTCATGTCGTTGCCATCATTGACGGATACTGTGGATGCTGTGGGCATTCGCTCAGTTGTTCAGGACGACGATGTCCTGGATACGTGGTTTTCGTCAGGGCTTCTGCCGCTGACTGTCTTTGACCCGGCACGCGGAGCCGGGGCCCTGAGCTCTGTGCTTGAAACAGGTCAGGACATTCTGTTTTTCTGGGTCGCGCGCATGGCTATGCTCTGCACGTACTTTGCACAAATGCCGCCCTTTTCCACAGTGCTCTTGCACCCAATGGTGCGCGACTCGCAGGGCCGCAAGATGTCCAAGTCGCTGGGTAACATCATTGACCCGATGGACGTCATCCACGGAGCCGAGCTATCCAAGTTGCAGGAGACACTACAGCGCGGGTATCTGACCAAGCAGGAGTTGGCTCAGAGCACCAAGGAGCTCAAGCACCTGTACCCCAGTGGTTTCCAGAGATTTGGTGCTGACGCTTTGAGATTCACACTCCTCGTGTACACGCAGCAGACCCAGCAGATTAACATGAGCCTGGATAACGTCAAAGCGTCGTACCATTTCTGCAACAAAATATGGAACACCTTCCGCTTTGTCCACATGCACGCCAACAAGCTGGGAGTTCAGAAAACTGGGGGTTCGTGGTTCGATGGTATAGATCAGATGTCCATGTTTGATCGCGCGCTGGTTTCGAAGCTCTGCGGAATGTTGTCGAGTTACCAGCAGGCTATGGGTACTTATCGACTGGCTGTGGCTGCTGAGCTTGTAAGGGACTTTGTCCAGCGTGACTTGTGCGACAGGTATATTGAGCTTTGCAAGTTGGCGTTTTCGGCAACCAGGGCGCGACTAATCAGGTAAATTTTTGCTTGTGTTTCTGCCTGGCGTTTGAAGAAGAAAAAATCAACACGTCATTTAAAGTCATTGGAACTATTGATTAAACATTGTCTGCTTTGCATTTTTACTTTGAATTTTTTAGGATCCTGTTGTCGCTGTCAAGATTCTTCTGGGATCGTTTGAAATTGTGCTGCGAGTCTTGCATCCATTCATGCCGTTTTTGACCGAGGTAAGTAAAAGCAATATATTTTTGTACAACTAAAAACCAATATATATTTATTGGACGCGTGCGCCAACATCAATAATAACAATATCTGGGCATTTGATATACTTTTTTATGTGTAGGAGCTCTGGCAGCGGCAGGAGCGCATGGGTGCCGAGGATGACATGTCAATAATGGAGAGTATGTGGGAGCAGCCTGCTGGGACGCACGACGGCGTACTCAAGCCCAATTTACAAGCAGAAGTAGAAAATGAGGCAAGTTGTGTCAACTATAAAGTCGCAATGTCAGTGGCAAGACCAGAAATGACGCAAAATTTTAATGCAATAGGTACAGTACCATTAAATTAAATTAAATTAGTCTCTTTCTGTGTGTAGTTGGTCCTTGGCATAGTTTCTGCCATTCGCTCGCTAAAGCAGCAACATGCTGGGCGCTTGGATACTGCCCAGCACCCAGACAGCGAGCCGATCTTTTCAGTGGTAGTGGAGTGGGCGTAGAAGATGCAGGCGAAGGTCGCAGTGCGACAGAACAGGCGATGCAAACAGCCACACAGTACAAGGAATGCGTCGAGATTATGAGCAGAGAAACGGGGATTATTATACGCACAAATGCTGGACCTGACTCTGACTCTGGCCCTGTCTTTTCGGACTCGGGCAATAAAGGCGAAAAAACAACGTTGTAAGTTTCCATTCATTCCATTTGGCAACTTTCTTGTTTATCTGTTTTTGTAAGCGAGTGCCTCTCAACTATTCGCGAAATGAAACATGTCTGTTTTATTTGCCATGTGTTTATCCCTGATTACCGACAGCTGGGCTGCATGGACCATCGTTTTTACACTCGTCATCTTTTGTTCTTTTTCCCCAACCAAAACCAAAACCAAAGCCATTGCCTGTTCTTTTTAGCCAAAGTACCGAACCGACATTGCCACTTTGTCACAAAACGGCAGCGGCGGCAGCAAGTCTTTTGTACGAATTGGTATTGGCTTCTTGTGTGTCTATTCTCCCGGAAGAAAAATGCCAACATTTCTTTGTTTCTTTCTGGTGGCAAATATGTATATAACCAGAAGGAAGGATTTTCGGGATTTCATTGCATTGCGTACCCGTTCCCCGCCTTTTCTTTTGTCGGTCAATTTTATTTATTCTTTTTACCAACCTTATATCTGTTTTCTGCCGGAAACCCAGACAAATAATAACGTCCGCTCCATTTCTTGCTATATATTCGGGCAATAAAGAAGCCAAAAATCGAAGCGGAGTATGAAACTATTTTTAATCTTGCAAAAATTGGGGAATCATTTTTAAAATTTTCCAGTAGTGAACCACGAATCCCCACTTGCCTTTATTTTTTGTTACGTATGTGTGTAAATCCTACAATCCATTTCTTCCATGTGCATTAAATCCAAGGTTGATATTGGTTTTTTATCTTTTCAGTGGATTTTGCCGCAAATGCAAACTACTTTTTTCCTTTTCTTATTCCAGCTGCCAATTCATCCTTTTTTGACTGCAAAGTACGGGGGGAAAATCACAACAATGCAGTGATGAAAATTGTTGTCATTATGTCCGAGTATGTCCATTTTGCAACAAAAAATGAAGTGATATTAAAAATACCTCTATATTTCACTCCAAAAAATAATAAAAATAAAAATAAAAATGTAGGCAACCGTCGTGGTTTCTCCGCAAGTACAAGTTGTGGCTAGGCTTTCTAGCGATAAGAAATCCGGGTCGGATCAGAAAGGAAAATCTGTCGATAAATCCGGATCGACAGTGGCGGCGGTGGGAAAGCTGAAGGCCGAGCTCGAATCTGTCTACCGCATAGTCAACAGCGCGGGGTACCAGAAGAATGCGCCACTCAACGTGAAGGAGTCTGACAGGTAAGATCCGAATTAAAGACATAACCTCATGCTTTATTCTATTTTTTATTTTGTCTTGAATTCTCTGAAATGGCTGTATTTATACTTGGCTCAGGGCTTCAAGCGGCAAAAAAAGGCTTGGAAACTTAGACAACGATGCGTAAAAGAACACTTGCAGGCAATCCAGAGCATCCATTATGTGTCCAGCTGGCTCTCTCTTGTTGAGACCGAATCCAGTTCCGCTTTAGGCACAAGTGTTGTTGGGGGGGGGGAGAAAGAAGGCCATTTCCAAACTAAGACAAGCCATTAAAAACAGGCCGACAACTAACTTTGGCAGCATGCTTTTTTATTTGCCAGTCGGCTGGAGGAAACAGGTCCCAGTTTTGCGCTTAAACTTGTTTTTATATTTTTTACTCTCATTAATAACAGTGGCTGCCATTACAGACGTCAACACACTTGTTCTTTTTCTTCTCCCCACCCGTCCCTTTGTGTACATCACATTTCAAAGCCAGTGCTGAGAATCGTAAGAGTACAAAAGCATTTCAAACTCCGACACCATTGATCATCTCCCCTATTTTGTCCCCAATTATTTCCAAACATTCTGTTGGCTCCGCACATCATCGCCCAAAACGCTTTTCTTTATCAAAAACGAGTCTGAGTTTCATTTTTTGTCTGAGATTTTCGCTTCTTCATGTCTGTGTGAATTGTGCCACATATCTGTGCATCAGAAATGCAAGCTGATTTTTATTTTTATTTATTTATCTCATTGTTGCATGTTTTTTTGTTATTTGCTGTTGTAGGAAGCGCATCAAAATGATTCAAGCCAAGCTTGCTGTGTTGTTGGCAAAAGCGTGGACTCCTGAATAAACCGCTAGTATATAACGAATGTCTTGTGTTCAACTCCTTCGTCCCCTCCCTCCCTTCTCACGGGGCTCTTGATGTTTCTGCTAAGGCCCAGAAAGAACCTTAAATTTGGTTTATTTTATTTGCTCTAGCTGCTCAAGTTTTTTGTTTTGTACAATCAATTGTGCTAGAAAGGAATATATGATTGACTCGTTGAATGGCCGATTACATGGGGTTTAAATGCTCGAGTTTCCTGTTCAGCCTAATAAAATATGCAATTTATTTGCAAGAAAATACCTCGCACAATAACAAGGAAGGAGGCGGCAGCTGCAAATGGTAAATGTCAATTTAATGGCTGCCCCGACAGTGGATATTCGCATCTCATCGTTCAAGTTGCCATAACATCCTTCCTCTATACTGCAATTGGTGCCCGGGGCCCAAGTAGATTGCAAAAAGTAAATTTTTTACTGGGAAGTCATGTCCATATCTTCTAAACATTGCTGCCACAATAGAAAAATTAGGGAGGCACAGTGTATGACAGCCATATGCATTTTGCCTGCACTTCAAGAATTAAGATAAAAATAATAAAAGAATAGACAAGGCTATTGCATAAAAATAATGAGGAAAAAACAACCGAGCAGAAAAATTAATAGGGGAGGGGGTACGGGGGTGGGTGCCAAGGGTGGGTTGGAGAGGGTGGGTGGTTGGTTGGTATATCAGGAACAGGTGGAATGCGGGACCAGTGTTGACGCATTTTATTTCTTTTAATGGCAAGCCGCTGCCTCTGCCGTTGCTGCCCTTTGCTTGACGGAATAATGTATCATTGCGTGTCGCCAATCTCCACCTTTTCTTACATATATATATTTTTTACCTTTGGACACTTGAGGATTGCATTCATTCCGGCTTTCGCTTATTGGAGCAGTTTCTGCGACGCTTGAAAGCAAGAAAAAATAAAAAGGTGATTGTGTGGAATATTGGTGCAATCAGCAAGCACCAGAATCAATGGGCAATAAGGCAAGGGAAAGCGAGATAAATAATAAAATGTTACAACAAAACACTTGTTCATATCCATTAGTCACTCATCTTCTCTTTTGCTTTATGTGTTTAATAGGTTTCACCACTACATAGGGCCACGTCATTATTCATTGCTACTTGTGCCTATATACTTCTTTATTAGCGCTGTTATTTGACAACTGGCTGTCATCTATAAACATACTTGAAAAGGAAACAGTTTGGCCGCGCCCTAAGCACACCCTGCCAGGAATCTGGAACTCGGAAAAGTTTAAAGGTCAGCCACTTTTCTCTCTTTTCATCTCCCCACCACGGCTTTTTCTTTCTTTCTTTATTCAATCCGTCTATCCACCTTGCCGCACATCATCGTCATAAGCAGTTTTTTCTTCTTTTTCTTCGTCTATCCCCTTTTCGGGTTATTTTTTATCCCTTTTTCAGCACAAAAATTCTTCTCTGGTATTGATAGCACACAAAAAACTTTGCCTGACAAAGAAAGGTTTTCATAGCCAGTTAAAAAAGGAATATCTTGTGCTCTGGTTTTTCTTTTTTCATCTCTTTTGTTTAACATTTTTTTTATTTTTTGCACTTTCTTCCCCTTATTCAACGCCTTGCGTTACTTTTGAGCTGACGATTTAATATATTTATCATCCGCTCATTTTTATTCTTATTTTTGTTTTAATCGTGTAATTGTTCTATAAACTTGTAATCCACAAGTACCATTAGCAAGCACCTTTTTATCTGCCATTTCCCCATTTAATTATCAATATCTACTATCATTGTATCTGTTTACCATTAAATACACAAGGGCAACAACAAATACGACACCAGCGTGTTATTTTATTTTATTTTATTTTGAGCATCAAAAGGTAAGCATTAACAAGGGTTTTGAAATCTTTGCGCGTACGTGTGTGTAATCCAATATTTACTTTTATACGCACTGTTCACTGCAGCTGGGCAAAAAAAACCCCATCTCCACCATAAACATACACTCACACATAAATCTCTGGTTATTTTTTTAAGAAATAAAGAATGGGTACAGTACAGCAACACGTTATTTGACTTGCTTTGTGCACTGTTTATTTATACACTATTTTACCATCACTGTTATCAAAACCACACAGACAATGTTTTGCTGCTCCCCAGCGCCTACTGCCGACTGTCAGTCATAAAAGGCAATCGTGCCCTGTCCTTTATTTTATTTTGCTTTATTTTTCGGGCTTGTCTGCATATTATTTTAAACCGCGCTTTCCTTGGCTGGGAAAAATAATTTACACACACTTTGTAAATATAAAAATAATCCGCTCTTGATATTTTTGTAAAACTAGGGATATTAATTGGCGACTTTTTATTGTTTATTCTCGTTCTTGCTCTTGCTCTTTGTCTCTCTCTCGCTTGCTCTCTCTTCATCTCTTGTTTTGAGCGCTTGCGTATATTGTCAATATCTGGCTGACCGACAATAGGTTTTTGCTCTGACAGTCATCACCTCCGTATATACTAAATAAAAAATACACGGCTCTTTTCAAGTCATTCATCCGGTTGCTTTTAAAATATGATGTATCATTCACTGATCGCTAAATTTTTGATGCCTGATATTTTATCTGTTAATATTGTTTTCTTGCGTAATCTTTTCAACCCGCGTTTCCATTTGCTTTTAGCAGCGAACGCAGCGGCTTGTAGTCTACATAAAATTATGCACACAATTACAATTGACACTGCTTGCATAAAGCCGGAGAGCGTGCGTGTTGCATCTTTGTGCCTACCTTTGTTTTTTCCTTTCAATAATCTAAAATTCGTTTTTCCTCCCAATTTAATCAGTTAAGTTCATTTTAGTTGTCAAAAAAAGAATCGCAAGAAAACCAATTTTGTGTTTATTCCGTCTACTGCTCATTACAGCGCCACCTTTGCCTTCTTACTTTTCTATCTGTATCTGCACCTGTCATTACGCATATTATTATTCGCCTGCGCTTTGGAGACAGAGCCAAATAATTACTGGCATTCGCATATTACTGCCGGCACCACCCTAAAAATATCTCTTATTGAGGTATATCCACAATAGGCGCTCCTTGAATACTAAAATAATACAAAAGACATTGGCATATTCATTACCAATCTTGTTTTCAAGCTATTGTGCGTGAGCTGATTTGATGGCTGGGGCCGGTTATGACAAACGACGAGCACAATCACTTCTTTTATTTTTTGGGGCTGGCGTCGACTAACTCAAACCTTTCTCCTTTTCTTTTCTTTTCTTAGTTTTTTGATACTGTACTAACTTTTGCCTTGTTTTTCATTTTCTTTGTTTGGACGCCAACTTGGTCGCTGCCATCCAATATCTTTACATATATCTCTATCATTACCCATTCCTTTTACCCTTCTACTTTTACACACAGGGCCATACACTTTAAATCCTCATCTCTCGCCCACCTTTTTGCACTAAAAATACATACAACTCGCCGGATAGCCAAAACTTACTAATTATTTACTTTCACACACAATTGCTTCTGACAACCGTACTTTTCTTTATCAATAGAGCACTGTAGATAGCCGCGCGCACACACACACACTCTCTTTCTCTCTCTCTTTATACACGCATTTGGGCACATTGATGCTGCAGCAAAGATACGAATTCTGTGATCCATCCGAGTACCTGGGCTCTTTAAATGACATGGACGGGTTTCCTCCTCCCAACTTGGCTGTAAAGCCGACATATGTGCAACAGTAAGTTGACCAATTTTGTGTGTAAATGAGTTTCATAACTGAGCATTACATTTTTCCTTTCATATTTACAGATCAACAAAAGAAAAAATCACTGGCGCGGATCGTTCGAGTGACCATGAAATTTCTGGGTTTATTATGCCCCGTCTTTTTAGTGGCGTTGCTTTTTCCGCACCAAACACAATAATGTACCTTCATTTAATTTCACACAAGCATGGCTTTATTTTTTGGCCAACAGATACAAAATCTCGCTTTTATTTATTTTTGGTGATAACAAGCACCGATATATTTGCACAATCCACCGACTTGTTGCATTGTGAGAAAAATTTCTATGGCCAAGGTCGTACGCTGTATGGAACGGAACAGAACATTGTTGAGAGCCGTGTTTAATAACTACACTATTGCTGTCACTGTATCCGCTACTGTTTTTTGTCTCATGTACTTGGTTTGCCCATCCTAACAAATATAGCCAGCCAGCCCGTTATCATAACATAGCTTCTGCTTTTTCCTACGACCCAGTTTTTTTTCCACTGCACCGCACTACATTGCATTGCATTCCATTACACTTGCAATCATCAAATCTCTAACAGTTTCCACTCTCTTCTTGTTACTTGGTCTTCATATAGTCCGCATCATGGCAGCGTTCAAAAATACGAGCTCGAGATAGCGCAGCATCCAATCAGAGCACGTATGTGTGGGTTCGGCGAGAAAGACAGGCGGCCGCTGGATCCACCGCCAGTAGTGCGACTGCGAGTGCGCGACGACAACGGTGAATTCATGCAAAGCGAGGAAGTTGACATCTGGAGGTTTGTTGTCTCGGCGACGCTCTGGGCGCCACACGCCAACAGTGACCGCAGTATTGTCATCAACCCAAACACGCTCCCCGGGCCCGTGCCCATGTACCAGCCATCGTCGTCGTCAGTGATGTCTCTGAACGAGCCTGTCAAAGTGCGCAACCTGGTGGGCACAACCGTGTCCAATGCGTACTTGCTAAGGACGAATACGACGTGCTCAGCATCTTTTTTATATTCCACGATTTGTCAGTGAGGACCGAGGGCCAGTTCCGGCTCAAATTCCAGTTTACAGTCATTCCGTCGGAAGAGGAACCGCTGGCTTTTGTCGAGTCCGTTGCCTGGAGCAGTGTATTTGAGGTGTACTCGGCAAAGACCTTCCCGGGCATGACCGACTCGACCGAGCTTTCGAGAGCTTTTGCCACGCAGGGCATCAAGATCACCATTCGGAAAAATAGCCGCGGGCGGCCTTACCACAGCCGCGCAGGCGGTCACCTCGAGGAAGATGGCTACCAGGACGATGACGACTTGGACAATGAGCACGATGGCGATATGGAGTATGGCGTCGGCGTCGGCGGCTATTTGAACTACCGGTGAACATTCAGTTTAATTCAATATTAGTATGCGCGCCTCTTTTTAATTTACCCAAAAACTTCCGGCCCCGCGTGCTCTCTAATTATAATGCGGCAAGCAAAACAATTCACTGTAGCAAATTCCCAACCTGTAGGGGTAACCTTTGAGATTGTGTTTACGCACTTACCATTACATTTTGTTAAAGTTAGTGCGTTAAAACCTTTTAACCAAAGTTAGGAAAATGGTAGCACATATATGTGAAACATTCATAAGCATTTGGCAGCAGATCAAGGATCGCAAAAAAGTGACATCAAGCAGACGAAAGTGGAATCGTGACATGGCTGTAGTGCTGAGCTTTTGCATCATCCTCATAGCCATGCTTACAGCCAGAGGCCTCTCCGTTTTTTGCGCAAAAAGGCACCGTTCGAATCGGGTGAGCCCAAGTCCACAGTGGCGCCCGAGATTTTGACCGAGACTTTGCCCAAGCCAAAGCCCAAGCCCAAGCTTCTCTTCGCAAGAAGCGGCGCAATGCTTAACATCTTCAACCATGGTGGACTATTTATTGCCTCTAGTTTCTAAGCACGCTCCGGATTGCTATGCAATCGGATGTGAATGATGTTGATTTGCAGGATATCTGAATTTTCTAAAGATATTTGCACTTTCTTTTCTTCAGCGTATATATACTGGTGACGATGATGAAACCCTGCTGGGAATAAATAAAAGTAGCCTCTGATCATGCCTTTGTTGCATCACGAGGTCACAAAAAACCGAATTTCAGCTTCCAAATTTTTATTCGCACTCACGTGGTCCTCGGTCCTGATGTTTTTTATTTTTATTTTCCATGCCGAAACACAATTAAAAGCGCCTCCCCTCCCCTCACCTTCTTCGTCTGCTAAATTCAAACATTATTATTACTATTTTATTATTATACACCCACTCGTAGACTACCACAACAACACGTATTATACTACACGTTACACTTTAAAAACCCTCTGGCTGTTCCATGGCACCCTCCTCATACCATGGCCTCATTTTGACTGCCGGCATGCTAGCTACCGGCACGCTCAATACGCTGCTGACCAAGCTCCAGGACAAGCAGTGTGTTGGGAACTGTGACAACCCCGACATGTCTAAGCGCGAGTACTTTGAGCAGCCCGTGTGGCAGACACTCAACATGTTTTACGGCGAGATGCTCTGCCTGGTGTGCTTCTACTTGTTTTCGCTGCGCCAGCGCAATTTCAACGCCGTGGAAAACCGCGGTGAGTACGAGGCCATTGCCGACAACGATGATGAGTCGATCAATGAGCAGATTGCGCAGATCGTGCCGACTACCGACGCTCTGCCAGTTGTCGATGCCGCCGAGGCCGGCGCAGCAGGGACGCAGCAGAAGAACATTGCTGGATGGGCCACCCTGTGGATGTGGGTACCTGCCGTGTGCGACCTCATGGGCACGACGCTGATGAACGTCGGCCTTTTTTTCACCACCCCCTCAGTGTACCAGATGCTGCGCGGCGCTGTTGTTATATTTTCAGGCGTGTTCTCCGTCCTGTTCCTCGGCCACCGCCTGGAACGCTTCCAGATCATCTCACTGCTCCTAGTCGTTGTAGGCGTCACAATCGTTGGGTTAAGCAACATTTTCTCGCCGCCGCCCCAAAACTACTCGCTCGGCGAGACACCCGACGCCATTGACGCCAATGCTTGGAAGGCTACACTGGGCGTTATTCTCGTTCTTGGTGCCCAGGTGTTTACAGCCACTCAATTTGTCGTCGAGGAAAAGATCATCCGCCGCTACCACCTGACTCCCCTGCGCGCAGTCGGGCTCGAGGGGTCATTTGGCGCCGTCACAGTCATGGCCGCTATCCCCGTGCTGCACTACACCATTGGCCGTTCGCATCCCGGCGGATACTTTGATGCGTCCGAGGGCTTCAGGCAGATTGTGGACAACCCGGCGGTATGGCAGACATCCATTTACATCATGCTGTCTATCGCACTCTTTAACTTTTTCGGACTCTCAGTTACCCGCTACCTGAGTGCCACTTCGCGTGCGACTATTGATACCTGCCGCACACTGTTCATTTGGATCATCTCGCTTGCTCTGGGCTGGGAGGCCTTCAGCTGGATCCAGGTTGTTGGTTTTGTTGTTCTGGTTTACGGAACATTCGTTTACAACCGCGTCCTGAGCCTGCCATTCTAGAAAAAAATAGGATAAACCTATCTTTTTTTGGGATTGTACTTTATTTATGAATTCAATTGATAATAATATCATATTGTATATCAAAATACAGGCGTGCACCGAAATGAAAATTCTTGCCTTATCCCCTAACTCGAATTTCTTGGTGCTATTTAAGCTGATGGGGTTTGAAAATTATTGCCACGCAACTATTTTTTACTGCTCTCAACGCAACATATTACTACTCCCTCGCTCACTTGGCCACTTGCCCGCAATGTCATTGTATACGCTGCAAAAGATGCAGAACGCACTGCCCATGATTGTTGCAGCCCATTTGTCCCAACGCTGCTTTGCGAGTGCACATATCAGCAGATCACATCATGATTCAGCATGGGAGGCCGCCGTGGGCCAGTTTCGCAGTGCTCAGAGCGATCTATTGCAGTCGATCAGCCACGCAAACCTGCACTTGCACTCGGGGGCTCTTGGAGCCACGCACAGCCAGCTGAACCTGAGAGCCCAAGAAGTGGCGGTATGGTTGATCTGGCCGGCGAAATGAACGACGCTGACCTTAAGAAGCATCTGATCAGCACAGACATCAAGGAGTTGTGCGACGAAGTGGGCAGGTTTCGCATCAGCTGGTTGTTGCAAAGCAAAGAGGACGCGGATGTTGCTGTCACAATAACAGCTGGTGCTGGCGGAGTGGATAGCTGCGACTGGACACAGATGCTGGCCGGAATGTATTCTAGGTGGGCTGCCAGCAAAAAGTTTAAATGTAAGAATTCACTTACATATTCAAACCACTTAAATGATGATGATGACAATGATAGTGATAATATTGCACTGGCAAACTTACCCTTTTTTGAATACCAATTTACAATGCTTTCTTTATCCACATCTGCGCCCTCATTTGTTTCTGATAGTTGCATTTATATCGACCACCGACGGCGATCCAGCGGGCTACGTGAACGCTACGTTCACAATCACCGGTGCTTTTGTATACAGCTGGCTTCAAGGCGAAACGGGTGTGCACCGCCTTGTCCGCATCTCTCCGTTTGACAGCAAGGTAACAAAATGGGTGCAACGATATGTCACAGAATGGGCACAACGCTGCAAACCATCCACAAACTCGGCTCATATTAAAACCACCATTGTAAATGCCATTTTGCGTAGGGCAAGCGACACACCTCATTTGCCTCGGTGCTGGTGTATCCGCTGGCCAAAATCCAGCCTGGAGTCGGCAGTCCTAGAGGCAATAAAGTTGCAGACATACCGGAAAAAGATATCCGTATCGACACGTTCAAGTCCAGCGGACCTGGTGGCCAGCATGTCAACAAGACTGAGAGCGCTGTCAGGGTCACGCACATGCCAACTGGCATTGTAGTCGAGGTAAATTAACATTGTAAAGAAAATATATGTTTGAAAGATATTTACGAGACACGGGTGAATGCCAAACAATACGCAACAATACTAATAATACTAATTTGTATATTCTGGTTGCAGTGCAAAACTGGGCGGTCTCAGATCCAAAACAAGGCAGTGTGCATGGGTTTGTTGTGCGCACGACTGAAGAAAATGGAAAATGACAAGAAGCAGCAGCTCAAGGCCGACGAGCGCGAACGTTTGCCAGAGAATGCCTGGGGATCGCAAGTGCGCTCTTATGTGCTGCAGCCGTACCAGTTGGTCAAGGATAACCGTAGCGGTTACTCAACATCTCAGATAAGCGCGGTGCTCAAGGGCAACATTGACGAGTTTCTAGTTGCCCAGTTAAACATGGACAAAAATGGACAAAAATGTAGTCTATAATAAAAATAAAAATGGTTACTTCCGGTTATCCGTCTTCAGCTTGGCTGTCTCGAGCGCCGACTCCTTGCGCAGTGTGCTAAACACTGCGTGTGCGTCCTTCTGGTCCAACAGACGGTCGGCCAGGTCGCTAATGATTCCGCTGGACAGATAGCGCCCAGAGATACCTCTTCCCATGATCTTCTTTGAAAGCATCTGGTTGAGCCGTGACTTGGCCGTCCTGATGTGCATCTTTTCCTGCTTCTCGGAGCGATTGATCTCACTGCCACGCTCATCGTCGGATGAGGGCATAAAGTCGCTGTCCAGCTCAATGTCCATCTCGGCGGCGTTCTTCTTGAACCAGTTGCGCTCGTGCGAAATCTTGTTCAGCTTGTGCTCGCGAAGATCAATGTCCCTGGCCAGATCGACGCGAGGCTTCAGGCGCCCGATAAGGTCCAGGTCGATGGGGAACGGCGAAATGTCCTTGTCCAGCTTGGCGCACATCTTGTAATACAGTTTGCGCTCCTCGGGGCTGACCATCATGACAGCCAGGCCCTCGTTACTGGCACGCGCAGTACGGCCACTGCGGTGAACGTACAGGTCGCCCGAACGCGGGAGCTGGTAGTGGATGACATAGTCGACCTGCGGGATATCGAGACCGCGCGCGGCCACGTCACTAGCAACCATGACGGCGTTCTCAGTGTCGCGGAAGCGGTCGACGTTCTTGAGACGCTGGCGCTGCTCCATCTGCGCGTGGAGGCCAAACACATTGATCTGCAGTAGGCGCAGCATCGGGAGCATGCGGCGGATCGAGTCAATGCTGTTCACAAACACAAGGGTGCGGCCAGGGTACCGCATCAAAAAGTAGTACAGGTAATGGTCCTTCTCGTGGCCATGCAGTCAATGCGGGTCTCGACAAGCGTCTTGGCTGTAGAATCACCGCGAGTGACATCGATAAACAGGGGCTGCTTGTCGTAGAAGCCGACGCGCCCGATGAGATCCTCCATGGTTCCGGATTCGGGCTTTCCCTGCATGCGCTTCATTGCCTTTGGCGACAGCTTGCGCTTGTTAAGCTGCATGTCCTTGAGCAAGGTTGCCGAGAAGACAAAAGTCTGGCGGCGGCGCTCGGTCTCCTGCAGCGCAGTCTCGTTGAGGGCCTTGAAAATGTCCTTGAGCTCCGAAAATGGCCGGGCTCCAGCATGCGGTCGGCCTCGTCGATGCCAAAAACTTGATGGCGCGCAGCTGATCCAAGTACACGTCATTGGTCGAGACCAAGTCCCAGAAGCGGCCTGGCGTTGCGATGATGATGTCCGGGCATGTGTTCAGCTGTCTCTCTTGCTTCGGCTGCGACATGCCGCCGACAATAACAACGAGCGCGCCCGGGAAAAGCGCGCCATGGCCTTCAGATGGTTCTTTACTTGGATTGCCAGCTCACGCGTCGGCGTCAGCACAAGACCTGTCGGCGCAGTCCACTTGCCGGGGTTCTCGGAAATGTGCTGCAGCATGGGGATTCCAAAGGCCAGTGTCTTTCCTGAGCCGGTCTCCGCGCGCCGATGATGTCGCGGCCCGTCATCGAGTGGTACAACGTCTTGGACTGGATCTCAGACGGCGTGTTAAATCCAAGGTGCTTGAGCGCGCGTTGAAGCAAGGGGTGCACGCCGAACGCATCCCAGGCGGAAACGTCGACATCCGGGTCCTCTACGTCGTCCTCAAAGCCTGCGGCCTTTGTATCGTCTTTCTCCTCATCATCTTCGATCTCGACTTCATCGACTTGCATGGCGTCCTCGTCCTCGTCCTCGCCAATCTCCTCCTCCTCATCCTCTTCTTCTTCCTCGCTTCTTCAATCTCAGAGCCTGACAGTCCCACTACATCATCGTCCGACTGGCCCTCGTCGGCATCAGTGGCAACATTGGCCCCAGCCAGCTCGCTTTCAGCTTCGCGCATAAGCTTGCCAATCGAAACGAGTTCACCCGTCTCTGCCTTTTGTTCCGAGTAGTCGTCGACAGCGACAAAGCTGTCCCAGTCCACGGTGTCGTAAAAGTTATCAATCTCTTCGTCAGAGTCGTCGCGCGTCGAGGTGATGCGTGCCAGCGGCACAGTGCGCTTGGCCTGCTTGGCATCGCTCTTCTGGGCGGGCTTGCCAGCTTTGCGCGCCTTGTGGAATTTCAGAGTGCGGCCACCAGTCTCCTCGTCGTCCTCCCAGGCGCAGTTAACACCGTCGATCTCCTGCAGGGACACCATGCCGCCAATGTCGTTGTCGGCGCCTGGAATGTATGTTGGCATTGCCACATCCTTCCAGTCCCACTCGCCCTCCTCGCCCTCTGTAGAAGATCTTCGGCAGCTTGCTGGGGTGCGCTCTTCTTGGGCTTGGTACGCTTTGTCTTCTTGGCGGAGGCGGCGCACTCGATGCTGGCTCGGACTGATGCTGCTGTGGGCGCTTCTTTGATTCCTGTGTAGAGGGAGATGGGGCTCCGCCAAAGCAGCCGGCTTATTCGCAGCAGGCATGGGCGGCGGGTTCATGGTCATATCGGCCCACTGTCGTTGGCGGCTTCGACGACGGGTTTTTGATCTTTTTTACCGGCGTGATGGTCTTTCGCCGCTTGACGTCAAAGCTCGCCAGCAACTGCCTTTGCTGCTGCTTCTGGCTCTGATGCCGCGGTGTCTTTTTGTGGGCATTTTTGAAGGATAGTTTTGTAATAGAGGGGGAAGAAAATATGTAAAAATCTGTGTCCTAAGAGTCAAAAAGAGCGAAAGAAAGACAAGTCAATTTCGCTGTGAAATGGCGGCCTGCGATCAGCCAAAAAAAAAAGCAAAGGAAAAAATATATGTCTGATCAAGATCTGGATCAGCACAATTAAATTACAAACGCGCTCGCACATATTGAAACGCGAACGAGGAACACGAGTAAAAAAAGAAAAATAAGAACAGAAAGGCACGCAGTAGCGGTTTGCTTTATTTTCCGTCTTTCCTTATTCAAAATACTATTTAATTTATACACTCTCACACGCTGCAAGTCAACTAAGCAGCAATGTCCCACAGCATAACCAGCGCGCGATATGCGCACGCCGAAGGATACACCGCCGTCGCGTTCAACAGGAGCGGGCAGTTTCTCTGCACCGGCGGCAGCGACTCACTAGTTCGCGTGTTCAAGACAGGGAAGAACGAGCGCGACCAGGAGGCAATAACAATGGAGCAGCATTCCGACAGTGTCTTATCCCTGGCAGTCTCGCGAGGCAAAATCATCACTGGAGACGATGAGGGCTTGGTGCTCAGCTTCGACACAGGCTCGTCAGACATGCTGTCAGAGCAAGGCAGCAGCCTGTCTGTGCAGCCCTCGGGGACAGTTTTGCGCTCGACGCTTCCGGCGCGCGACATCAGCATCAGCAACAGCGAGCGGCAGGTGGCCATCGCGACGGACGACGAAAACGTGCGGGTGGTGTCGCTCCTGGACACGTCTCTGCTGCACACTCTGGTCGGTCACCGGGGCTCGGTTATCAGCGTGGCCTACTCGCCCGACGCGGCGTTTCTCGCGTCGAGTGGCTGCGACGGCACCGCTCGCGTGTGGGACATGCGTGACGGCGAGCCGACTGCGTTCAAATCATTGCCAAGGTGTCGTATGTCTGCGAGCCTGGAAACAGCATGGAGCAGTACAAGGTGCGGTGGAGCCCAGACGGCCGCATGTTCGCCATCCCGGGTGCCGACAACTCGATCAAGCTGGTCGAGCGCAACACCTGGGAGCCCAGCGTATCGCTCGGCGGCAAGCACACAAAGATGATCACCAGCGTTTCGTGGTCGTCGAACAGCCGCTACCTGGCCTCGGTGGGGCTGGACTGCCAGGTGGTTGTGTGGGACGTGAGTGCACGCAATCGATCAGTACATTTAAAAGCACGAGCACGCTGTGCCAAGTCGACTGGAATCCGCGCGCCAACATGCTGGCCTTCACCGACAGCACGGCGCACTGCGCTTCTGGGACGACGTGGTCCCCGTCAAGCAGGGCCACGCGCCGCCATTTGACACCCTGCCGCTCGAGACCAGCTCACTGCACAGGGACTATCGGCAGGCCGGCACCGCTCACACCGCGACCAACGACCTGATGAGCGACCTGTTTAACGACGCAGCCGATATCGAGAATATGGTCCGCGATTTTGGCATGAGCGACAGCGGCAATGCCATGACTGGCGGCGGCGCCGACGACGACGACGACGACAACGACGACATAATGGATGGCGGGGAGGCCACGGGCGACGGACTGGACGACTTTGTTGTCGATGACGACGGCGCCGGCTATGCCGAGCGGCAGGAGCCAAGGTGGATGGCCGTGGGTGACCCGACGACGCACTGCTTTCAGCCGGGCTCCACGCCGTGGATTGGCGACCGGCGGTACCTGGCATTCAACATGGTCGGAAGCATAGTCTCTATCGCCCAGGACGACGCGCACAACACCATCGAGGTTGAGTTCTACGACAAGTCAATGCACCGCGACTTTCATTTTTCCGACTCGTTCAAGTTCTCGATGGCGGCGCTGTCAGAGTCGGGCTGCTTGCTCGCAACCACGAGCCGCGAGCTCGCCAACGACCAGTCGCTGCGCGGGGCTTTGGATGCCGACGAAGCGTCGGTGATCTCTTACCGCGGCCTTGCCTCGTGGTCGTCCAACTCCGATTGGATGTTCAGGATGCCCGCAAAGGAGCACCCGCGGTGCATCGCAACCTCGGCGCACGGCGCGGCTGTCATCACTTCGCTGGGCATGCTACGCCTGTTCACCTGCGGCGGCGTTCAGCGCCATATCGAGAGCCTGCCCAACCGCGTGGTTACTTGCACTGCCCACGGCGACATGCTGTTGATTGTCATGGAGGGTCTGGGCACAATCAAGTCGAGCACCGGGTCACGCCGGCTCGAGTACGAGTATGTTTTGATGAGCATGGACGGGCAATCGCGCCTGGCTGCGGGGTTCTGCCCCGTGGCGCCGGCGAGTGAGATCGTCTGGGCGGGCTTTTCCGAGGAGGGCCACCCGGCGACTGGCGACTCGAAGGGCATGGTGCGCGTGCTGCACAAGTACTGGGCGGCAATGACGCGTGTTGGGTGCCTGTTCTCGACTCGCGCAAGGTCTCGTTGGACCGCGGGAGGCGCGAGCCTACTGGCCCGTGGCGCTGTCCGCCAAGCAGCTCATTGCTGTCACCTGCAAGGGCAAGTCGCGATTCCCCCGTTCCCCAAGCCGATCCTGGACGAAATCGACGTGGAAATCCCTCTTTTGCAGTCCGACTCGCACACTGCCCAGCAGGAGGCCAAGTACCTGAGCACAAGCGTGTTTTACGAGCAGCAGTGTGGCGAGGCCGAGCGCACAGGCAGCGAGTATCCTGGCGGCAAGGCATCGCAGGCCAGGGATGCGCTTGAGCAGGACAAGCTGCTGCTGAGGCTGGTGCAGCTGGCGTCCAAATCTGACAAGACCCAGCGTGCTATTGATCTGGCGCTGTTGATTCGGCTCGAGACGTCGTTTGACGCGCCATCAAGATCGCCGTGCACCAGAAGCAGTCGCTGCTGGCCGAGCGTCTGATGCGGCTGAAGGAGTCAAAGTTTTCTAGCAATGCAGATGACGACGACGAAGTGGAGGAGGAGGAGGACGTTGACATGGAGTCTGATGGCCAGAAGGGATTCAGATCGTCCACGGCTGTTGCTGCTGCTGTTGCTCGCCCTCATCGATGAAAACACATAGGCGGCGGCCGCCACGTATGGCCGTGGCAAGCAGAGCGACAGCGAGGACAGCGTCGGTGGTGATGAGGACGATGTGTTTGGAATGGCGGCGCCGTGAGCGACAACGACGATGGCAGCGGTGCAGATGTTGGTCTCACAATCGCGCGGCCACCGAGGTCTCTGCTGCAGCAAGCGGAAGGACTAGCAGCAGCAGCAGCGCTCGTGACCTGGTTACCAGGCCGACCAGGCCCCGACGACATCCAAGCCGTTCAACCCATTTGGAGTGGTGTCGCCAAGTAAGTCGATGGAGATCAAGCGCAGCGACAGCTTTTTTAATGCGGCGGACGCGCATAGCTCGGCTCTCAGCAGAGAGGCATCTGCTGCCAACCTTGGCGGCGGATCATTGACTACCACCACCAAGCGCCAGAATCAGCTTGTCGCTGACGACGATGATGGCAGTGCTGGTCCGCGCAAACTGGCCAAGAAGGCAGCGGCAGCGGCAGCGGCGGATTCCAGCAGCGGCACAAAGGACCGCGCCCAGTCGAAGCTTTTTGCGTTTGCGTTCAAAAGGGACGACAGCAAATCAGGGGCGACCTCAGCGCTGCCCAAGCCAATGGCGGCCGCTGCTGGCGCCAGCGAAAACGGTGACTGTAATGGTAACGAGGACATCATTAGCGATGTTAATTGTGATGGTGATGACGCTGCCTTTGCTGACTAACATGGGAACGCTTGCTGCTCTTGTGATACTTTAGCTTGTGTGTGCATTTGCTGGCGCGTGCGTTGTTAATGCTGGTCGTATGACTCGAAGCCCCTGTCTACCCCTCTCTGCTTGTGCTCCTCCGACTGGCTTATTGTTATTTTTTTTGCTTGTGTAACGCTTAACATTTGTTCAGAAAAAAGTTGGTTTTGTGTGCTTGCCACGCACAGCATATAAATAGCAAGAGAAAAGGCCATGGGCGCCGCCGGCCGTTTAGCACAAACTTTAATATTTTTCCTATTGGAATTACAACACCGCATCAAATATCACTCACCAACACCATATATAGGTTACCAACAACAATTAACATTTTCACAAACCATGGCCTTTGCAGCTGGAGCAGCAGTTACGATCCCAACGATCAGCGCGTTTAGCACGGTTGCGTACTACGCCAAGCATCCAGGCGATGGCGACAAGAGCGGCAACGGACAGCAGAAGCAAGCGATGAGGTCGTCGATTTCGGGAGACTCTGACGCGCATCGCGAGTTTATCCTTGACGACGATCCCAGCGAGTTCTCGTCGTTCTCGACCGGGCCGGACTTCAGGTCGGCCGGCCGCATGGGGCGTCGCAAGTCAGCGCCCATGTCGTCGTCATTCAACGCACAGAGCACCGTCAAGCCGGACCACAGCCTCCTTGAGGACCCGGAACTTCAGGTGTGGCGGGACCGGTACAAGTGGGGCAGAAAGTACGGGCTCAACTACGCGCATAACGACAGATGAGATGAGGCAGGCAGCCAGAAAATGGCATTTCTCCTACCACTAGTCACAACCACAACGTGTGCGTATAGCTATAGCGCTTATTCTTTTTTTTCCTTCCTTTTTCTATCTTCTATCTTCAGAAATATATATATGTATTTTTAAATATTTTTAAATCAAGTGTGGCGGCAGCTTGTGCGTGGGGTTTTTTGTGATCTTTGCGGGCTGGAAGACGATGGTCCTTGATGTGGCTCCAACAAGATCCGCCTTCGTCCTCTCGGTGCCGTCGTCGTTCTCGGCATCAATGTCAAACAGCAGGTGGGTGCCCAGCAGCTCGTCCTGGGAGCCGAGAAAGATGTCGCCCTCGATCTCGAGCATCGGCCGCTCGGTGTCCACATCAATGATGGCGTACTGCGGGGCCTTGCTCCTGGCGCCACGGCGGCGGGTTTTGCCAAACAGGCTGTTGCGGATGCACACGTCCTTGTTTTCGGCATCGGCGTTGTCCTCCACCAGGGCCTCCTCCTCCTCCTCCTCCTTCTGTTCGTGCTCCTCGGCTTCGTTCTCGGGAGCCTTGCCCTTCTTGCGGCGTCTGCTGAGCGCCTCCAAGTTGTGGCTCGCGGTGTCGCGCGCCTTGGCGAGCGTGTTTGGAGGCAGAGTCGCGACAACGTAGTACTCCTCGGACACGTACTCGTACTCCAGGTCGCCCTCGGCGAGCTGCGTGTTGGCGGGGCGGGCAGAATCAGCAGAGCCGGCGCCGGGGGAGTGGGCAGAATCGACAGAGCCTGCGGAGCGCATAGTTGCAAGATGTAGAGAAGAAACAGGCGAGGCAGAGCGTAGCGTGGCGCGGTGCTCTTAGGGGGGAGGGCAAGGCAATAAATGGGGTTTATGGCACTGGCACTGCTGTCTCCAAAGTAATGGGATAGGTCACCAGCATCGCCTCGGCACATTTCCATCCGCCTCCACACAGCCCCTCCATCTAGCCCGCAACGGCAGCCAGCACGCGCGTGGCCATGGCGGCCAGCAGGTCGCGCACAATGGCCACGGCGTCGCTGGCAACGGCTGGGCAGTTGTCCATGTCCAGCAGGCGCAGGCGCCACGCGCTGCTGCTGGCGCTGTCAATGCTGCTGCCGCTGCCGGCGCCATGGCCCAGGCGCCTCCACCGCCTGGCGCAGGCGGCGGCAAAGTCGCGTGCGGCGGCGCCCGTGATGTCGGTGGCCTCCAGCACAACGACCTCCAGGCCGCACGAGTCGCGCATGTCGACGAACTCGGCCAGGCGCGCGAGCACGGCGTTGTCGGCGGCCGTCTGGCTCAGATTCACGTGCACCAGCCCAGGGCACAGCGTCACCAGCGCCAGCAGCGCCTGCGCGGACGCCGCCACGCAGCCGCTCAGGTCCAGCGACGCCAGGCGCAGCACGGCAGGCGGCTGCGCGGCGCCCGCGAGCGCCTGCAGCACGTGCGAGTCCAGCCCGGCGGCGCGCGTCACGTGCAGGAGGCGCAGTGACGGCAGGCAGCGCTGCAGCGACGCCAGCAGCGGGGCGGCGGCGACGTCGGCGGCGTCCAGCGCCGACAGCCGCTCGAGGCCGGGCGGCACCAGGCGGCAGCGCGCGACCAGGCTGGCGGTGTGGCGGCTTTCGAAGCGGCTGGCGCGCGCGGCCGCGTCCCAGACGCCGTCGATGTTGAGCTCGCGCAGGCGCGGGAACGGGGGCTCCGCCGGCTGCGCATCGTCGGTGCGCTGCAGGTAGTCGAGCAGCGGCCCGAGCCCGGCGACGCGCGCGTACACGGCCTGGTCGCGGATGGCCGCGTGCAGCACGCGCAGCGCGCTGAAGTGGCGGTGGCGCGCCGAGTACGCGAAAAACTCGGGGATTCCCGGGTGGTCGTCGAGCCGCAGCTCCTCGAGCGCCGTCGCGTCGCGCGCGTCGGCCAGCGTGGCGCCCCATGCGCGGAACAGCTGCCGCACGCGCACGTTGGCGCAGCCCGAGATGTCCAACACGCGTAGCCGCGGCACGCGCCGCGCGATGGCGCCGATGAGCGCGTCGTCGAGCTGCACGCAGTGCGGCATGCGGATGGCCGCCACGCCGGAGCCGGCCGCAAGGCCCCACGCGAGCAGCCGCGCGGCGCTGGCGCGGCTCAGCACGGCGCCGCGCGCCACGTCGACGCGCTCGAGCCGCGGCCGCCGGTGCGCCAGCAGCGCGTCCAACGCGCGTGCGTCCAGCGCTGGTCCCGCCGGGACCACCAGTGCTTGCAGCGCGCCGCGCGAGCGCTCGAAGATGCCGCGCAGGACGCGTGGCGGCACGCGTGCGGCCGCCGGCCGCCGCCGGCCGCGGTGCAGCTTGGCGGCGTACGCGGGCAGCTGCTGCGCCAGCTCGGCGACCGCGTCGGGCGCGGCGGCAAAGCTCGGCCGGCTCCACAGCACCGGCGCCGAGTCGACAAGCGCGCGCCAGCGGGGCGACACGGCGCGGCACGCGAACAGCGCGCGCGTGTCGAGCAGCCGCAGCACGAGGATGCTCAGCTCGGCGGGCAGCCGCGCAACAAAGTCGCACGCCGCAGTGCCATCGGCCGCCGGCTCCGCAGCGCCTGCGCCGAGCCGGACCGCGGCCGAGGCGTCGGCCTGTGCTCGCGAAACCTCGCCGAGCTTGTGCAGCACCAGCGACCGCGTCGCGAACAGCCGCGCGTCGCGGATGCCCTCTTTGTGCGCCAGCGCGACCGCGCGGTTGAGGTAGTCGAGCGCGTCGCGGTACTGCCGCGCGCCCAGCCTTTCTGCTGCGGACGCGTGCCAGCGCCCGACCGCCGCCGCAGCGGCCTCTGGGGCTGAGGATTGTGGTGCTGCCGGTGCTGCCGGTGCTGCCGGTGCTGCTGGTGCTGCCGGCGCCGCCTTGCGCTTCTTGCCGGCGACAAACATTGCAATGCGATGTGCAAAGTGCGAAATTCGAAATGCGAAATGCCTCGAATTAAATTAATAAAGCTATAGCAAGAAAGAAGGAAAAACAAAACATCATTGCAGCAAGTCCCCAGCCTGTGGGGTGGTGGTGGTGGTAACCTTCGAGGTCGTGCTTATTGCCTCTGGGTTCCAAGCACAGGCCTGGGTGCTATGCAATCTGCATGGGAAAGACGTCGATTTTCAGGATATTTGAACTTTTTTTTAAAATACTTGTAGTCTCACTCTTCCCTTCAGCGCAATATAAAAACCATCCTGAACGCCAAAAATGCGCGTCTAGCCCTGCTTCTTCCTGTATGCCATGGGCCTGATCGATCTGGCCGAGCTCGCGCCGCCCGTGCTTGCTGTGCTGTAGCCGTGGCCGTGGCCGTGGCCATAGCCGACGCCGAACCCATCCTCGCCGGTCCGCCTATCGTTGGTGCCAGATACCATAAAGTGATTGGACATGCTCTGCGTGACCACCGAGTTGTCTGCGCCTTGGCCGCTGGCCACTCGCCTCGTGGCTGCCACTGCCGCTGCCGCTGCCGGCGACTTCGCCCCCCTGCCCGATGCCTTCGCCGCCGATGCTTTTCCGGATGACGCCCTGCCCGGCTTTACACTCGTTTGCTTGAGCAGCCGCGAGTCCGTCAGCTGCATCATCACCCGCATCTGGCCCTGCTGCACGCGAGCTGCGTTGCGCCCGAGCCGCACGTACGAGCTGACAAACCCCATCGCGTTGCTCTCGCACTGCTCGTCGAGCACCTGTCGCAGCACCAGCTGGTGGCACAGCCGCCCAGCGTCGGTCTTGGACAGGTCCTTGCCGCGGTTAAACGCAGGCAGCCTGTCATCGCCGCGGTCCATAATGCGCTTCGCCTTGGAGCCCTTGAAGATGTCGATCAGCTGCAGCAGCGTGGTGTTGGACTTCTGGCTGGCCAGCAGCTGCACGCTGTCCACCAGCGCGCTGGCCTCGCTGGTCAGGTCCGCGTCCGGCACCTGCACGTCTGCCCGCTTGCGGCAATTATCGCATGTCTTGTTGCACTGCGCGCCGCTGAACTGCTCGCCAAAGTACGACAGCACCAGCTGCCGCCGGCAGTCGGTGATGTTCTCGCAGAACTGCACCACCTGCCGCACCTGCTGCCGCTGCCGCTCCTTGAGCTCCCAGTCGCCGTCGCCGCGGTCAATCATAAAGTCGAGCGACATCTTGTCGCGGTACGCGTAAAACAGCACGCAGATCGCCTGCCTGCCGTCGCGCCCAGCGCGCCCGGTCTCCTGGTAGTATCCCTCGAGCGACGACGGCAGTGAGTTGTGGATGATGAACCGCACGTCGGGCTTGTCGATGCCCATGCCAAACGCCACCGTGGCAACGATGACCTGCAGCGTGTTGCGCTGCCATTCCTGCTGCACCCGAGACCGGTCCTCCTTCTCGAGACCGGCGTGGTAGTGCTTGGCGCGCAGCCGGTACCGCCCACTCAGCTCGTGCGCCATCTGCTCGCAGTCCTTCTTGCTCGTGCAGTAGATGATCCCCGACTCGCCGGCGTGCCGCGACGCAATGAGTGCGTAGATGTCGTCGGCGCTCGACCCAGTCTTGGGCCGGATCTCGTAGAACAGGTTCGGCCGGTTGAACGACGAAGTAGTGGTCACACAGCCCTGGATGCGCAGGTGGTTGACAACGTCCATGCGCACCCTGGCGTTGGCTGTGGCCGTCAGCGCCATGAACGGTATCGACGGGTACTTGTCGTGGAACGTGCCGAGCTGTGTGTAGTCGGGCCGGAAGTCGTGCCCCCACTGCGACAGGCAGTGCGCCTCGTCGACGACGAACCGCGCGAGCTGCCCGCGCCGGTACAGCTGGTCGATGGCCTCGCGCGTCTGGTGGCTCTTGCCAAGCATCTCGGGTGTGACGTAGAGCAGCCGCACCCTGGGCTCGGCCATGTTGAGCTCGGAGAACACATACGCGCGCCGCTCGGCAGGCAGCGTGCCTGTGAGCGAGAGAGCCGCGATGCCCCAGTGCGTGAGGTGCTCAACCTGGTCCTGCATCAGCGAGAGCAGCGGCGAGACGACCACTGTGACGCCACGGGTTGTGCCGTTCTGCACGACTGCCGGCAGCTGGAAGCACAGGCTCTTTCCGCCGCCCGTGGGCATCAGCACAAACACGTCCTTGCCCTCGAGTGTTGCGTTGATCGCCTCGAGCTGCCGCGAGCGGAAGCTCTCCATGTTGAAGACATGCCGTAGCGCCTTGTTGACCTCCTTCGTCCATGGATATGTGGCCTGGGGCCGATCTGGCTCCGGGTCAGACGGTCGCACGATCTCAGTGCTGTTTGGGTACAGGTCCACTGAGATGGGCGCTTCCGCCTGGAGTGGCATCGGCTGAACCAGTTGAACTGGCATCGGTGCCAAATTGGGAGCGTGCTGGTGCTGGGAGGAGAAAAAGGAGGGGGGCCCTTCTTCGAGACGCGTTATCTCCTTCACAATGTCGCTCCTGTTTTGCCGAAGCAGCGATATCGCGTTCTCGTTTCCAATCTCGTCAGTGTCCTGGAGATCAAAGATCTTGTCGCTGATGCTGGCCTTTTGGGCCCTGAGGAACTCGAGGCGCTCGGCAGTAATGTCCATGCTGTTGGCTGCGTTATTTTGCGTCGGATGAGACTAAAAATGGGCGAGAGTGGGATAGCAATAAATAAAGCTGGGTTAGCAAGCCATTACGAGCAAAGACAAAAGAGAGACAAGCAGACAGACAGGCAGGCAGATAATGGCGAATGGCTTACCGTCTGGTGCTGGGATTGATTCTGACTGTAGGCAGAGTTTGTGATAGCAACAGTGTTGGCATTGACAGCGCCAGGGTGAATGCTAGTCTCAGCGGGCTGGTGGCCAAAGCTGTTGTTGGTGGTGTTTCTAAAGTTTCCGCCAAAGCTACTGTTGTTGCTGAAGCTGCTGCTGGAATTGGAATTAAGCAGTGCCACGTCGTCTTCGCCGTCGATGACTTTGAGCATTCTGGAATCTACACGCGGGCGCTTGTACGGTAACACGCTTTGGGAGGCGCTGCATTGGGGGCGCTTGGGGCTCTCATCCATATATGCAGGGTCGTCTTCCTCTTCGAGGTCTTTAAGGTGAGAAGTGTAGAACGATTCGAGGTCGTCGTCGTCGATGCCCGAGCAGAGATCGATAGTGACTGTGTTTGAATTTGAATTGGAGTCGGTGGTCGTGGCTGTGGCTGTGGCTGTGGCTGTGGCTGTTGTCGGCAACTGCTGGATAGAAGCAGGAGCGGAGGTGAAAGCGGGAGCGACTGTGCAGTCGATATCAAAGTCGTTAAAGTCGTCGAGATCGTAAATGTCAATGGTTTCAATGTTTGTCTGGGGCTTAGCTTCAACTGGCTTTCTATCAACCGGCTTTCTGCCAACTGGTTTTCTATCAATCGGCTTGGCGTCATCTAGCATAATATCATCCGGTATCTCAATGGCTTGCAAGAGATCGTCGTCGTTGCTATAGCTGTTGGCTGTTGATGAATGCACAGCGTTTCGGTCTGGCTGCATGGGCAGCGGCCTAGACCGTGAACCATCCTGAAAGTCGTCGTCGTCGTCGTCTTCAATGTCTATGGAAATAACGGCATTGACGTTGGCATTGGAATTGGCATTGTGGCCGTTTGATCTTACTGGAGCCACATCGACTGCCTTTGGGTTGTTGTATTCTGTGGGAGCGGCTGAGGCGGCGGCCGCTGCGCTGAATTTGTTGCGCCTGTCGCTGAGGCATTTTGTGCTGGGCGTTGAACGGGGCTGATGCCCAGAATTTGCTCGACGGGAAGCGATAGGTTGAGGAGGGCAGGCGTAATGGGGCGGAAGGGAGCCGGGGCCGCCTGGGGCGGAAGGAGCTTGGATCCCTTGCCCGAGCGGACCCAGCCCTCGTGCCAGGCGAGCATTTGGTTCAGGTTGTCTTTCATTTGCCACAAATGCGTTAGTTGTTACAAAATAAATAAAATTGAAATGTATTAACATAAAGCTAAAATAAAAATATAAGCGTTTTTCAAAAGCTGCTGCGTAAACCAAGAAAAAAATCACACAAAAAAATCAACAGGCTCAACCAATTGCCAGCCATCACAGCCAATCAATATCAAAAAGCGCAAGTTTTGACGCTGTAGTCTGGGACCGAAATGAAAACACCGCATATTTCCATTAACGAAAAATGCAGCTTATTTTTAATTGCTTGCATCTGCACATATAATTCACAACCAATTCACAGCAAATTCATCTTGGTCATGTCGGCTGTATTTACACTCAAAACGCAGGACGAGGTCGACGCATTGTGGGCTGGCGAGGCATTTGCGCCAGTGTTTGCACGCAGCGTGCAGCCCGCGCTGGCAGTGCTGTGCATGACAGTGGGGCTGGTGTATGCGGCCAAGTACGCGGTAACGCGGCGTGACGCCGGGCGCGAGGCGCTCTACGCGGCGGTAGCATCGGCGGCGCTGGGCCTGGGCGCGGTGGTCGGTGTGCAGGCGCTCGGGCTGTACTTGTAACTGCGCATGCGACTGTACCGCTACCACTGACCTAGTGCAAGCATGCTGGAGCCCGATGGAGCCGGATGGACCCGATGGAGCCGGATGGACCCGATGGACCGGATGGACCCGATGGACCGGATGGACCCCGATGGACCCCGATGGAGCTAGATCGTTTGAACAAATATAATATGAAAAGAATAGAAAAGAAAGCTTACTCCTCGTGCTAGTCTTGTGTTTTGCTGCTGCGCATGCCCTCGAGGTCGAGGGTGCCGAGCATCAGCGGCCAGATGAACAGCGCCTCGATGCGCTGGCGCAACCAGCTCATGGGCACCGACGCCATCGACGGCGGGTGCGTGTCGTCATCGTCGACGGCGGCGCCGACAAGCGCGGCGTTGAAGGCGTCGACGACCTCGGGCACGGCGCCGGCCAGGCGCTGCAGCGCGGCGGCGGTCAGCACGGTCGGCAGCACGGCCTGATATGCGCATCGGGCGACGCGGCGGCGACGGCCTTGCGCTCGACGCCCATCTGCAGCACGTTGTTCCAGTTCAGCACGCGGCCGCGGCGCAGCGAGCTGCGGCGGCTCGGCTCGGCCAGCGCCTCGGGCGGCGCGCTGGGGCTGGGGTTACGGTTGAGGCCAAGGCAAGGCTGAGGCTGAGGCTGGGGCGCGTACGCCTCGGCGTGGAGGCGGCGCCGCTGGCGGCGACAGGCAAGCCGGCGACTGCGACTGCGACTGCGGCTGCGACTGCGGCTGCGACTGCGGCTGCGACAGGCGAGCCGGCGTGTCGGGCATCGGCTCGGCGTCGCTCTCCTCAAGCGGCGGCGGCGTGGCCAGCAGCGGCACAAAGTTGGTCGACGTGGCACGCTTCCACTGGCGCTTGCGCGCGCTCTCGATGCCGGATGTCGTCTTGCGCTTGCGGCCGCCGCCCTGGGTGCGCGCGTAGCCGAGGTGCGTTTCGTCGCGCTCGGCCTCCCACTCGGGGAAACTCGGCACGGTGCCCTCCTCGGGCGCGTCGCTGGCGGCGCCGTCGTCGTCGGCCGGCGGCGGGTCGGGCGCGCTGCCGCGCTTGTGCAGGCTGCGCCAGTGGCGCCAGCACTGGTTGTCGGTGCGGCCGCCCAGCATGTCGGCGACGTACGACCACTTGCCGATGCCGACGCGCGCGACAATGGCCACCAGCCGCGCGTCCTCGTCGGGCGACCACTGCGCGTTGTTGACGTCGGGAGTCAGCACGTTCATGTAGCGCTCGCGGCACTTGACGTCGGTGCGGCCCGGCACGTGCTTGGCGATCTTGGTCCACTGGCCAACGCCGTACAGCCGCACGGCGGCCAGCAGCGCCACGTCCTCGTCGCGGTCCCAGCGGCCCGAGCGGATGGCCGGGTTGATGGACTTGCACCAGCGGTGCAGCACCTGCTGGCCCGTGCGGTTGTCGAGGCACGCGGCCACGGCCTGCCAGTCGCCCTCGCCGTACGCCATGACGGCCTCGGTCAGCACGCGGTCCTCCTCGGGCGACCACTTGGACCGCGACATGTCGGCGTTGAGCTTGCGCTGGAACACCTGGAAGCACTGCGCGGCCGTGCGCTGGGTGCCCAGCACCTTGGCGATGGCCACCCAGTCGCGGCCGCCGTGCTCGGCGACGGCAGCCGCCAGCGCGCGCTCCTCGCGCTTGGACCACGGCGCGCGGTTGATTATGGGGTGGTCCTGCGTGGCCCACTGGATGGCGCACTCGACCGGCCGGTGCTGCGGCACGAACTGCCGCGCAATGTGCTTCCAGTCGAGCCCAGCCAGATTCATCTCGAGCTCGCCGTCTGCCATGCGGTCGACCTCCCATACGCTGCGCGGGTCCTGCGTCTGCGCGAACAGCCGCTGCGCCAGGATGCGCCGGTTGGTCGCTCGGACGCCGCGCACCAGCGCGTCGCGCTCGGCGTCAGTCCAGCGCCGCGCGCGGTAGACGATCGGCGGGTGCTTCTTCTTGCGCACGGCGTCGCGGTTGTCCGGCGGCCGCGCGCCGTCGCTGTCGACGAAGAAGGCGCTGGCGCCGATGCGCGCCTCGCCCGTCACCGGGTCAATTGCGCTGCGCTCGTCGCCGCCTCCGCCGGTGCCGGTGCGGCCGCCCGGCGCGCGTCTGGCGCCGATGCGCCGGCTGCTGGCGCGCGCCTGCATCGACAGCAGCGCGCCGATGCTGGCCTGTAGCTCGCTGTTGCGGCGCTGCGCCGCGTCGATGGCCGCCAGCTGCGCGCGCAGCTCGCGTGGATGCGCAGGTTGCTGCCCAGCGTCGCGCAGCCAGCGCGTACGCCTCAGCCTCGTCGAGCGGCGGCTCGTCGTCGCCGGCGCCGGAGTCTGCGGCCGTCGCGAGCCCGTGGCCGATCAGCGCGCGGAAGTTGTTGGCGACGCGCGAGAGCAGCGCCTGGTGATCGAGCGCGTGGTGATCAAGCGCCTGGCGGCTCTGGTGTATCTCACCGTCCTCGTCGCTGGAGTTGTCGATGTCGATGGCGATGGCGATGGCGTTGCTGTTGCCGTTGTCATCTTGGCCGCCGTCACCATCATCGCCATCCTCGCCATCCTCGCCGGCGCCCTGGCCGTAGTACTGGCCCGGCGCGCCGTCTGTCGCAAACACGCTGCCACCAGCCACAGCGCCCCCAACTCGGCCGCTGACCATCTCCTCGTCCTCGTAGTCGGGCTCTCCAATGCCCTCATCATCATCATCCTCCTCGTCGTCGTCGTCGTCGTCGTCGTTGTCTTCGTCGCTGCTGCCCTCGTTCAGCAGCCCCTGCGCGTGGATGCCTGCCGCGACCAGCGCCTGCAAGTTGCGCTTGGCGGTCTCAACGTCGGCCGCGACCATCTGCTCGACCTCCCCCATCTTGTCTGCCGCACCGGTGCTTCCTGCCATCGGGGTAGTCGGTTCTCGCCTAGAATTGTAGCTCAAAGGATTCAGCAAATGCAGAAAGCAGATTGCGGGTGTGCGTGTGCGTGAATTCGCGGAAATATAAAAGAATAACAAAAAATGCTTAAATACGCATCGAGAAAGCCACAGTGCCCACGCAAGTATGGTTCGCGGCAAAATGCGATTTGGGGCCAGCGCGCGCGCAATCTCACCCCCCCCCCCCTTTTTTTCTTCAACGCGCGCGATCAGAGCCCGGTGATCCGCCCGCCCTTGGCTGATCCGGATCACCGTCACGTGTAATAGTCGGCCACGTTGTACTCGAAGCGGTGCGCGGTCGCCCAGGGCATCTCCTTGCGCATGTGCTGCATGATCAGGCGGGTCTCGACCTCGGACGCGGCCTCGACGCCCGCCACGTACGGCACGTACACACGCGGCACGCGGCGCCCGGCCTGCGTGAACAGCCCCAGCACCTGCGCCAGCGTCGTCGCCGCCGACGCCCAGTCGCTCCAGACCCACAGCGCGCTCAGCTCGGCAACGCCGCGCCCACGCCCCGCCGCCGCCGCCGCGCTCTCCTTGCCGCTGACGGCGTCGCGCACGCGCGCCAGCAGCTGCTGCCGCCGCCGCCGCGAGGCCAGCGCCGACGCCGACATCGACGCGGGCCGGCTGGCGCCGCTCGGGGTCACCGCCAGGCGCACCTCCAGCGTCATCAGCCGCGGGAAGGCGCCCAGGATGCCGCCGATGCCGTGCGCCGTCAGCGGAATGAACGGCAGGCTGAGGTAGCGCAGCTGGCGCGGCTGCTGCTGGGCGGCGGCGGCAGTGGCGCGTGCCAGCGACGCGGCCAGCGACGCGTCGATGTCGTGGGCGCGTGTCAGCGGGTCGACGTACAGCGGGTAGTTGAGGTCCAGCACGCGCAGGTGTGCGAAGCGCGTCAGCAGGTAGTGCAGGCTTTTCGGCGTGAAGCGCATGCTGGGCATGCTGGGCAGCGGGATCAGCGTGCGGTGGATGTCGAACGAGTGCTTGGCCATCAGCTCGGCGTGCGTGGCGGCGTTGAACACGATCAGCTCGGCGAGCGCCGGGCAGCTCGACGCCAGCAGCTGCACCAGCGTGTCGTTGATGTGCGCCAGCTGCACGCGCCGCAGCCGCGCCCACGGCTCGAGGAACAGGCAGCCGTACAGCGTGTTCTCCAGCGCCGGGTGGCCGACGTCGGCGTGCGCGTTCAGCACCAGCCGCTCGAGCCGCGGGAAGTGGCGAGCCGCGAACGGGATGCCCAGCTTGCCGATCTCGCCGAACCGCAGCGCCAGCTCGCGCACCGACGGCTTGCTGAACGCCACCTCGTCGGCGCCGTCGGCGCAGCCGGGCTCGGGCGCGCCCGCCGACACGACGCGCAGCGTGCGGCTCTCGGCCACCTTGTACAGCAGGTCGGTCGAGTCGACGTTGAGCCGCAGGCTCTCGGGCGCCGCGACGTCGGTCAGCAGCACGGCGCGGATCACCGTGAAGGCGTAGTCCGTGTAGTGGCCCTCGCTGCGGATGGTCAGCGCCAGGCTGCGCAGCAGGAAGTTGGCGTGCGCCATGTACCGCATCAGGTCGGCGCTCAGGCCCAGGACGTCTATGTGCCGCTGCGACGCGCGCAGCACCACGGCGCGCGGCGCGGCCTGCGGCTGCCGGCCCATCGGGTGGAGCATCTCGCGAAAGTAGCCGGCCGCCGCGCTGTGCGCCACGTACGAGATGCTGCGCAGGTTCGGAAAGTAGCGCGCGTAGTCGCGCGGCATCCAGATCTTGTAGTGCAGCTCGTCGGCCAGCGAAGTGATGTGGCTGAAGATCTTGATCGACGTCACGCGCGGCCACCCGAGCTTCAGCGCGTTGCGCGTCGTGCGGTCGAGGCGCCGCGCGCCCGGCGCCGCCGTCAGCACCAGCACGTGCGTTGTCGCTGCCTTTGACTCGTGGATGCGCAGGAGCAGCGGCAGCGGGCTGCGCTCCAGCAGCCGCGTCAGGTCCAGCACCGTGCCCGCCTCCTCCTGCAGCGCCTCGCGGAAGGCCGGCGTGCACGCCATCTCGTCCAGGCCAGCGGCAGATCGCACACGCCCTCCTCCAGCGACTCGGGCAGCCCCTTGAGCTTTTCGAGCCGCGACATCTTTTCGACGCGGCCGACCGAGTGTCTGATGCGGCAGTCTTTTCCGATGCTGCCGCTGCTGTCGTCGACTGCGTTGATGACGATGCTTCCGCTGCTGCGTCGCTTTGCTGCGCTGGACATGCCGGCGCCCTCCGGCGGCGGCCTGCACATGCCGGCCTCCGCTGTGGCGGACATCAATCGCCGTGTTTATTGAGCGTGGCAATGTGAGCATGGCTTTGTGCGTGTGCGTGTGCGTGTGCGTGTGTGGCGGCTGTGATGTTTAAGAAATAAAGCTGTTGTTTTTTACTCGAAAATTAATTATCGAATCCTTTTTGCATGCAGAGAGACACAAGAAATGTATAAATAAGCAAAAGCACATTCGACATCACAACCCAGTGTTGCATTAGAAGCAAAACGGAGGATGCCAGGCACAAATGCAGGGTGCTCAGCCGGCCGGCCGCTTCTCACGCCCACCACGCCCACCGCGCCCACTGCGCCCACTGCGCTCAACACGCCCTGCCCTGCCCTGCCCTGCCCTGCCCTGCCCTGCCCTGCCTCCATCTCATACATCCCAAAGATCACACATCACGCAAATACACTCCCCACACGCAGATACATAAATGGACAATTGCTGATTGTTCAAATGGAGCAGTAGCAAACAAAACCTGAACCGCTTGGACATAGAAAACAAGATGCAAGCGCCAGCTTAGCACGCACTATTGCCTAACTCCTCCGCTCCCAACCCAACAATCCATTGCCTAACTCCTCCGCTCCCAACCCAACCCAAACCCAACCCAAAACCCAACACCAACAATCCAGCAATCTGACAATGCAGTCGCTGTCCAAAAATAAAAACAGAGTTGGCTAATGGCAAAAAACAACGCCAATGGCTTATAAATAGCACAAGTCATCTGCTTCAATTCGAACAATGTGCATTTAAAGTGCCTTCTTCGCTCCCAGCAATGAAAAAGCGGCGTGCATTGGCTGCCAGCCGCTCACGGGCCTCGTCCCCCGACCACCCACGCGCCTCCGCAATCAGGGCCGTGATGGCGTCCAAGGCGCCCGCTGTTGCCGCAGCGTCGTGCAAATCGGACTCGGCCAGAATCTGGCTCTCCGGCGCAGCCTGCATGCACTGCGCCGCCCTTTTGGCGCTGCGTCCGTTGACTGCCCTTGAGAAGCTGACAAACATGCGCCTGCCCACTTCGCCCTTGAAAAAAACCTGCGCCAGCATGTCGGCCGACCCGCTGTACGAGTGAAGCATGATGCGTGGCGGCAGCCGCCCACAGCGCTCAGCCTCACGAAGCGCGTCGCCCAGCGCCCCGAACGCCCGCACGCAGTGCACAGACACGCCTACGCCCAGCTCGCATGCAATGTCCAGCTGTGCGCGCAGCACCACCAGCTGTGGCTCGAGCGGGTACACCTCGCCGGTTGCCGGGCTGCGCGCCGCCTTGTCCAACCCGCACTCGCCGACAATCCCGCCGTGCTGCGTCACCAGCCGCCTGAGCCTTGCCTGCCAGTCCGCCGGGATCTCACCCGACTCGACTCCACCGGCAAACCACGGGTGCACACCAAACGCCGGGATGATCTGGTCTCCGTGCCGCGCCTTCAGCTCCACCACAGCCTGCCAGTCGGCGTAGTTGGTCCCCTGCACACAGTACACAATGTGCTTGTGCTGGTCCAGGGCCGCGTACGATTCGGGCGTCTCGTGGATATGGCAGTGCGCGTCGTAAACGATTTCTGTATTGGCGCCCATTTTTTTACAATTTTTTAAGAAAAGGACAGATGAATGATGTGTACACACAATTGTTCGCGCCTGAACTGCAAATTTATACATTTCACAGCCAATCAGCGCTATTTTCATTTAGCACGTGATTACAACCGATTTCTGACTGCTTGATTCAGTGGCGTTTGCGTTGACCGCCGAGTATGCCTTGCTTGTAGTTGTTTGCTTGTGCTTAGTTGTGGTTGATGTAGCGGCAGCCTAACGCCCGTCTCACTATAAAAAAAAGCGGTCGGATTCTAACATTGTCGCTTGGGGTTTTCTCTACTCAACGGGAATCGCACTTTAACTGTAAAGATAAATTAAAATGAACTTTTTAGCTGAGAGATCTAAGAGTTAAAATTCAGGAAGAATTAAAACCCCCAGACAAGGTAAGGATCCACATTTAATTTTGGTTGTTCGCCATTTTGCTTATAAACGCCCCCGCCAATCGCACTCAATTAGAACTGAGTATGGCTAGTTTAACTTAATCACGTGTTGCATTTGTCTTATAATTCGGTCAAATCTCTATTATTAGCACAACAGCGAGTTAGCGCCATCTGCTGAACAGTCACGCAAAAAAAAAGTAATTTATGCTGCCAAGTCGTGCAAACGTGAGCGTCAGCACCCAAAGTAAGTAGTTTTTCCACGCTTCTATTTGCAACCAACCAAGGAAGGTGGTGTGCACACCACCTGTGATACTCATGCATTCCTATCGCTGACATGCATCATTAATGGAATCGGGACAGTTGTGCTTGGAAAAAAAAACACAATAATTCATATTTAACAATAGAATTAGTATTATGTCAATGCGTATGAACAATGCTGTCAATACATAAAAGGAGCAAAAGTGCACCGAATGTTTTCATTAATATATTTCATTTTCTATCCCCCCTTCCCCCCCCCACTATTTCCACCTAATTACCATGTCAACTTCATATACGTTTTTCAGCAAGGGTGCATTTTCTCCCAGCGCACTAGTGTACATTGGTATTGTCGAAAGCAAAAATAATATTACCGAAAATAACATCAAACCCGATTTTGAAGTAAACGTCAACAGAGAGAGCCTGGAACTGCGACATAAACCAGGCACGGAAGATGCACGGGTGCTGATTTCGGGCAAATTCGAGGGGCTCTTCAAACGCTCTGCTCGCTTCAAGGATATGAACATCGATACCACTGCCAAACGGATTGAGCTATTCCTATCAGGCTGGTCCTTTGTCGACGAAGACAGTAACAAGTTTAAATGGCGAATTCCTATTCGCAGGCCCGTCTGGTACCTGCGCGACGATAATGGCAACATTGTAGCCGAGTTTCAGCGCACAACTTTTAGCCTGGGCAAGATTGGCACGCTGGTAATTCACAACCAAGTGCCTGAGTCGCTGCAGTCGTTGATTATCCTGACATGCAAGATGGCCCACAACACTGTCAGAAATAGCGAACACGGCTTGTTCATCTGATGTTTTTGAGCCATAGCTATATTATGTTGCGCATTTATTATACTCTAGTATTACAGGGGTTTTTTGTGTTGTACAATGAAGATTTATATTTGGTTTTGCTCAGACTGGAAATCAATAAAACATGCATAGAATTCCACTCGCTTTTGTTGATACTTTAATTTTGGTTCCGAAAACATTTCACAGAACCTTCACAACAACATGCAGCAACCTACATGATTTTGTATTTAAATACTTTTACTTCTAATGTTTTTCATTTTTTACAATTAAAAGTATTCCAATAGTTGGCAAAATAACAATGGCATATACATTCTTTCGAAACGCCATGTCCCCTATGGGCACCATTGTATACAGCGGCAAGGTCAAAAGTGAGAGGTATGCAGCCGAACAAAACATTGTGCCATTGTATGAAATCATCGTTAACGGGAGCAATTTGGCGCTGAAAAATATTTCAATAGTGCCTAACAGGTCATCAACCATGTTATTAGGGCAATTGACAGGGCTTGTCAGACATACTGCCAAGCTCTAGGGCTTCAACTCTGCGACAACAGCCAGGCAAATCGGATGGTTGCTCTGTGGATGTTTTTTGTAGATTTTACGGGCAACAAATTGGAATGGGAAAAAATTGGAAGGAAAACTTGTGGACTCTTTATAACAAAAAAATAGAGGTAGCCAATTTGACCGCGCCATGTTTACTACCATGAGTACCGGTACGCTGCTTGTTCATAAGCCAGTATCCAACTCACTGGTGGCGCTTGTTCTGCTTACATGCCAGTTGATTTAAAACACTATCAAAGGTTGCGACATGATTACCAGAGAATTATAGGCAGTTTATTATATTAGCAAAAATAAAGTCCCGATATTAGAGGCATTAATAGCATTGTTTGTCTATTTTATGTTTGTATTCTGATAGCTAATTTTTTTTACTTTTGAATGATTTACAATGTATCTTATTCACAACCATGCGACATAAAGGATGATGCACGTTGTATTTCCGCATTCAAAGTACAATTTGTTTTGACATCACACAACATTGCTTTGTGCGTGTACGTTAGAATACAAACCATTTAAAAATTGAGAGGGAAAAATACTTGAAATATATATATATTTTTTGCTTTTTCAATTTGTTCGCTCGTTCACTCGTTATTTTTTACCTAGATATTTTTGCACCAAATAGATCAATTCGGTATTGCCACTACATTCACATTTTTCAGAAACAGCTTGCTTGCCGAGGGCGCGATTCTGTACAACGGTAAGTTTAAAAGAGAGAGCGCGGCAGAAAAAGAGGGCATTGAACCCGTGTACGCAATCTAGTTTGTGGGAAGAGCATTGGCGCTGGAGCACACCTCGCTGCCGCCCAATGGCGAAATAACCGTGCTCAAGGGGGGGGAAGTGGTAGGCTTTACCAAAAATATGGTCTAACTCAAGGGATTCAACTCAACGACCACAGCCAAACGTGCCGGCTGGTTTTATGCCGGATGGTCATTTGAAGATTTTGATAAAAACACGTTCAAGTGGCGTGAAACTCTACTCAACACTTCGTGGACGCTGTACGACGCAAAAAAGAAAAATGTTGCCAAGTTGACCATGCTTTATACTCCATTAGAAGGTGCGGCATGCTGGTCGTGTACGAGCCAGTATCAGACCGGATGATGGCCCTTATTTTGCTAACGTGCAAGATGTTCCACAACACCATCAAGAAGCAAGAGAAAGTTAGCAAATAACAATAGCAACGACGACAACAACAACGGTGGTGATGACATGCAGTCAACGTCTGCGTGATAGTGACAACAAACCAAGCACTTGAATATTTGTTTTATATTGTTTTTCTTTTTTATTTGTTTTTCCCTCATCAGCATTCAATATATCACTGATATCGGAATACAATTTATTTTTCAAAATAACCTGGTATTTGCAAAGTCCAGAAAGAAAAGGATCATGTCATGGTACATAACGTATTTTATTGTTGTGAGCGTAAATCTCACAACACTATCTAAACCTCTTTTGGCGAGCGCAACTGTGGCTGTACGATTTGGATAATGGTCTCTGGATATAAACTGGGGAGTATATCAAATAAATGGAATTGTGCTTTACTCTCCATCGGCACTTTCTCTTGTTTATTTTATACTTTACGTCCCTTTATTTCATCATAATTTTCTAGAAACCTCTGCTTTTTTTGCCATCATAATCACAGCCAAAAATGACTACATCCTTCACATTCTTCCGCAAGAGCGTATTTTCCAAGAGCGCCATCATATATGGTGGCAAAGTCAAGAGCGAGAGTGCAGCGGCAAAGCAGGCCATTGCGCCAGTGTACGATATTGATTTCGACGGGCACGATTTCGCGCTCCGATACATCACACAGTCCCTCACTAGCGGAATGACCGTGCTCTTGGGGCAAACAGATGGGGCGGCAAAGCGCAGTGCCAGGATCGAAGGTTTCAACTCTGGGGCAACAGCCAAGCGCACCGGGTGGTTCTTCTCCGGATGGTCGTTTGTTGACTTCATGGGAAACGAGTTTACGTGGATCGATAGCTGGTGGAGCACCTCGTGGACGCTGTACGACGCCAGGGGCAAAAAGATTGCCACTTTCAGCCGATCCATGTTTGTAATCATCAGGTGCGGTACGCTAGTCATCCACGAGCCGGTGCCAGACTCACTGATGGCACTCATCCTGCTCACATGCAAGATGGTCCATAACACTCTCAAGAGGCACAGGAGAATCAGCGTTTTAGGGTAGGCGGTCAGTGGCCAGCAAAGCGAGATTGGCCTGTAATTGCTTCAAAGGGGTATATCTTCGCCATTCAGTATATAATAGTAAATATAATATATAAAAAATACACAAGCAGCATGGGCGACAGTCTTGAAGCATTGTGTGGATTTAATCCGCGCAAATCCTTGGTTCTGGATGGCGGATTCGGTCAGCTCATAGCGGACAAGTATCGCACTTAGACATGTCCGACGGCCTTTGGGCGTCTGGGGTGGCAGTGCGGTGCCCTGATGTAATCCGCCACGTGCACCTCATGTATTTGAGAGCCGGCGCCGACATTATTTCCACCGCCACCTACCAGGCGTCTGCGAACGGCTACATCTCGGCAGGACTGGCGGAGACAAAGCTGGGGCCAAGCGCCTAATGGAATCGACGCTTTTTCTGGCTGTCGAGGCGCGAGACCAGTATATGCGAGAGCATGGGTGTGCGACGAGGCTTGGGCGGCCGATGATTTCCGCCTCTCTGGGTTCCATCGCGCGACACTGGGCAATTGCAGCGAGTACACTGGCGACTACGGCTGCGCGGTGACACCGGCGCGTGTGCGAGAATTCCAGAAGAGCGTCTTGGTATGCTGGCAGACTGCCTGCATGGCAGCGCGGCTCTTCGTGATCAGATCGACCTTTTGGCGATAGAAACCATTCCATCGGCCGCCGAGGCCAGTGCAGTTGCCGATGCACTCGAGGCCCTGCATGGCCGCGGCACCAGGCTTCCGCCCGCGTGGATATCGTTCACATCAAGCACCGCTGACCGCATTGGGTGTGGCGACACAATTGAAGACGCCGTCAAGGCCATTTCCAATTGCCCCCGTGTGTGTGCTATCGCATCAACTGCGTCCCACTGGGCGTTGTTGGCGGGCTGCTGGCTGGGATCCAGCGCGCAACGCAAAAGCCAATTGTCTGTTATCCTAACGGCCAGCCGTGGTCGGACGCTAACGGCGGCTGGCACGCAGACGGCGGCCTGGTTTCAGCAGCTCATTTTGCCTGCGAGGCGGCCGAGTGGGTCCGCTGTGGTGTGAGCATTGTTGGCGGCTGCTGCAGAACCACGGCTGAGAACACCCGAGCGCTGGTCGAGCAGATGCTGGAGTTGCGCCACGAGTGAATGGCACATGTGGCTGCAATAATATTTGCGGAGATGCACGCCTTTGTGGCCAATGCGATCGCGGCATGCCGGCACCCGTCCTTCTTTTTCCCCGCTGTATTTGGCATACCTAACTTATTTGACCGTGCGGGGGAGAGCAGTGCGCCAGGGTATTTTCCGGTGGCGACAATATCAGCAGCGCCCACACTGTTTGTCCATTTAAACATTCATGCACTTGCAATGTGGAGCTGGCCTAGAACAGCTGCTCGATTTTCGATGTGGACACACCGTGTGCAAATAAATTGATCTACATTCAAAGAACAAGTCTACATTTCATCATTTTCGCTTAACACTCGTTTTCACTATTTTTCATTTTTTAAAGCAGACATATCCGACATTATATTGCGAATAGTCACATATAGAGATGCCGCCGATCAACATTACCCATTTGATTTACGCCCCTGGGTACGGCCACATCGACCCGACCGCAGTCACCGTGATTGTCGAAAGAATCGTCATCGACTCTGGTGCACGCAAAAGGGCGGGCAAGGTGGCGACCTCGTCGGAATCGTCATCCGCGAAACACCAATGACCTAGTTGCTGTGATCCCCGCTGGACATGGTCAGGCTCACCGCCCGTGCGCAGGGAAGCAGGGCTATAGGATTCACAGACACCAGCAAGGGTACCACCACAGACACCACGGACACCATGGCGGACACCACGGACACCATCACGGACACCATTGCGGTGACCAGCAGGATCCAGAGCCAAAGCCTGAACCAGGCCCCGAGCCGGGCCTAGAGCAAAGGCAAAGGCGCATTGGGCACGCGCACCATGCAGTGCCCTACGGCTACAGCCATCGCTACCAGGTTCAGCAGCAGCACCTGCCCATACACTCGTCCGACGGCAACAGCCTGGGGCCCCGGCTGGCAGACTTTGCGTTGAGCGAGCTCGGGTTTCTGGCACTGTCCTTCGCGCTGAGCCTGGTTCTGCTGCTGATCGGCTACAAGCTTGGTGACCGTGTGTGCAGGTTTGAGAATGCCCGCGACCGCACTCGCGGCCGCGGGCACAGAAACTCTCTTGCCCGTCGCCAGCAGAACTCTGGAGCGTGGGTTCCGGCGACGCAAGAAAAGCAGCAGCAGCAGCGGACAAAGCCACCCCAGCCTATTTATCTGGAGGCAGACTCGCCGAACGAGCTGGATATTGGGACCGGGGCAGACTGCGCGCTGTCAGTTGTTGCAGAGCCCCACACCGCGCGCACAAAGGACAACGGCAGCAATATTAATGGCAATTAATGATTGAAGACCAGGGCAATTGCGCCTGCTTAGCTCGGAACAGAACAGAACAGAACAGCTCAGCTCCGTTGGCTACCCTATTAAATTTTTGTTTCAAGTATATACCAAAGTTATAAACAGTCTGTACATTCGGCCACACGTTAAATATATTATAAAAATTAAATATATATATTCATCAGTACGGGCGAGATGCCGGCCTGACCTCGGGGCTGTCGAGATTGGGGCCATCGCTCAGGGGCACGACCTGGGTCGGGTTGATCTGAGTGTGGCTCATGTAGTAGTGCTTTTTGATGTGCTCCATGTTGACCGTGCCCTTGATTCCTGGCAGCTGGTAGATCTCGCGCGTCCAGCGCAGAATGTTCGGGTACCCGGTGCCAATCTGCTTGAGGTTGCACTTGAAGTGGCCGTGGTACACCGGGTCAAAGCGCACGATCGTCGTAAACAGCCTCAGATCGGCCTCGGTCAGCCGCGAGCCCAGCAAAAACTCTCTCTCAGCGAGAATGCGCTCGATGCGCTCGAGTGACTCGAACAGTGCGCGGCAGTTCCGCTCGTACGCGTCCTGCGAAACGGCAAACCCTGATTTGTAGACGCCATTGTTGACCGTGTCATAAATCCATTCGTTGATCTCGTCGATCTGGACGCGCAGGTCCTCGGGGTAAAACGTGATCCCGCGGTACTCGGGTGCGACCAAGTCATCAAAGGCTGTATTGAGCATGCGGATGATTTCGGAGCTTTCGTTGTTGACAATGGTCTGCCGCTTCTTGTCCCACAGCACGGGGACTGTGAAGCGCGCCGAGTAGCTGGGCTCGGCCTTGAGGTAGACCTCGCGTATGTACTTGGCGCCTGTAACATCGTCCAGGGTCGCGCCGGGCACGTCGTCGGGCGACGCAAACTCCCAGCCATTGGGGCCCATCAGGTAGTGCACCACCGAGATGCTGATGACGTCCTCCAGGCCCTTGAGCTGCCGCACAATAAGTGTGCGGTGCGCCCACGGGCACGCGTAGCTGACGTACAAATGATAGCGGCCAGACTCAGCCGGGAACTCGGCGGCGGCGCTGGGCTCGACGAAGCTGCGGAAACTGGAGACCTGGCGGTGGAACTCGCCGTCTTTCGAGGCCCACTTGGTGATAATCGGAGGTGTTGAAGTCGACGACATTGCGTATGGGCGGCAATAATTGGATAAATGGATGGTGAGGTGTGCTATTCTAAGCAGAAAATGAAAGTGTCTGCAATAAATGAGGTGAGTGAGCGTAAGTACTAAAAGAAAGGCAGAAAACAGGCTAATTACAGTGTAAATTAATTCGTTTATCTTGCAGCGCGTGTTGCCGCTTTTATATATTGGGGAAGTAGATTTGACATCCATTTCTACTCTGCTCGATTCGATTGCTTGCTGGATGGCATTATTAATTGGCACGCTCTGCGCAACAGAGCACATGTTTCTGGTGGCTGTGCGTAAGCAGCAGCTGGCTGAAACAAACCAATGGTGCTGATTGTTACTGCATAGCTAGGCTGGCCCATTTGTCAGATGTTCAGGACAAGGGGTCATTTTGACTGCTGGGTATTTGTCAACCCTAAGTTTCAAAACAAAGGCAGATGGGGGTGCAGGCTGTATGTTCCCAGTTCTGATTCTGATCCTGATTCTGCTTTTGGTTTTAATTCTAATTCTGATCCAGCTCACAACCCTGCCGCCCGGATGGCGCTTACAAGGCTCGCCGCAAACTGGCGGCGGCGGCAGCGGTAGCAGCAGTGGCAACACCACTACCAGCAGCAGGTAATATCCGCGGCGGACATCGGTTTAAGCACCAACTCCGGTCTGTTCTAGTTTGATTTGGCTTTTGTTGGCCTGGGCCCTACTCCTCAGTGGTTTTTATTTAAAATAAAAGGTAAAACAAGCTATCAGGGCGAGTTGCACACTGCCAAAACGGGGGCTACCGCTAGCTTTGGGCGCTTGCAATTGGCGCAAAACTAGCCGCCGCGCTTGTCTGCCGCCGCTTTGAGGCTCCTGTGGCAATGTAATTGTGCGAGCGGTGGCTGCTGCTGCTGCTGCTGCTGCTGGGCGTGTCCATTTCCCACGCCCTCTTTGTATTCTGCGCTCTCGCGCGCTTTTCTGCTCTTCAATTGTCAATTGTCAATTTTTTATTTTTTATTTGTCTCGCGCTCCCTCTGCACACCAGCAATAACTCTACAGCCAACTCCGCGGCCATCGTAAATAGTAAGTAAATAAAATACACAAGGTACCCTGTCGGAAACAAGCAGTAACGCGCATGCCTTGTCATTCGGCTGGCTTGGCTTTTTTCAGGAACGCACAAGCGCACCAGCGCACGGGCCGGCCTTTTATTGGGTATACGCGCACCTTGGAGATGGCTACCACCTTGGCCAAGCGACTGAGCGACTGAGCGCTGATCGCAAAGCACGAATCTGAATACTAACACACCTCAACGATTTGCCTTCATATTGTCTTTTTCTTTTCATAGTCGAATATGTTTTCTGCCATTCGCAGCATCGCTCGCGCACCCGCCGTCGCCCAGCGACTGACCAGCCCCGCCCGTCTTGCCAGCGTGCACCCGGCCATGCGCTACTGTAAGTACCAGCTCCAACAATGTGCTGTGCTGTTCTGTTTTGATGACTAATGTGCATTTTTAATAACCGGACTCCTCCGGCAAAGCGTTCTTCCAGCCGACTGACTGACTGGCCAAACTTGTACTGCTTTTGAAGGGGAAGAGGGAGGAGAGAGAGGCGCAGCTTTGGCTGCAGGATGAGAAACAGGAAATGTGCAGCGAAAATGTGACTAATTTCCGGCGCGCTTTGATTCCAGCGTCCTGCTTGCACTTGCACTTGTGTCTGCGTTTGGTTCTGGGTCTGGCTCTGGCTCTGCTTGGCTCCTTTTGACTCTGCCGCGCCCTCACATATCTTGCGCAGACTCAGATCCAAGGCTGCACGCGATTTGTCATCCCATGCCAATCCGATGATCCAGACCAATTAATCACACTAGCAGCCCCTGTGACTACACCGGCCACTGTGTCGCCGCCGCACTGGTATCGCTAATCTTCTGTTTTGCGGAATTGGTGGAGCTGACGGGGAAACCGGGATTGGCTGCCCCTCCTCTTCCGAACGGTCACCGCACTGCCCAATGCTCAATGACCAATGCCCAATGCCTGATGCTTGATGCTTGATGCTCGGTTTTTTCTTCTGTTATTTGCCTCGATCACATGGGAAAAATGCACCATTTGTCTGGATTGTTTTTTGGCGCTGATAAGCAGATACCCTCTGCGGATTGGGGAAGCCCAAGGGCGGTGATCATCCGCTCTTCTGCAGCCGCCGCCATCACAGTGTAGAGCGGTGCGCCCAGCAATCTCCCTTCCCTCTCCTTTTTGGCCCCCATGCTTGCGATGTCTGCTGCCGTACGCCATCCCACACCCCCTTTTGTCCCTGGCCGCTTCCGTTTTACGCCGAACCCTCTTCCTTCTATCGCAATCGCAAATACAATTGCAATTGCAATTGCAATTGAACCATACAATCACAATCAGAGAATGCCTGCTATCCTACCGCTAAGGCGGCCTTTTTGGCTTCTCGGACACGCCCCCTGCCAGCCCAGGACACCGCTACTATATAAAGGGCGGCCTCGGCTGCTGCCGCAACCACTTTCCTGCTCAACTAAAAAAAGATATTGTTGACTACTCTCTAATCCCCTACTTTTATTTACAACATTTCTTTATCAACCATGAGCGCAGATGCCAGCAGCACCGCCGCAATCCAAAAGATTGTCGTCAAGAACCCAGTCGTCGACCTTGATGGCGACGAGATGACTCGCATCATCTGGCAGCGGATCAAGGACCAGCTCATCCTGCCGTACCTGGATATTGACATCAAGTACTACGATCTGGGCATGGAGAACCGCGACCAGACCAACGACAAGGTCACACTCGAGGCCGCCGAGGCGATCAAGAAGTACAAGGTCGGCATTAAGTGTGCGACCATCACGCCCGACAACGCCCGCGTCAAGGAGTTTAACCTCAAGCAGAAGTGGAAGTCGCCCAACGGCACGATTCGCAACATCCTGAACGGTACTGTTTTCCGCGAGCCTATCTTCATCGACAACGTGCCTCGCCTGATCCCCGCGTGGAAGAAGCCCATTGTTATTGCGCGCCATGCCTTCGGCGACCAGTACAAGTCAGCTGACTTTGAGATGGACGGCCCCGGCAAGTTCGAGGTCACCTTCACGCCCGAGGGCGCCAGCGAGCCCAGCATCCGCCACACCGTGCATGACTTCAAGGGCCCCGGCGTCGGCCTCGGCATGTTCAACACCCACGAGTCGATCACTGCCTTTGCCCACGCCTGCTTCAAGATGGCCATTGACCGCAAGATGCCCCTGTACCTCGGCACCAAGTCGACCGTTATTTCGACCTACGACGCCTACTGGGACAAGATCTTTATTGCGCTGTATGAAGCTGAGTACAAGGCTGATTTTGAGCGCCTGGGCATCTGGTACGAGCACCGCCTGGTCGACGATATGGTTGCCCAGCTGGTCAAGATGGAGGGCGGCATGATCCTCGCGCTTGGTAACATGCTTGGCGACATCATTTCGGACCTGGTCGCCCAGGGCTGTGGCTCGCTAGCGCTGATGTCCTCGGTGCTTGTCGCCAAGGGCGAGCAGCCCGGCGATTTTATCTACGAGTCCGAAGCCGCCCACGGCACTGTCACTCGCCACTTCCGCCAGCACCAACAGGGCAAGACGACGTCAACCAACCCCGTGGCTTCGATCTACGCTTGGACCCGCGGCCTCATCCACCGCGCCCAGCTTGACGGGACCCCCGACCTCGAGGCCTTTGCCCGCAACCTCGAGACCGCTTGCATTGAGTCCGTCAAGGGCGGCGTCATGACCAAGGATCTGGCAATCTCTATCCACGGCAACGATGCCGCTCCTGAGACTTACGTCTCTACTAACGAGTACATCACCGAGGTCGCGCGCCGTCTGTCTGCTCTGCAGCTCCAGCAGAACTAGTTGTGATATTTTTTCATACTTTCAGTACATTTTTCTCATTTCCAATCGTATTCAATAACACGCTTATCGCGCAATCATATTTGCATCGATCAAGGGCAGCGAAATTGAAATAGATAACTTTGTGAACAAAACATTTAGTACAAAATGATTTTCACTATATTGCTGCCTTGCCCATGCTTGCGCCTGCGCCTTGCTTCTTGACCGCCTTGCCCGACTTGTCAGTCACCTTGAGCAGCTGCGATGGCAGCCCGTGCCTTTCAAGCAGCTTTGTAACTGCAGCAACTTGGTGGCCCTGCACGAGCACCGACTGCGCGTTCTTCTTCCCGGGGATCGAGTCAATACCAGTGCTCGATGCGCAGACAATGCGCAGCTCCTTGGCAATGACTGCTGGGTCGACGCCGTAGGCCTCCAACCCGGCGATGCGCGTCACGACTTTATTTCCCATTTTCTTCTCGCACACAATCTCCACAGCTGCCGGGCTGCCAATCTTTGGCGCGCCCGGCGTCTGCCCTGGCACCATGACCTGTGTGTACAACGTCATTTTCTCCTGTAGGCGAGCCTGCAGCTTGTCGCGCGGCATTGCGTTCATCTTGGAGTACTCCTCCTTTGTCAGCAAGCCGTCACACAGCCGGTGGTCCAGCTTAATCATGCGCGGGTTCTTGGGATCTACCAGGTTACTGTCCTTGATGTACTGCTCTAGCACCGCGCGCGCCTGCTGCCGGCTCAAAAACCCCGATTCCGATTGTGCGCCAACATCCTCGAACAGGGGCGCCAGCGCGTGTGACGGCTTGAATAACTCAATTATCTGGATCATCCCAGAGCCACCCGAATGCGCCTCACTCGCACTTGTGCCTGAAGAGGCGGTGACCCCGGCAGCAGCCCCAAAAGCAGCACTAGACTCAGCCGCCGGCCTGTCACTCTTGATACGCGGCACCTTGTACGGCTGGAATGTGGCCATGTCGCGATGCGCCCAGTCGAACGACTTTATGTGCGTCTCGCCACGGATATCCTTGAGTTTGATCAGCCCGTGCTTCTCGGCGGCCTTGAGAAACTTGGCCAGCTTCTTATACGACGACCGCTTGATGTCCACTTCTTTGCCCCGCGGCGCGTTGGGCACCATATAGTTCGAGTACACTGTCGACGCATTGATTGGCAGCAGGCCGGTCGCGTGGTTCGCGTCTAGCACTGTCGCCATTATTTGCTTCAATACCTCCATCAGCAGCCCATCCATCTCAGACGGCGACAGCTCGACGATGTGCTCGTCCTGTTCGCCGCCCAGGGTGACACCACAACTATGCTCGATCTGCTCAGCACAGTCGTCATCGCCAATGTGTTTCTCGCCTGACAGCAGTTCGTCGTCCTCCAGCGCCGCGACTGCTATCGCTATCTCAGGCAGCTTGGCTTTGCTTCCAGACTCCCACAAATGGTCCTTGTATGTGTGGGTGATCAATACTGCTTTCCCCTTGGCACCAATGACGCTGTGCACGTCCTTCGTGTCAAAAGTCAGGACGCCGACTGCCTGCGCCGCCAAATTCCCAGGACAACATATAGCCACGATGGTCCCGCTTTTCAAATCGGGAAGCCCGTCCTGCGGCACAATTAGCCCCGGAACCATCAGGTCTGCGCCATTGATCAGCTTTTCGACGACCTGCGGCCATGTCCACAGGATCGGCATCATGTCAGAAAACCGCCACTGCGTGTACACGGTCGGAACTAGCCGCTGCGTCTTCGCGCACCCGTAAAGCTCTGTCTTCAGCCACAGGGGATTCCCAGTGCTATCGTAGTATATCTCACCCTTCTCGCCAATATGAGAGATAAACTTAGCCATTTGCAACTTGCTTGGCATGGGCCGTAGTGCCTGAGAACCGAATCCCGCAGCCTTGTCCCCGTGCTCAGTCTTGACATCAACGCTTTCAGTTTCTGTCTCGGCATTGGCCTCGACGTCAGTTTCAGCTTCAATCGAATGCTCTGACTCTACCAAAGCCCACGCTGCTGGAAAGCTCTCCTTGGACTCTTGTACTAGCCGTCTGCACACCGACGATTTTAGCGGCGTGCGAGGTTTTGTTTGGAACTGCTTTTTAAACATTTGTAAGTGATAAAAAAAGTGGTAAATTGCGTGTATTATAATGTTTGAATTTGCGTGTTGGGAAGAGAGAAAAGAAAAATATAAAAAATTGAATTGTTGGCTCTTTTTAGTTGTTTTTATTAAGGAGTGCACACGTCAGCAGGTTTCAAAGCCAAAAGGGCAGAAAAGAAAGCCAAAAAAACGAATGTTTTTTTAAGTACCACTCACTTGATCAAAAGATGCATTGATCGGCTGATCGTGATTTTACCTGATCAACTTAGTTCGCACAATGCTCAGAGCACAGTGTCAGGAATTGATAGCTGTATATGCTAACCGAGATATTAGCAATATACAATTGTTACTGTGGTTTTGGACCAAGTGCTCCACTCCACATTTGCTAATATTGGTGTTGTCTGACTACGAGACCTATCCGTGGGATTTGTTAAAACTCCAGTATATAACAGTTCCTCTTCAAAATTTAGTATAATGATTTTACTGTCTACAAATATTTATTATAAATTAACACTATGACAAAAGCTAAAGAAGTTTACAATATAAAATCACATGCATTTACGCTCTCCAATGACCCAACCTAATTCTGGCATCACATGCAGCATTCAATGGCTGTAAATTAAAGTTCACATATAATGGGATGTGCTGTGTCGAGCTGTTGCTGCGGTTATTGTAGGCAAACTCAGTATGCATTATGTGTTGGTTTTGGTTGTTATGGTGATTATTCCATGTCATACACAGCATTGACTTCGGCACCTGGTTTATGTGCTCAGCCTGACAGTCTGTTTGTACATCCCTGGTAGTGGAAATGTTGGGCTATATTCTGGTTCATTTCCACAGTATGATCAAGAAGAATGAGCAGAATTTTGAGGCATGGTAAGAAACAATGGACTCAGGCAGGCCGTGCAGGCAGTAGATGGTCTTTGTGACACAAGAAATTGCGGCTTGTCTCCGGCGATTGATTAATGAATCAATCGCTAGTTAATTCCATACTTGGATATGCAGGAATTCATACGCACGCATAAATACCAATGAATATGAACAGTGGAAGCTGTTCATCTCTTAGCTTTCTTTTAGTTCACTTTTATTCAATATATATTTATATTTATAACGCAACAGTCTTGAAGTACAGGTCAACAGTATTCTGGGTAGTTGTGACACTGTGTGTAATGAGGAATTGTGCTGGTTATAATAAATATTAATCTAAATGAAACTACGGAAAGAGCTGAAGAGCTCACTATTCAGAATTCGCCGTACGCCTAAAATATCATAAACATATTTTACGCGTCTGCGCTGTCACGTGGCTCAGCCCCCATTTCTGATGTTACACTGTGCGTTGATATCAAATACTTCATCTTAAAATAATGGTTGTGGTGGACTATCTATCTAAGTCGATAGAGTTACTGTAAATATAGGTATATATATTATCCCCTAAATTATAGTCGAGAAATGAGAGCAAGAATAATCACAATAATTACAATAATTATTGTGATTATGCGTCTTTGTATTTTCAACAAAGGTGCTGATCGTCGTTGGCTCAACTGGCCAACAATTATAATGTCGTATCATTCCTTGGTATCAGGTAAGCTAACAATAAAATACATGCTAATTGTGGCATGAATTATTCTAATGCCATGTGACAAACGCAATTGTTTTGAATTGATAAGCGGGGCTTTTAAGCTCCCTTATAGTGTAATTCTTTGACATAAATATATTTGGTAGTGATAAGTTCTATTACACCAGCACTTGTCCAGTTGTGTCATGGGATCTGTAGCAGCTGCGGTGGCCCATCGCTGGGTCTGTTACTGCGTTTGATTTGCTGGCACAGATCACACTTCATCACATACTTTTCATAACTGTGATATCAATTATTGCAATGTCACGTGACAATTGCAATTGGGAAATTGCGATTGTTTGAAATTGTGATTGTTTACGATCGCGATTTCTATTTTCACGGGCGATAGTTTCAAATAGATAAGTGGAGCTTTTAAAGCTCCCTTATAGTGGATTTTTAATAAAAATTAGTTATTACGGATAAGTTTTATTACTACAACCCTAGCACATGCCAGGTCAATAGAATAGCTTGCTCAGTTTTTTGTATGTTGGTTTGACTTCTAGGTGCATTGCACCACTATGGAACTTGGCCAGCAGCAGAGATATTGTGATATCATAAATGGGGGCCGAGTCACGTGACAGCGCAGACGTGTAAAATATGTTTATGATATTTTAGGCGTACGGCGAATTCTGAATAGTGAGCTCTTCAGCTCTTTCCGTAGTCTCATTTTTATTAATATATATTATAGCTAGTCCAAATCTCATTACATGCACCCTACATCAAGCATGCAGCCAATACTCCTGGCCTAGAACTGGTGGGATCTGTAGACAAACATTGTGAAGTGTGCTCTGTTGCCAAGCCAGTTGAGAAGCCACACAATGGCTACCTGCCATGAGCCAAGACACCTCTTGAAGTGGTTCACTCTGATGTTGGTGTTGTGACTCATCCATCTGCTGAGCACAGCAAGTACTTTGTCACCTTCATAGATGACTACTCCCACAGTGTGCTTGTGTATCTCATGGAGCACAAATCAGAAGTTACTGACAGATTCAAGCTATATGTGGCCAAGATGGAGCACCAGCTGGATGCCAAGGCTAAGACACTGTGTTTTGACAATGATGGCAAGTACATCAATGGAGATATGAAGGTGTTCTGTGAGGCCAATGGCATTTCCCAGGTTATCAGTTCCTCACACACACTTCGGCAGAATGGTGTAGCTGAATGATACAATCACACATCAGTAGAGATGGCCAATGCCATGCTGCTGCAGTCTGGTGTTCCTCTTTGTTTATGGTTTTTTGACATTGTGCATACCAACTGGGTGCTAAACTGTCTGCTCAAGCATGCTCTTGGCATGAGCACACCATTTGAGGAGCTTGTGAAAAACGAGCAAAGCTGAGCAAAGAGAAGAGACTGAGGAAAGCTGTCTCTTATATAGGAGACAGCGAGTGAAGATAAGAAAGTTATAAATAAACCAGAAGGATACTTTAGAAACCTCTGGTCTTGCAATCATCTTACAGTATGCAAGACGGAATTCCGTCATGACAGAGTTCCACCAAGAACGGAATTCCAACAGAGCTAGACAGTGCCAGCAACATTGCTAACATCCATCCATTTGGCAGTCTGGTCTGGAGTGAGTACCCTCCTGAGCTGTGTTCTAAGTTTGGTGAGCATGCCCAGAAGTTTGTGTACCTGGGCAGGAAGAATGGCAAGGCACTGCTCTATTGCATGAACTTTGCCTGTGTTCCACACACCTGAAGAGCCATGTTTGTAGATGCTGAATTTCCATTCTACAATGAAAGTGCACCCTCTGTACCATTTTACTTCCATGAGTCAGACATGACTGACATGCCCACACAGCATGGCCCCATACACATAGCAGATCTGTTTGATGAGAATGACGACCTGCATCTGGCACAGCTGCAAGAGGAAGACAAGTGGAGGCATGTTCAGGAGAGGCGTCAGAGAAACAGCAGAATAATCCAGTATATCCTATGTGGCAGCAACAACAGCAACAGTGAGTCTGAGTTTACTGATGCCTCATTTGTCACTGCCCATGAGGAGCACAGTTCTAGCTCGACACCCCAGCACACTCCAGTTCACCATTCTTCAGCCACAGCCACAAGTACCAGCAACAGGAACAGCAACAGCAGAAACAGTACATCAACCACTGAGCCATTAGGCAGAGAGCCCTTTTTGGGCATCCATTATCTCGGTCAACCTGCAGTGCTCAAGATACTACCAACACTAGTGTCAACGTCCACAGATACCAGCCAACCAACCCATCTTCTTTGAGGCTATTGTCTACTGCTGCCAAAGCTACTGATCCAGTAACACCCATGCTCAGCCGTCGCTCAGCAGCCTCAGCACGAATTACTGACATTGCTGCTCATGAGCAAGGCACTCTCACCACTAGAAACAGCCAGCCTACAACAGACTGGTGGCAAGTGGATGACAGAGTGCAGGCCGACAGCACCAGCATACTCAACCATGATGTCGACTATGACTATAACAGCAACAGCTATGATGACGACTAAGATGCTCTGGTACAGAACAATGGTGCCCTGTTCTGTGGTGTGGCTGTATCAGGCCCCACATCCTACATCCAGGCCATGTGCTCAGAGGAGGCACCCTTGTGGAAGACTGCAATCAAAAGTGAGTTGGCATCTATTGCTGAGAATGAGGTGTTTGAGCTTGTCCCACGCTCATCCTCAATCCACCCTCTGAGCACACGCTGGGTATTTGTTGTCAAGCAAGGCTCAGATGACAAGCCACCATTGTACAAGGGCCGCCTGGTAGTCAGAGGCTTTGAGCAGTGCCCTGGGATTGATTACTATGATGTGTTTGCACCTGTGGTGACCTACAAGTCTATTTGTATAGTCATAGCACTTGCAGCTTATCATGGCTGGCTGCTACACTTCATGAACGTCAAGACTGCCTTTCTGCATGGTGACCTGGAAGAAGACATATATGTCGAGATTCCTGATGGCATGACTGGTGACCAGACCAAGAGTGTTCTCAAGCTACGCCGCTCCCTATATGCTTTGAAGCAGGCATTGTGCACTTGAAATCATTGCCTGAATACTTTCCTTTGTGGCAGCCTTGGATTCCAGTGCAGCAATGCCGACCCAAGTGTCTACTGGCTTAAAAGTGGCTTTGCAACATGCATTTTGACAACCTATGTTGACGAATTGCTGCTGGCTGCATCTGATGACAACATTCTGGCCAAGGTCAAAACTGCCCTGTCTGCTGAGTTCTCAATGAAGGAGCCGAGTCTGTGCAGCACAATCCTGAGCATCAATGTGCATCACATCTCTGATGGCATCAAGATCAACCAGGTTACTGCCATTCAGAACCTGGTCAGCAAGTAAGGCCTTGAGGAAGCCAATGACGTTGATCTGCCCATTGCTGCTTCTGCCAAGCTTGGAGAGAGTGCCCCACACCTTGCCAAGTGCAATGCCACTGAATACTGCTCAATTGTTGGCTCCCTGCAGTACCTGGCCATGGTCACTCGGCCTGACATTGCTCTGGTCACCTCTGTGCTTGCATCATTCAACCAAGAGCCACTGATAAAACACATGGGTGC